TACAATAGCCTTTTCATAATGACTTGACTGCACGTAGCGTCCACTCGCTAATGTTATTGCACCTTCCAGTGTTACCTTTGTTTCTCTTAGACCGTACTAAAGAACTTCCGCTGTCTCAGACTAGTGCACAGATTGAATATGTAACAACACCCTGACCACAACTAACCAAAATGGGTCTGGGTGGATTGTTATATGACTCATGAGCTGTGATCAGCATCTATGATGTTCACAAATATGCCACCCTTTTTTTTTTACCACTGTCAATAAAAGATTGATGTCTTTCTGTCATGACTCATGGTAAGTCAAAACAGTGACTAATAGTCACATCCCCGTCATAACAGGACAACTCTCTCTCAAAACTGATTTGCTTGTAACAATGTGATGTTTTATTCCCGCCTGCTCGATTTGCCCTGGAACAATTGAGGGTAGGAACTGAAGCACAAAAGCACCCCAGTGAAAATGCTTTACAGCCTCTGCACTGCTAGAGCCTCAAGTGGCACCAAGGTGTGAATCTTAGGCTCAAATTCATTTCTTATTTTTATCCCTACCCCTTGTTTTCAAGTGCCACGTTACCTCTTGGAGCTGACTTACAAGGGGTAGTGGCTGAAGTCTTCCCCTACGAAGTGAGACAAACCTCAAATAAAAAAGAGCGTTACTTCATTAACAGGCTACTAGTGCTGCTCTGTAGGCAACCCTGCCAGTCTGCAGTGATAGCAGAGGAGGGTAAAGTTCAGCAACCTCACTGCTGGGCTCTAGTTACATTTAGGGAATCATATGCCTTCAAAGAGGGGAGATTATTTATTATCGCCCACCCCTAATTCTTCAGTAATATGACGCTGAAGTCAGCTATTTGCCAGCTTTTTGTTCGAATTTTCCCATTCCACTTTAAATGGTGCAGCAGTTACATTCTGGCCCCTCAGGCGTCAGAACTGCTGCACTATTTAACTTGGAATGGGGAATTTAGCTAGCTACATTTAGCAGCATACTACTAATGATTTTTTTTATGCTTGCTATGAAGAAAATACTCACATTTGTGGGTTTCTTTGGTTGCTTATGCAGCCATTATGCTGTTTTTTCTCAGAACACTCTATTTGAAGTGAGCCTCTGAAAAACCTCCATATAGAAGGGGCAATATAGCCCTAACACTTCACCCTACACCTCTATCTCAACAAAAATCGGGACATCCTCCCCCTAGGCGTGAACACCCAAAACGGAGAGTAGGGGCAAGAGGTGAAACAGGATTGGGCCTTAAAGTCTTGTCTGATGTAATGATTGTTATTTCTACAGCATCATGTAGCCCTGCACTATATACAGTAACGTAACCCCAGTGTAAACAATGCAAAAGAAAACCGATCTCCAAGAACCACATCCTGAATCTCGACCTCAAGTCACAGCGGGTCCATACTGTGAAAAGGACGATGACCCTCTTAGTCCCCTGCAGTGAAAACAACCGCCTCATCTTGCCAGCCTGTGATCTTAGACGGGTGAGGAAGAACAGAGTAGTGCCCGAGGCAAAACTTTTCCAAATAGAGAGGTTGGAGGAGACTGCCAGACCGGAACAGCAGAGAAGGCCTCAAGAGACACAGCAAAGGGGTTAATTTAGGGATAAACCTTTCACAAAACACATTGGGCTTAAAGGAAGGCATCCCAGCAGCTTCGCTGTAGCCTTGGCAGTGTCCTTTTAGGTAAACTCTGATTATTAGTAGCAATAAACAACAGCTGCTTGCACAAATACCACAGAATTTAACTTGGCCTCGAGCACTGGGGACCTATTTCAATGACTCACAATGAAACCACTAATATCTGCTTCCAGCTATCCAATTCTCCAGCTATCTAGCACAGTTCCCTACTGTGCCATAGAACAGCACTCTAGTTTTGTATTACGCCACTTTGAGAAATTTTAAGGCAATTTATGAATATAATCAGATTAAATGTACGAATTACTTAACTGATAATTCAAGTGTGTCAGCTACTTTGCTGCTTTAACACACACGTTTTTAATTGTGCATAAACAGCTCATATAACCTGCATAAAAAGCATAACCCACAAAATAGGACATTCAGGAGCAGCCACATATGAGCCTAAGGTCACCATGCGCAATACCAAGCTCTGGCTAGAGCACTGGGCTGTGAAGAGTTTTCTTAAGTGATGGACTGCCATCCAATAGGCATGTAATGAGCTGGAGTGGTGCTGTGATCCAGAACTAATATCCAACATCACTACCTGACCTCACTAATGCTCTTGTGGCTGAACGCAATCACATCCTCACAGCAAAGTTTCCACATCTATTGTAAAGACTTCCCAGAAGAGTATAGGCTGTTACTACAGCAGAGGGGCAACAAACTCTTTGATTAATAATCTTGATATCAGAAGAAACACTGGATAAGCAAACTTTGGACATTTTGACAAGAAAATTACACACAGACACTACAACAGTGTGTTATGTGAAAAACAACAACAACGAACATGCCATTGACTTAACCCATGTGAAAGACCGCAATGGCCCTTTAGAAAAGTACAGACGAGAGCATAAAATGGACATAAAATAGACACAGATGCTCAGATGCTCAGCAGAAACAGTCTTGAATGTATAAATCAGAGCCATACCAGCATGAGTCAGGGATGTGTGAGAAGTACAAAGAACAGTTCATATAACAGATGGGGAGGGAAGGATTCACCTACTCCTGAGTGGAAACTTAACTGAAGTCCTTTTAATCTTCTCTATAAAACATAATGGGATGTCCCAAACTCCATTAAGCAAAATAACAGCCTATAGCTTTTTCTTCTTTCTTTTCCATTCGCACTCTTTGACTATGTAAGACCACATTGCTACATAAAACTTACCACAACCAAGCTAGAAATGGGGCCCATCTGACAAACAGCTCACTTTGTTCTCTTTAAACCATCCCACAGGACTTCCAGGAGACAAAAGCCTTCAAGCAAGGAATGAGTGAAATAATAAAGGACTTAATCAGTATTCAAAAATGACTGATAAGAAATTATGACCTGTCTTTGGTAGGTCTTACAGTATACAGTTACACATCTCCCTCTTGTTAATGTTATTTCAGTGTCCAGTTCTAGTTTTGTTTCCCACAGACTTTTATTTAAGAGCTTCCTTAGTCTTGGATCGGCAAGCAGGATGAAAATCGGCCAACACCCTGACCACAAGTACCCCAAAGGGGAGATTCGCTGTGTGAATGATGCAGGCAGTCTCTGTCCACGGCCGATTTGAATCAGATTTTTAGTAAGTTTCCTTTTTGTGCTTATATAATCTAATTCCTATAGCACTATTTCCAGATAAATGATGCATCTCTTTGACTGCACTATAACACTCTGAAGAAAGCAGTGATGAGCACAGACCGTCACACTGTTTGCCCTGCCAGGTTGAGTTACTGTCACTAGCTGGGTAAATTTCACAAGAACAATAGATTTTGCACTGCAGTCCTGCCCAGCACAGATGAGAATCCCGCAGCCTGCTTTTTCAAGCCATTGCCAAGACGAGCCTCCTTCCAAAGCAAGGGTTCATATGTGTCAACTGCACACTCCATTTCTCCCCAGCTCATCTCCTTTTGATCTGCTAAAGGCACAAAAACACAGTCCAAGTTACACCCATACTGAACTCTCACCCTCCCCATCCATCTGACCCTCTTCACGTGTGAAGCTGATGATTAAGGGAGATGTGGTGAAAGCGCTTGATAAATCTATAGTTCAGATAATCAAATTTCAAAGAATTTATCTACAGTGATAGCACATGAATTTCCAGCCCTACCAAAAAGTTGGCTAACACAAATATCAAAAATCAGACCACTTTATCTACTGCTCCATTTTTGGGGAAAAAACACTCCCACACACAGACGCACACTTTTCCCTGATTAATAACCATCCCTCATGCACATCAAATCAAAACATCACAGTTTTAACAATAAATCAGACATAAAACCATCTAAGGAGGTTTTTATGGTTTGGTTGAGATAACTGTCCCCCATATTTGCTTTAACTGATGGAAACAAACCAATCAAAGTATAAGCACAGCACGTTTCATGTATGGAAGCAAACCACAAAACAGGAAAAGGAAACAATTAAAGGACAAAGAAAAGGCTATTTACTGTGTGACCTGCTTTGTTTACAGCTTTTAAAATTCATTTGGGCTTACATCACGACTTTCACATTTTAAACCTGTTATTCATTTGATTCATTTTTATTTTTATTGCCATGAAAGAGTGTGTAACTATTAAAGTGTGCTTCATTTGATTTAAAGCTCTAAACTCTTGACCGGATCACTCTTTTATGCTGGCAATATGAACACATAGTACAGTAGGGTCCAAAAGTCTGAGTCCAATAACTAGTTTGATTTAATCTGATTTCAAAAATGAACACATAATGTTACTCAAGTTCAAACTTTGATTTTCTGAGGCCAAGCAATTTATACAATTACCAGACCTCAAGCTCAACATCTGTAAAAGGAAAAGGTGAAACAAACTGTGCTCCCTGGAAAAGTCTAGAATTGACGCTAGACAGAGTTCAAGCTTGATTAAAGCAAATTTTGGACAAAACACATGGCTTTATTATTTTTACTTATAACCAAGAATTTTGTGGTCTCGTTAGAGGAAAACTACTCGACAAAACTTGCTTTCCAGTGAAATAAAACCGGTTCTTGGTGGTGGATTCAGACTTTCGGCCATACTAGTTACATCGTTAGATATATCTAACTATATTCAGTTGTTGCTGTAAAGCTACCTTATAACGTTAGCAAGGCAAAAATATTAGCCGGCTAATGTACTCCCCACCTGTTTTGCTCCATATAAATAACCGTAATTTATCAAGCTAAACAGGCTTAGAGAGGCAACTGAGTAAGAAAATGGAAATTTGCTGTCATTTAATATCAGTTTAAAGTTAGTATGATTAGTCAAACCGCTAAACAAAACCGACAAAAAGACATTTACCACTGTAGATATTTACTAGTACATTTAGTACATTTTAAAAAGTTTTAGCTAACTTACCGAACTGTAACTTTCCTCTTCTTTCCTTCCTAAATTAATTATTTATTCCACTTTTACTCTCTGAGGTGCTGCCGGTGCCAAACCACTGAGTAACTTAACGTCAATGAGGTTTTCGCGCTGCCCTCCAGCCCTCGTGCGCGCACAAGCCTATAAACAAACGGTCAATGCGCGTGCCGACCACTCCTACTGGAAGCGCGGTTCACATTGTTTTTTCCCCACCTGTATTTCGACAAGCCCCGCCCTCCGGCGACAGGATTGGCTAGTAGTATCCCGCCAGCCTCGCTAGGATTGGCTAGGTGTTCATTCATACCGACAGCCTGCCGAGCAGAAGTCGGGTGTTGTCGGAAAATAAGTGGAATGTCTCCAAATACGGGTGGAACTTTGTCTGACTACAGGTGCAAAACAAATAATGCCGGAGCTTCAGGGGGCTGTTGCCGTTTTTTCATTCTATTTCCCGCGTCTTGACTGACATATCCGCCCACTTAAGCACTGACGCAGATTCACAAACTGTTTACTGCAGGTGTAATAATGACCAACAGCTTTGTTCCTGTTAGTGTTCTGAGTCCTCAATGAGATACAAGATAAAGCACACGTACCCTGGCTGCTTGGCTTTATTTTAGCTTAAAGGGGAAATTCACTGATTTAAAAAAAATCTATAGTAATTAATATTTGAGATTTAAACAAAGTCATTCAGAGTGGTTCAGGGTTCATTTGTAGAGCGACTTTCTGACTCAGGCTTCTTTACAGTGGTGGTGATAGGAACCAGGTGCTGCCATGTCTACAACACAAATATATCCTATTTATTTACCATCCAAACCACAAGTGAACCTACAGATGTCAAATGAGGTTTTATATGTAATGTTGATATTGGTAAAATAGTAAATCTGAGTTTTCTTTGGGTACTATATTGCCTCACAAGACCCCTCATGTACACGTCCGTGTCTAACCTTTTCATATAATATCTTTCTGTGAGCTGTCTTTTAGAGACATTCTCTTCAGACGTCTGGTTCCCATTAACACCACTGTGAACAATTCTTAATTCTGACTCAGCAGGTTTCTCTATAAAGGAGGATTTCACATTAAACCACACTGAATTACTCTGTTTACATCTCAATTATTTAATTATGCAGAAATTTAGAAATTTAATCAAAGAGGGAGGTAATGAATGACGAACTGAGCATCTGGTTGAAATAAACATAGCACCACTGTTACTACCACCTCTGTAACAACTTGGTGGTTCTCAATCGTTCCATATGCCCTGCACACTTTATTGCTTTCCCTGCTCTGACTCTATATATCCAGAGACATCCAGTCAGCTATTCTTGTAGAGCTACTTTATGTGCACCCATTCCTAACATAGATGATCAATCGCATGCACAAAGCTAGTATAATCTCCATAGAAAAGCATTGCTAGTAGAGTGGTAAGCTCTGGAGCAGCCACACATGAGCCTAAAGTCACCATGGCCAATGTTACGCATCAGTTAAAGGGGTATAAAGTCCCCCAGCACTGGGCTGTGGAGCAGTGGAACTGTGTTCTCTGAAGTGGGGAGTGATCCAATCCATCCAATACCTTTGGGATGAGTTGGAGTGGCATTAGTGATCCAGAACTAAACATCCAACATCAGCTTCTGACCTCACTAATGCTATCATGGCTGAATGCAATCAAATCCTCACAGCAGTGTTCCAACATCTAGAAAGAATTCTCCAGAAGAATAGAGGCTGTTACTGCAGCAAAAGGAAGACAAACAGCCCATTAATACCCTTGATTTCATAAGAAACACTGGATGAGCAGAGTACTTGACTAAGCTCTAAGGGCTTTAATATATGCTTGATGAGCAGAGACGTGACTGTGTGTCATTTGGTGTCAACCACACAAAAATATATAATTGCATTGCAGAATAAATGTGACGCACATCAAAGTTTGCAGTTTTCAGAAATTTTTCCCTTCACAAATAAGCATATGTAGGCATTTGACTCCAGGGAATAAAATAAATTCTCCACTGCCATAATCACAGCGGACAACAAGCCAACTTCACAAATTCTTGCATTTTATTTTGCATTCATTCCAGTCCTGTGGCTCCCTGGCAGGGACTTTGGTCTCAGCTTGTCCCTTACAGGCATCACTGAAATCACTGTAATAAGACACATTCACGCAACGGAACAAGGAGACGTGGGAGATAACATCGAACAGTAAAAAAATTCAATGAAGACTGAAAAAACTTCAAGGCTTTTGGTCTACGGGAACATCTCCTTAAAATGATAAGATGCCACATCCCAAAAAATCGATAAAATCATTATTTTAATTATATTAATTTGTATTATATATTCAAAGATAGAATGCAATTCTTATTTAAATGCATATAAGAGAAAATAATACAGAAATAAGAGAATACATATTTGTTAAATATACAAATATCTGTATATACCAGATACAGAGTATATAAATTATACAAACATACACACACACACACACACACACACACACACACCCCAAAATAAATCCCAAACAGCATCAATACATACACAATTGGCAAGAACAAAATAAAACTGGCAAAGAAAAAAAAAACTGTATGACATAGCTGTAATACTGTGATGCAGTTAATGAGAGTTTATTGGTTTTATAAATCTATTCTGGTTTATTATTATAGCCCCTGTGATACACAGTGTTACAGTCCTCTATAAAATCTGTTTATATAAAATACAGTATGAATAACATCACATTATAACAGAATGGCCAAAAATTAACCAAAAAGCATCAAATTTACCCCATTTCACCCCCCCCTACAGTGACAGTGATAGTAACCGGAACCAGAATCATGATGTCTCCAACACAAATAAAGCCATTTTATTGACTAATTAAAACAGTGAGCCTACTCGCATTTTTATATGTAACGTTAATGATGGAAAAGTAATAGTAAAGCTGAAAAAACATGTTTCTAGGGGATGTTTTTGCCGTACAAAGCCCTACATGTACCTTTCCACCAAAAATCCATCCATCCATCATCTAAACCGCTTATCCTTCTGGGTCGCGGTGGGGTGCTGGAGCCTATCCCAGCTGTTTTCCACCAAAAAATGGATTTTAAAAATGTTTTAAGTATTCATAACCATTTTATAACTTTCTGTGCTTCAGCATTTAGAGGCATTATGTTTACATGTTAATGTTTTGATCATACTTGGTGGAATTCCTGTCCAACATAGATATAATGTGAATGTTACAGTATAGAGCAGGAAGTCGGATATTTAGTGGTGTAAACCTTATTTTCAGTCCCATAGACAAAATAGTCATAGTCTTTCCCATTGTAGGAGTAAAAGGCATGAGTAAGAGGAACCAGCTCGATTGTCTGTCGCTGTGGAGAAAGAAAGAGAGAGAGAGAGAGAGAGAGAGAGAGAGAGAGAGAGAGAGAGAGACATGAACTCACGAATAGTTGTAATTAGTGAGAGAAATCTCTAGTTCTAATTTAAACAAGCCTGCTGTTGCTGCCCTCTTGTGGAGACAATAGCCTTTGCAACCTCCCCAATCATCAAGAATCAGGCATGTATTTTTTCAAAATCTTAGTCATTTTTTAACTTCTGCATGTTTGCATAGAAGGTATACACACAAAAAGATGATTCTTCAAGGGTTCTATAGTAAAGGCAATGGTTCTATTTGGAATCATGAGTTCTATGCTCTTTAAAATATTTTTTTGACAGTTATATATATGAGATATATAGAACCATGAACACTCAAAGAACCGTTTGCATGCTTAAACCTGTTGTTTGTATCATGAAATGATTCTTCGGATTGACAGAGAATGAGTTTTATATGGTTGTATATAGAATCTTTGAAAATGGTTCTATATAGCACAAAAAGGGTTTCTTCTATTGTTTTAATTGTGGCATTATAACAGCAGCAGAACCCTTTTTGGTGCTATATAGAACCTTTTTCAAAAAGAACCATATAAAACACATTCTCCACCAATCTGAAGAACACTTTTACCATGCAAAGAACCATCTAAGTATAAAATGTTTCCATACAGAACTATATAGCCTTTAAATAGAACTATTGCCTTACTGAAGAATCTTCGAAGAACCATCTTTTTAAGTGTGTAGCTAAGGTTGAGTCAGTTTTAAAGCCATTATAAAATATTCTATGCACCTGGTGCATTTTATTATTTCACACTGTTGTCAATTTTTGAAAAAAAGAAACTACTTGAGGCCATAATTTTTGCACAGCCATGGTAACATAAGATCATGACCTTCCTTAACTGTGGTAAAATCACTGTAATGCACAGCCAACAGCTTACTGCTTTACTGTGGGAGTTTCACCTGTTGTAAGATGCGACTGGAGGCGGAATACTTGAGCAGATGCTCCTGGGTCGCTTCTTTAGAGGCATTGCAAATCTCTTGGACAGGGAAGCCATCTACTGGATAGACCTGCAAGCACAGCTCTGCTTTTAATACTACCACATCAGTCCTGACCAACTGACCAACTGTATATGTTGACTGTAGATAATGACAATTCACATACACATATAATATATATATATATATATATATATAATATATACATTTTTTGTCGTTTTTCAGTTTTTGATATTATTTGAAAAAGCCTGTTGTCCTTTACATTGTGTGTAAATTCCATGATAAGTGGACCAAAAGAAATGACCCAAAATGACTTGGAAAAAAACGTGGTTCCATTGACTTAAATTAAAAGTTAAGCAGTTATCATTTTGGAGATATGAGGTTTTCTTCTGACAACAGCGATATATACATATACATATGTATAATCATATAAATAACTAAATAAATTAATAAATATCTTCTGCTACTATGTGATGTTTTGTACCAGTTTTATAGATAACAGATTCCATTACTTCAAGGCTATGTTAGCCTCTTAGCTCCAAAGTAAAACTAAAGAAGTGCACTTCAAACCTGCCTTGGCCAATTGACTACATTTGGGGTTAGGAGGAAAACAGTATAGATTAGATTTTTTGCTAAACTATCACTTTGTGCTTTACATGCCTTCCACAGATTCTAGATTCCACCAACTGGCAACCCAAATGTTAAATCTTCGGAGCCACAACATTTTATGTCCATTTTACCATCTTGGCTGTAAATATGTCTCAGTATGTGATAGCGTGCTATTATAGGCTAAAAAACATATTATAAACGAAAACTCAGGCTTATTTGCTTTAAGCTTTAGCTCAGCTATAGCCACTATTCCGCAAAAGTAGAATAGTTTCTTGTAAAATGTCTCTCAATGTTCGACTCCTTATGAGGCTGAAGTCAGCTTTCTCATTTGCCAACTTCTTGTTCAATTTTTTTCTATCTTAAATGGTGGCTGAGGCGCCAGAATGTAACTGCTGCGCCATTTAAGGTGGAACAGGAGAAGCTGACTTCAGCTTTGTGACTTTTTAGTGTTTGACAGTTTCTCACTGCAGATTAAACGTATCAGGAAACCAGCTGGAGTGATAAACACAAATAAGTCTTTTCGTCTCCAAATTATCGATGCTCATCTTAAATCTCTCTCTTTGCCATTTTGTTAGCTACTAGCTAGGCGAAACTGTTGTCTGTGTTGCTATGGTGACCGGCAGTCTGCGCGCCAACCTTCAGGGTTAAAGGTCGGTGAATTAGCAGTTATACATTAACTCCAGCGTTTAAGGTTGTTTACTGTTAAAACTGTGTTAAAATAATCCTCCTTTGCAGTAAATAAAGCTCTGCTGATCGTTCTACATTTACTTAAAAATCTAATTCTGCTATGGAGCCACAACACGGCAGTAAAAGAGCCGCAAGTTGCCAAACCCTGCCTTAAAGTCTCAGGTTTATTCATTACTAAGGCTTACTACTCAGTAACTGCATGGATTGCAATGCAAACTTTCTGAGTTATTCTTAGCTTATGTAAGTGTGCAAAAGTAGTAAAACTTTGGACCTGCCAGTGGGTCCTGGCCATGGCCAATAATAAACATATGTGAAGAATAAATAGACAGAATGAATGAATACCAGGAGACTTTCATCTATGAAGAACGCTTCCCCAGACACTTTCTCAAACTTCTTCATGGGGAACTCAGGCTGCCGGTCGGGTACAAACTCATACACTTGGTTCTTCCTAAGAAACACAATATGACGTAATACAATACATATGTATATACAAATCTATTATCATATAGTAAAATACCACTGTCTATACCACGTTTCAGGCTCCAGTCCTAAGGGGTCAAAACACTGCCGACTTCTGCATGCTGTCTCATTAAACACACCTGATTCAGATCATCAGCTAATTAGCAAGGTCCCCAGTTTAACACGCCTGGTCTATACAAATCTAACGATAAAGCCAAAGCATCAGTGTGTCTTTTGAAAATAAGTCATCTAACCCTTTGTCACAGCCATCAAGGCTGATAACAAAAGCATGTTGTCATTTTATATGAATTATTTCACTCATCACTCATAGCTTGTTGAAACATCTGAAGCAATTCTGTAGAAAATTAACTTTCAATCAGTCTCACATTTGTGCTTGTAACTAGAAGAGGAGATACTTTATTATGTTTTGATCAAAAGTTATTCTGTGCACAGACACAGAAAAAACATCCCTTATTTTTTTTCCCATTATTTGTCATGTTCTGACATTGGACCTGTCAGTAACAGAATGTAAATTGGTGGTTAATTCACTATGCAATTAATTCTGTAATTATGCAATTACAATCAAATTACTTTAATACTTACAATAACTGCATAAAGCAAAATTTATGTATAGTAAAATGACAATACTAACTCTAGACTTTTAAGGGTTAAACAAATATCTGGAATGCTTGTGTAATTTAAATAATCAAAACTTAAGCATTATGTTATACTAATTCTAAATCAAAAAAGTATTTAGACAGAACACTTACCATGTCACTGTGAGCTGAATGAAATGCAAGAGCTTTTTATGCCCATTACATTTGCGGCAAGTCCTATGGCCGCTACCATGACACCATGTACATCTGCATGTAGAGGGATACCAATGCTAAATTACTGGTCTCTCTGCATTAATGTGGATTAGTGAGACTGTACTGAACATTCATTATTCATCATTATGTTGCAATATATGCTTTCTTATTAGTGTTGGTAGTTACGTACACTCTTCTTCCTCCTCCATGACAGCCAGCACATCTTCTGTTGCGACCATGACCAGAACCATGACAAGAAATGCACTGCATCTAAAAGATTACAATTTTAGTCATGTAATTTGCCAGATTATATTTCTTAACCTCTTAAAATCCCAGGCTTATTACATACTAAGGTGTATTATTCAGTAACTACAGGGACTTCAACGCAAACGAAGGCTAAGCTATTCTTAGTTATAGAAGTGTGTAATAAAACTTTGGGTCTGCCCTTGGGCCCTGACCATTTAAGGGCTTGAAGAAGCACTCATGGATTTAGTATATATACTATACAGAAAAACGCTGGAGTACTTCTTTAATAACTACCTCACCACTGAACGACACTGTTGATTTTACCATATACTCTAGATGTTAGCTGGATCCAATGAGGGACAATAAGCAAAGAGTAAAACAGTATTACTTTGTATACTCACTCGTCCTCTGCCGTGGCAGTGAGTACAACGTACTCGTCCCTTTCCACGACACTGGTAACAAGGCTTAGACAGCACCAAGAATCACAGACAAGCAAAAAGAGAGCAAGAAAAAACAGAGTGAAACCCAGCTAGCATATTGTCACTGTCAGGACAAAATCTTGTATCTTCAAAACAGTAACTTTATAAGAGAAGAAAAAACCTTCTCAATTTTAAATGGAAGATAATGCAACAAGATTTTTTCCTGAATAATTTTGGTTCATTTCTATTTGTCTAATCATCGTGAAATTCTACCACAGTGTAAAGGGCATCTGATGTTTTCAAATTCTGTAAAAAAGATGAAATGTTTTGTCCAACAATATACCAATTCTACCTGGAGGAGCAGTAGTTGTTGCATATGTTTTACAGCAAAACAACATGTTTGACTGTATCAATTAAGAGACTGCCGGACAGACTACATGCCCTGAAAAGTTGACAAGGACTACAAGATGTGGACAATGTAATGGAAACACCAATAGCTATATGGATATCCTATATGAGTAATAAAGGACAGGCTATTTGATTTGAAGCTGAGAGGAGTCTTCAGAGCACATCCAGTCTTTCTTAAAAGACATGCACTTGGAGAAAATTAAAACACTGCTACAACATTATTTGTTTATCTAACCTTTCACAGTGTACAGACTGGTTAAGAAAAGATGAAATAAGAAATAATACTATTACGTCTTTATTCATAAAGGTATTACCTTTACAGATGAGGTGTGAGGCACACGCACTTTCTGAACCGTGTCAGTGAATTTGGGTGGATACTGTACTTCCACTTGCCACGGTTGGGGGATCATGCCATACTGGGGTCCGTCTACAAACTGCCCTGATGAGAGACCAAAGTAAACTTGTCAAGTTTAAATAAATGAAATGATGACCTTCATCATTGAGGCACATTTGAGTTTTGAAGTCATGTTTTCCTTTTTTAGTTTCAGTTCCTCTTCTTTATGTGATCAACTGTGATCTTTTATATTCTGCTATACCAACAGTGCAGTCATTTATTGGCATTAATTCAGTGCTGGTTTAAGTCTTAGAAGTCTAGGGTTATTACTGTCGATTTACAAAGCTATTTAAATGCATTTCCAAAATAATTACAGTTGTATTCAAATTACAATCTGAATTCTGCATTTGAGACTTTTAGTTATCGATGCTTGCTCTTATCACAAAAAAATGTGCATACTTTTCGTCAAATAAAAATCATAAAATATCTCTTCTACTTCTAAACACAAAAGTGGCATGAATTGAATATTTAGAATCCAATTGTTTCAATAAGCTAGAAGTCAGATATACTTAATATAAAATTATAACAATATGTTTTTGTTGACCAACATTGAAGTCTGTATCTAATAAAAGGCACACATACTGCTTGGTGGAAGTTTAAATGCTCTACTGTTTACTTCAGAGAAGGTCTTTAGGTAGCCATGGTCCAGTTACTGATTTGCACTTTTAGAGGACTACCCACAAACTTTAAGGTAAGTATAAGTAAAGCTGGTAGGGCCTTATTAGCAGTGAAATTGTGCTGACTTCCACTAGATTTTCATCACATTTGGGTCAATTTACCATTACAGTGTCAAATGGAGTACAATGTAAGAATAAGCTAATTCGCCTGTTACACTGAACAACATCTGTAGTTGTAACACCACTGACAAATTCACTACACTGACAATAAAATGGGCTATCGTTTAAATAATCTGAGCTTTTCTAAACTATAGTCCATTTTAACTCATTTTTATTCAAAGTCACACAGTATGTAGAAAATTACAAATATTGCATTCTTGCTTTTTTTCTTTACTCAAATTCACTTAATGTTTCAAGAGTAACACTACTGACCTTTATTTTGCAACACTTGATGCTGTCTGTATTTTAGCCAATTGATCAGTCATTTATCAGAAAAACAGTGATTTCACTAACCATGAACTTCTTTTGAGATATTCCTACATGAAGTAATTAAAAAAACTGCCTGCTACTTTTTAAATGACATTTAATGTTTCTAAAACAACACTGACAAAAAATCTGTTACAAAAAAGTTATTTTTATACAACCTATTTTTAACATACACATTTAAAAAATTTCTCTCATTTCTCTCGCTCTTTAGTCAAGTCAAGTCAAGTCAAATTTATTTGTATAGCGCTTTTTACAACTGATGTTGTCACAAAGCAGCTTCACAGAAATCCATTTAGGACAAAGTTTCAACATGAAAAGTAAATCCTCCAGGTGAGCAAGCCTGTGGCAACAGTGGCAAGGAAAAACTCCCTCAGAGCTGGGGAAGAAACCTTGGGAGGAACCTTGGGAGGCTCACAAGGGGGGACCCATCCTCCTTTGGTCAAACTACCTACAAAATTATTATACTACTAATATTAATCGTAGTAGTAGTAATAGTTAGGAGTCCACTTCAGTGTAGAGTGGGCAGCCAGTCCAAGGCAGGTGGCGGTGACTGGGGTGTGGGCAACTGGTCTGAAGCGGGTAGACGGAGAGCTCTACAGACAATCATCCAGCAGTGTCCGGCCGGTGTTACTCCCTTTAGTAAAGGGAGCTGTTCTACATAGAACCATGAACACTCAAAATACCAATTTCATGCACAAAATGTCTTTTGCATGGTCAAACGTTTCTTTTCTATGCCAGTAAACCAGTTTTCAAAGGACCGTTTTAAAAAAAGGTTCTATAAAGCACCAAAGAGTAAAAGAACCTTTTTTCAGTACTATTTAGAATCCATTTAGCTAAGATTGAGTAGAGACACTAATTACAATGTATTGTTACAATTTAAACTGACAAATAGGCCTCACAATTCACATAAAACCAATACTTCAGCATCTGTGAAGTCACTGCTGTGACAAGCTGTTTTTCATGCAAAATATGACTAAAACTACTAAATTTAAAATTCAAAAAGAAGAGGTGTCATAGTTTTTTGCTGGGTAATTTAGTTACGGCGCTAAGAATAAAACAGCAACTTTCTGTGTTTGTACACTGTTTCAGTGCTATACATACCGGTGTATGTCTCACACTCCCAGGCACTTGATCTGGACTCAGTAAAGGTTTCCAAGCGATACTAAAACAAGAAGGGAAAACTCTGTTTTCTGCACCGAAGTGGTGGAAGATATGACAAAAAAAATCACGATATTTCAAGAAAACTTCACAATACATGATACGTCACAGCATTTAGCTTCTCAATCGCTTTACACTAAATCAACTTAACCATGACTAATTCTGCACCGCTTGTAATGAATCATGCTTCAGTCAGCGTTCTAGAAATATTGATGATATCCAATATATGGTCACAATAAATATTATCATCCACCCTAGTGCACCGTATCTGGCCAAGGCAAAACAGCATAACAACATCATTGTACATTTAATAAGACAAAACATGGAGGGAGAAGATTTACACGATATACTGTAAATGGCTTCAGATCCTTGAAGACCAGGTTTTGAGCTGGCTTGCTGCTGTATGTCCACTTTTTCCCCACAAACTTGAGCAAAGCCTCCCTGGCCACATCTTCAGACACCTGAGGCACCCTGCAGGACCAATAACAATATAGACAGAGCTTTGTAATACATGACACACTGCAAATGGTACACTGCGTCATTAGAACGTAAACTGTGTAATCAATTTCACTGTATATGATGTGTATAAAATTAAGTAGTACATCACTTTAGGGACGGACGCATTCCTGTCATTTTCAGGATGGGGGACAAAGTCAGGAGGAGGAGGGCAGATCTGATCTGTGCAATCTGTTGGTCAAGCAAGAAGGGTAAAAACTCTTTAATACTGTAATTCAGTAAAACTGTAAAACTCTGTAAAACTGTAATACAGTTCTCTTTTCTCTTCCTTTCTTTGTAGAACTGTCTTAATGTTGTAGGCATCTTTATTTACTCTTTTGCTTACGTTTACAATCAAAAGCTTGCAACATACTGAATAGGTCTGTAGTGTAGGTAACAATTCTGTCTCAACCATTATTAAGTCAATGAAATTAAGAATAATGAATGAGTCTGATAAGTATGCTTATTGCAACAGTGCTACAGTTAATGGTAAAAAGCGATGGTTCAGCCAAAAATCAAAATTGCAGTTTTCTCTCTGTCATGCAATCGTCTGGCCTTAACTCGCATGGGGACTCCATTTCCCAGAATCCCCTGGGAGATCTTTAAGTCCTCAACCTTATCGCTCAACCAATCATTCTATTGATCTGAATCACCTGTGTGACTTGTCATACGACTCCTTTAGTTCAGTATTTAAGCCCGGGCTTTAGCTTAGTATAGCTGCGAGGTATTGCTTCTCTTGTAGAACTACTGAGCGGTTCTCCTTTGTGTTTTTGGTTGCCCTTGTTGTGTATTGGACTCTTTTCTGTTTTTTTGATCGTTGCCCTTTGTCTTTGCCCTTCTGGTTATGTTTGCCCTCTTTTGCCTTTTTGCTGTTTTGGATTTGACCCACGCATGCATGATTTTTGCCAGTCGTTTTATTATTAAAGCTTCATCTGTGGATTTCACAGCGAACGTCTGACTGTTTCTGTCCTGTTACACCCTTAGCTGGTGTTGATGATCAGTCAAAATATGTTTGTATGTTGTATGTCTATAGTTTGCTTCTTTGGTTTTGCACTGTAGGAAGCTAACAAGTAATGCAAACTTAAACAACCATGGCTAAATCACTGCTCATTTGTCTCAAATTGTATGGGATTTTAAGTGATCTCAAATACTGTCTTATGTGGCTTCTGACACTGCATTACATTTTAGATTTTTATCTATAAAATACAGCATATATTGCATAGCTAAAACAGTAGCAGCAGCCACCTTGAAGCCTGACTATTATCTGTACTTTTCTCCAATTTTATCAGTAACAGCATGTTGTACAACCATTACTCATAAGCCACATTAGCCTCAAACCTCCTGTGCAAACCTAAAGAAGTAAACGTCAGACACCAAACATAGCTGGTCTACTATACTTGGAATAGGAGGAAAATATGAAAATCTGATTTTTGGACAACACTTGCTTTAAAAGGCCTACATCCTACATTTTTCCTGTATTTTATTTTTTCCTTTAATGTCCACTTATTAGGGGTGTAATGATTTGAAACTGTGACTGAAACTACAATACAAATATCCATGGAAGACACTGTTGTTCATTTCTATTTTTACTATTTCACCCAATAGAAATATTTTAGATTAACTTCAGTTGTTAAATTTCTTCTTAAAATTCTTATTAAAAGTAAAGCATCCAGAATAATACACCACTGATAATCTAGAGGTTTACTTAAGCATCCAGAATGGTTTTATTTGAAAAAATATACATAAATAAACTATACTGTGATACATACTGAAACTGTCAGTACCCCTAATTATACCGTGATATAAATTTTTGCCCATACTGCCCACTACACGTAAATCATGATATTATTATTATATTTATTGACTTATTTTTGTTCACATAGTTAATTTAAGTGAAGTTAACTTACCATGTTCTGTAGTGTAGGTATTTGAAATTGTTGGTGATTTAATAAAACCTAGAACCGATTTTTGTTACTGTCCCACCCACTTAAAAAAAAAAAAAACATTTTCCCACCTCTCTTTTTCCCTGACAATTACAGTCCGTTTTATTTGCTGTGCTTTAAAGGGGAAAATTCTGCACAATTCAATCATTTAGATATAAACAAAGCGATTAAGTGGTTTGATATGAAATGGATTACTGTAGAGAAATTTACAGACTCAGATTTTGACAGAAACCAGGGGTCGTCATGTTGGCTGAATAGAAACGATTAATTCAAAATTGTTTTTGAAGCTCAATTTGCAGTTATGGACTGTATTGATTGAGGGCTGAATGGTACGTTTTGAAACTTTAATGATGTTTATATATTTCTTTTTAATCCTTAAAATTTCTTTCAAATTTATTTCACATAAGCAAAGGAAAAAGAAAGGAAGGTTTGGTGCTTCACAGCAAAAGAACCAGGCTGAGGTTTTGTCAACAACGTACTTTATTGAAAGATTCTAGTACAGAATGTATAATATATAGAAAAAATCATTAGAAAAAAAAACTCCCCACCTCCTAGATGGTCCTCATAGCCTGATACACTGTCCAACCAGCCAGGAGGGGGTGCTGAAGGACCCTCCTCTGGAATGCTGGGATCAAATGCACCTGTAGAAAAGAGAAAGAAGCTGTAATCGCCGCAAACTGCTCAGAGCTCCTTTACTACAGTACATCTTCATACTGCTCCAGCTGCTGGTTAACCTGAGCCAGATAATCAGTAATGTATTATTGATCACCTGACTTACAAGTATTCAGAGATGGAATGAAACAACCATGTGGAATAGCCAGGGAGGAGTGGGTTGATAACCTCTGCTTTTAGGGGCAAACAATAACACACATCATTAATACCAACTTTGGAATTACAGTTTGAAAATGTGGTGTTTGGAATTGGTGTTTTCAATAATATAAAACCCATCTGGCTGCAGATGCATGTATAAAGTGAGTCTAATATGATGCCAGTACTCTGGGGCCCTGAATAGCATCCTTCTTGGGGGGATGTAGGAAGGACCCCACCCATCTCAATAATATCACTTTGTTTGTAAGAAGGAAAAAGATCTAATTAATACAAACGACTTCAGCTTTGTGACTTTTTAGTGTTTGACAGTTTCTCATTGCAGATTAAACGTATCAGGAAACCAGCTGAAGTGATTATAAACGCAATTAAGTCTATTCCTCTCTAAATTATCGACGTTTGTCTTAAATCTTTCTCTTTACTGTTTCGTTAGCTACTAGTTAGGCGAGACTGTTGTCTGCGTTGCTATGGTGGCCTATGGTGACCAAATCATAAGGCAAATTATTCAGTAACTGCATTAAATAAATGTACATTTTTATCTTATTTATTTATTTATTTTTTGTAAAAGTTCCCCTCAAATTAACAGGAAATGTGTTTTATGATCAAACACATATTGCTATATGCTTACAATTTACTGCTGAAAGCCACAAATCTTAGACGCTCTTTGTTATTTTTTATAAAAATAATTTTTACAGAGCAGATCACTGAAGAGACGCCGTCTGTTTATAGTTTATAGCCCAGATTTGTGGAAAATGGGTCGACTTTCAGTAGACAAAAAAATTGTGAGTTCAGCTTCTTTTATTATAAGGGTTTAAAATTACATTACCCATCTATTTGACTGGAGAGAAGACAGTTACAGCTCTCATATGACACCGAACTTTTGAATGTAGCTTATAAAATATGAAAGTTATGAAGAATATGACAAAGTGTGTTTTTGAACCACCGGTGGTCTCATAGAGGTGAAAAGGTTAATTAACTATGCATCTTTGTGTTTGTCTGTTTGTTTGGTCGATTGTCTGTTATAGTACTGAAAATGCTTCATAAAAACATGTTCATGCTTGACGGTGTCTTATTTAGAACATCTAAAAGTATGTTACATAAACATAATCATTGCATGTTTTCTTAATTTTCAAGGCTTAAGTGACACAATGACTGTATAATATGACAAAACACACCACAAACCGAATCCTCATCGATGTGAGTTGAATATGATCCACACAAACAGAAAAAAAATATGAGAGGAGCTTCCAGAGTGGAAGAGGGTGGGCCAGGAAGGGTCACTGTAAAGAAAAACAAGCCTTCTGGAATGCAAGATAGTGAGGAGCGGACAAGACTGAAGAGGAAAAACACAGTAAAAAAACAACTTTTTGAAAACAAAAAGGACTGAAAAAGCAAAAGCTAAACTTTGGTCAAGGGAAAAATAAAATTTAAAAAACAAAATTGTTACATTGTTTTGGCTCCATGGCAAACCAATCCAGTTTTATTTGTCCTTTCTTTCCATGAAAAGCCATTCTTCTACAGAAGGCTTGCTTAGCAATCAGTCCATGGCGCCTATTCATGAGGTTGCTTTCCCAGTGCCCCCTTTAAAGCCCCAGCATACAAAATTATAAATACAGTATTTCTCACCCTTAGCTTCAGCAAACAATGCTGCTAACAAGGGTGTATAAATAGTAGCACAAATGGGTTTCCTCCAGAGATTATACTTAAGATTGATATTTCAGCTAAGGCAGAAGAATGGGGAGAGTTAAGCATGGTGGCTAAAGAAACAATGCACTCAAAATACATCACTATACGCAGAGCTGGGCGGCTAGGCAAACAGTATAAAGGCATTTTTTAGGCTTAACTGGCAGTGGAGATCCATCACTGCTGTATGTTGACATTTTTACAGGAAAAGGGGAAGGTCTAAAAGGAACAGTTCAATGTTTTTCAGTTTTCAAAGCTTTTTTCTAATTTGAGACATGTTTTTCTGACATTTGATAAGCTGGACAAGACAAGGTAGAGCCACATTTAAAAAACTACCAAAAATACAAACATAAAAATTTGTATTCAACTTTTCACACAATGTACTGCAACAAATCCAGCACTAATTAGGCTCTCTTTGCAGTCATGCAGCTGGGAAGTGTTTTAAAATACTGACAATGTCCACAATATTCTCAGAAAAGCATGTCGCTGCTGTCAAAACAAAACCTCGTATCTACAATATCATAACTTTACAGGAGAAAGAAAAAACATACTTTACTTCAATGTAAGTCTATGGAACTAGACTTTTTTTCTAAGAAATTTCAAGACATTTCTTTTGCGTGCACGTACACAAAATGTAAAGGGCAACTGGCATTTTCACATTATGCCAAAAACTGAAAAATGACAAAAATGGAGATTGGTCACATTGCCCAACTCTAGTTTGAACAAAAATGTACCAAACCTTTTAAATATTGATTATTTAATTGTGATGATTAGTTCTTCTCAATTTTGATAAATTTGATAAATAAATCAAAGTGCATCAAAATGGATTCAACATATTTTTTTGGTCCAAAGAAAGTCAGACCTGGGGTTTCAACTGCTGCTTTTTATACTGAAGAAACAAAGTTCATATATGCTAACTGCAGGCTATATGGCTGAATGGATATATGTGACACAATAAATATAACAATTTTACAGCAATTACGGCAATTTTTCATTAAAATCATTTAGATTTTTTAATGCCTGTATGTTTTACGTTACATACAGCTCAACACTAAATCTTACAGGCTTGCATGGACCACAGAGTGAGATAAAACAAGATATATATATATATATATATATATATATATATATATATATATATATATATATATATACACACATATATGGCTATCATGATAAACTATCCAATATGCTTTTCTGAATATATTATGTATATTCTTAGTACTTGTAGAACACTGACCAACTGTGTTTCATTATAAAAAAGGACAAAATTACAAACTTAGCCCTGACTGGATTTTAGCTGGATTTAGTGCAACACAGTATGTAAAATATTGAATAAAAATCATTGTATTCACAGTTTTTGATAGTATTTTTGAAAAAGCAGCACTCCTGGTTCTTTTTCTCAATTCCAACTGATCAGATGTCTGAAAAAATAAATATTATGACATATTGTGTATCATGAAAGAATCACAATATTATCTTTTTTGCCATATTGTCCAACTCTATTTCAAGGGTTATCTGATAACGGTTCTATATAGACCTATGAACGCTCAAAGAACCATCTGCATTCTATACTTACAACCCTGATGCTGTAACAATCACAGAACCCTTTTGATGGTTCTATACAGACATCCTACTCAATCTGACGAAACATTTCACCATGCAAAAAAAATGTAAGCATGCAAATGGTTCTATGCACACTCTTAAAGAAAACTCTTCAAGGGTTCTTTAGTAAAGAAAAAGTTCTGTAAAGAACCATGAACACTCAAAGAACTCTTTGCAGGACTGGAGGGTTTTTTGCATTGTGAAAGGGTTTTTCAAACTGATGGATAATGTGGTGTAGATGTTTCTATATATAACAGCACCCAAAACTCTATATATACAGCACCCAAAAGCGTTCTTCGATTGTTACAAGCTTGACATCTTAACAATAGAAGAACACTTTTGGGCGTTATATAGAACCCTTTTCAAAAAAGTTCTATAAAGAACCATTTACAACACATTCTGAAGAACACTTTCATGATGCAAAGAACCCTTTAATAATGCAAAGGTTCTCTGAGTGTTCATGGTTCTTTATAGAACCATTTTCTTTATTAAAGAACCCTTGAAGAACCATCTCTTTTAGGAGTGTACTAAAGCAGCAATATTCTAAGTTTCCTTCTTATGAAAAGACCTGCAAAAGAAGAGAACACACTCAATCTTATTGCTCTCCTGGGACCATTTTATTGCTCTATGCTCATTTAAATGTTTACTTTCCTCCCTCTCAGAGGGAGGAACACAATCATATTCACACAATAACCTGAGAATATGACTGTACAAACTATAGTTGGTTTGTGGTTTAAGATTAATCTGAACCCCAAACAAAAGCCCTGCATATTAGTGTTTGTATAATTCTCTTATTAATCCTGTCTTTCTTGCTCATCACTTGCACAATATGGAACTGTGTTGTCTACGACTACACACAAAGCACTAATACAAACATTGCACTGATTTTTCAGAATTTCTGCAAAATTAAATGGATAAGATGTGAACAAAGTCATTCAGAGTGGTTTGATGTAAAATGCTCTATTTTAGAGAAACAGAATCACAATTGTTCAGATGTCGGAAGCTTTCAACACCTCTGAAAGCTACATCACAGAAAGTTATTACATGAAATGCTTATGAATACACTGCCTAATGTCTGAGATATTGTTTTATGATAGTGTTGAGATAAACTTTTTGGACTAAAACATTGTTTTATTCACTTTATTCACTGTTTTTATGTACATTTTAGATTTAATACTATTTCACCATTAACAACGTTTTGTGTAGCCAATAAAATGGCAGTATTTCTGTTGTAGGCATGGCAACCTCTGGTTCCTATCACCAACTCTCACAAAAATCTGAGTCCTCTACAATGAACTATTCCACATCAATCTACTCTGAATGACTTTGTTTACATCTTAACAATTGAATTATGCTCAAATTTTGAACAATCGGTGGAATTCCCCTTTAAGTGTTATACTCTGGGTGTAAGGAGAATTGTACTGGAGTTATAGCTAGGGTGCACCACTCTAAAGGGAAAACCTACTACCCGGAGATCAATTCATCTCAGATAGTGTTATTTGTGCAGACTATGTGGCACTACAACTTAACAATGGACTAAATAACACATAAACGTGGACCCCTGAGAACAAGTACTTATTCAATACAGCCTGGTACCTAACATATTGCTACAATGACGTGCACAGCAAAAACAGCACCTATGACTGAGAGAAAAGGTCCAGCGCCTTCATAAACAATCAGGGATAAAGGCTAAGATCTAAAAGGGACCACGTGCTGGACATGTCATTTGAAATCTAAGTAAACAACCATGTTAAAGTACAACAACTGACCACTGCAGTCCACCTCCTTGTATCTACACTCATTGTCCATTTTATCTGCTCCACTTACTATATAGGTGCACTTTGTAGTTCTACAATTACAGACTGTAGTCCATCTGTTTCTCTGCATACTTTTTTACCCTGGTCTTCAATGGTCAGGACCCCCACAGGAGCACCACAGAGCATGTGTTATCTGGGTGGTGGTGGTGTGTTAGTGTGTGTTGTGCTGGTACAAGTGGATCAGACACAGCAGTGCTGCTGGAGTTTTTAAACACTGTGTCCACTCACTGTCCACTCTCTTATACACTCCCATCTTGCTGGTCCATCTTGTAGATGTGAAGTCAGAGACGATAGCTCATCTGCTGCTGCACAGTTTGTGTTAGTGATCCTCTAGATCTTCATCAGTGGTCACAGGGCACTGCCCACAGGATGCTGTTGGCTGGATATTTTTGGTTCTCAGTCCAGCAGTGACACTGAGGTGTTTAAAAACTGCAGCAGCACTGCTGGACTGAGAACCAAAAATATCCAGCCAACAGCGTCCTGTAGGCAGTGCCCTGTGACCACTGATGAAGATCTAAAGGATCACTAACACAAACTGTGCAGCAGATCCACTCATACCAGCACAAAACACACAAACACACCACCACCACATCAGTGTTACTGCAGTGCTGAGAACGATCCACCACCCATACCTGACCTGGTCCTGTGGGGGTCCTGACTATTGAAGAACAGGGTAATGAAGTATGCAGAGAAACAGATGGACTACAGTCTGTAATTGTAGAACTACAAAGTGCACCTATATAGTAAGTGGAGCTGATAAAACTGACAGTGTGTAGATACAGCTAAATGTACTGTAATAAAGTGGCAGGTCAGGGTGTTCATTAACTTTATTATATTACCAGCCAGTGACAGTGCATGACTTGCTGTTAAAGCACCATATTTCAGGAATAAATTTCAGATTATCCAATCAGATAATGAAAGCTGTGTCCTTCAACTTCTCACTTTCCACCATCCATTTTTACAGACATAGGGTGTTTCTAAAAATCAGGCTGACATCACAAAAACTTAAACAGTCTCTAGAAATAGCACATGAGCACACACAATTGAAATGTACACGAGAGATCCAGCACACGAGGGACACTCACTTGCCTCAATATTAGGACTGTTTATTAAGCAAGGCCTCATCTTAGTCACTCACTCTATTCTCCAGGGCTGCAGAAAGTGCAACTGTAAATCTTGTATGTCTGATACAGTTAAAGTGAATTTAATTCCATAGTGTTGCTAATAGTACTTTTAACAAATTCTACACAATTTCCCCTTCTAAAAAGGACAAAATGGACAAAATTCAGGTTTTAAGATGGCTACTACTCCTTTTTTGAATAGCAATGTGACATACCTTTGTCCATTTTTATAGATAACAGTATGACACAGTGTCAGAAACCACATAAGTAAGTCTGTTTTGAGATTACTTAAGTTAGTCCCTGGAGCATACACCTGCTCATTCAACCTTTCTTTCTAAATAAGGGGTATTAACAGGGAATTTGGCCCCTTTGCTGTAGTAACAAGCTCTACATTTCTGGTAAAGCTTTATACCAGATGTTAGAACACTGCTGTGTAAGATCAGGTACTGATGTTGGATGATCAGCTCTGAATCACTCCAGCTCATACCAAAGGCACTGAATGGAGCTCATTCACTCCAGAAAACGCAGTTCCACTGCTCCAGCCCGGTGATGCTTGGTATTGGGCATGTGCAGCCAGTCTAGATCAAGACCAAAGACAAAGTTCCTGGGTACTTTTAGAAACATATAGAAACATATAGTGACATTCGAACTAACACAATAATTAAGGGAAATGTTGGAAAAATAAATGTTCAAAAACCTTTGGTTTAGTTACATAGCAATAGGTAGTTATATACTATACTAGCTAGTAGGGCTGATTTGCGGAACATATCTAATTGTGATTTCTCTGAATAATCTTGTGACTGCAATGTAAATTGTGATTATTATCTATAAGGCGTAAGGTTCAGGCCTGTTTTTTTTTTGGCCAAGAAGTTCAGAATATCCACTTTTCCTGGCTTGAGGCCTGACCCCTGAATGCAGTGTGCCAGACTACCAATAAGTTGTGGTTGTGATGTCACAACACATGGAGGTTTGGTTGCCTCTGATTGGTTTACCTTATCTACAGGCATGTCACAAGCTCTGTGTTCGTAGGTTCAATTTCCCCCACTTAAAACTTAGAATAATGTTTTTGAAAAACGCTCTTAAATTGTGATTTTCATTTAAAACGAAGATAATACTTTTTTAGTCCACACACACACACACACACACACACATTTTCATACGTTTTGGTATTATATTATTCTTACATCATACTCCATAACAGTGTGTTTCGTTACATGTAGAGCAGCTTAGATGAACCTACTTTGACTTATAATTAGGAAATGTTTTCTTAAATTAAGATGAATTGTACTGCAATTGATACATTTCTTTCTTTCTTGCTTTCTTTCTCTGTTCTTTTTTCTTTTGTATGTTGGACAATTTTGACGTTTTAAAAAATGACATGCGATATAGAAGGCTGTGAAATGCTACTACTAATAATGACCATGGTAATAGTAAAAGTTATAATAATACGAGTGTTATACGAGCTGGCCGTATTTGTCTTGTGTGTTTTCCTATTAATTAACGATTAACGATTAATCTCTCAAGCCTACTAGCTTGTAATATTAAAATAATAACTACTAATTTACTAAAAAGTAAAGCAAAAAGCATATTTAACACTGAGAAACTGAAATTATATAACAACAGCATAGAGTACCTTTATATTCTTTCTCACTCCTTATTACAACTGCAAATTCTGTCCAATAATAAAATTAACCCAAATAATCCTGTACACATTGTGTGACATCAAAACCAAGGAAAATCAAATCAAAAAGTCAGAAGTGCAGATCTGTGTGTACAAGCAATTCATTACACAACTAATAACGAAATTAATGATGTAATCATGAGTTCACCTTACTATTCACTGAATCTTGCTTTTTTAAACCTTTAAACAGTATAGCAAAATGACTTGCTACAATCATGTTGTGCAATGCCAAAGAACCTTAGGGAGATTAATGGAATTTGGCCGTTCCCTGAAAGAAACTAAGCCAACGCTAGCCAACAATGCTCCAGCCAAAAGGGCCGTGTTACTGAACTTAGCATGGCCCTGTATAATGTCAATAAGATTTCTGTTTGTTGGACCTGCTGTTTCCACTCACTTTCCAATCCTACAGTCATTTATGCCCTATTTGTTTGCTAGCATATGATCTGGAATGTGTTTTAAATACCACTCATCATAAAATATCTGTACAGAACAAAGTCAGATTTGTAAACACAGTGAGTCTATTATTTACATAAAGGACTGAGGAAGGCCTGAAGCAGTCTGAGTAAGCCCAAGTTCTCCATAAACAGTATGGATGTAATTTGTGTAGTGTGTCAGTCCATATTTATCTTAAGAAAAAGGCCATAGGCTTGCATACGCTTCCTCGGAAGAGCAGTAGCAAATTAATATGCTGATGGCGTTCATGTCGGCGCACTCAATGCTCCATTGTAATGGCCTTTTGCTTACAGTTTATCTATGCTCATGTGATAACCTTATTACGGTGTTTATCTGCCATGCAGGAATGTCACAAGATACATTGTCATCTATAAAAGCATTGGAAAAAATTTGAAAGGGCTGCTTTACAGTCAGTATGACATTAACCCATCCTTTACAAGTAAGGAAGTCTGGACTTGTTTTTTTTCCAGTAATCAAAATTATGTGCATATCTCTGCTGTCAGACAAAACCTTGTATCTCCATTTTTATCATTTTTTCAGTTTTTGACATAATTTGAAAATGCCTATTGTCCTTTACATTGTGTGTAAATTTCATTATCAATGGACTGAAAGACATAAAGCCCAATATTACTTAGAAAAAAGTCTGGTTCCACTGACTTACATTTAAAGTAAAGTTACTATCAAAGTAAAGTTACCATGAGTTTTTTTTCTGACGACAGCAATATCTTTAGAATAGTGATAATATAGTAGTTTAGAATAGTGATAATGGTAATGTGAACGGTAGAACCTCAAACTGGGTTGATATCAGTCTGGCCTTGCATCTAGAGCTCTGATCCGAGAGTCTGAACCTCCAACTTGTTGCATTAGCTCCATTCCCATCTCTCATTTTTTTGTGATAAACCTGGCTCTTTCACATTCCTCCATCACCAGAACAATTCTGAATCCATACACCCGCCCTCAAACACATTTGGCAGCCGGAAATTGATATTGTGGATGGTTCAAAGGCCTCTACAGCACAAGGGAGAATTACACTGTCCAAAAGTGTCCAGATGCCCCATCCAATTAGTGAACTCAGCAGCAAAAGTGGAATAATGAAAGTACGTTCTCTGGAGTGAATGTTAAAAATATGTAGTCACTCAAGTTTAAAATGTGAGCTATCATCAGTAAAGCTTAACACCACTGACAAAATTACTAGAACTGAAGCTTTTCTAATAAGACCATCTACTGCCACTTTAGAGTCAAAGTCACACCGTATGTAGAAAATGACTAATATTGCATTCATGTTGTTATCAGAAACCTAAAAAGAGATTTCACAACCGTGGATATATGTATACAATTTTAGAATAGGACAATACTTAATTTCAATGCATTTTAAAGCATATTTACAATTTAAACTGAAAAATTATTATTTCTCAAAAAAAGCACTACTTCAGCATCTGTCAGCATCTGTGAAGTCACAGCTGACACACTAAAAATCATTAAAATAAAAATTCAAAAAGAAGAATTATGATTTATGATTTTTGTGACGCAAAACACACATACATCAACCTCCTGAGGTTTGTTCTTATTTTAAGCTCATTTTCATGGCTTCAAAGCTGTGGGACAACATTTGCCACCACACTGGCAGAATAACCAACCTCTGGGATAAGTTGTAGTAAAGTTTGTGGAGCAACGACACTGCGTCACTCTCTGGAGTGATGGAGCTCTGACACCTTTAGGATGAGTTTGGAGTGTCCAGAACTAATCATCCAACATCAGTACCTGACCTCACTAAGGCTCTTGTGGCTGAATGCAATCAAATCCTCACAGCAATGTTCCAATACCTAGTGTAAAGCCTTCCCAGAAGAGTAGAGGCTGTTACTGCAGCAAAGGAGGAGAAAGTCACTATTAATAAGAGAATTAAATTGACCTTCATAAGCTGCTTATCTCTCCTCTAAGTTACTCTAAAACATCTAAAAATGGTTCAAGTTCAGCTTCTTTCACCGGGGTCAGCCAGGTAAGTTAAAACTTCAGCTTTACTGTCGACAGGCGACGTCTTTTTTTATGAAAAAAACGAAGCTGAAGTCAGCTTTTTATTCGAATTTACCGTTCCACCTTAAATGGTGCAGCAGTAACTGCCGCGTTTAAGGTGGAACGGAAAATTCGAATAAGAAGCCAGCGGATAAGAGGAGGATTTTAGCTTCGTATGATAAAAGCGGTGTATTTTGGCAGTAACCGCTGAATTACTGTGACTTACCGATATCTTCGTCTTTCTCCTCCATGTCTGGTGAGGAATATGCAGTTAAGCTCCAGCTCGAACAGTCCGCGTGAGCTCCTCGAGCCTAGACGAGCTTTTAACGGAGCAGTAAGTTTTATCTACACAACCTGAGAGCCTCACAAACCACGCCCACCGCCGCTCCTCTCGATCCTCAGTGATTTATTTACTAACATTAACTAATAAGAAGAGAAGATTCTGGGCGTGGAGATGGTGTAATGTGGGCGGGGCCTGAAAACGCCACCATCAGTAACCCACCCCAAAATAAATAACTCTATTTCTTAAAGGGCAATTCCACCAATCTTTCAAAACTTTGCATAATTCAGTCGTAAACAAAGTCATTCAGAGTGGTTTGATGTGAAATGGTTCGTTGTAGAGACTCTTTACAGTGGTGGTGAGAGGAACCAGGGCCCCAGCGGTCACAATGTCTACAACACAAACATAGCCATTTTATTTACTATTTAAAACCACCAGAGAACCTACACGTGTCTTTTAAGGGTTTAGATGTAATATTTATGATGGTAAAGTAGTGGAAAACTGAAACAATAAGGGTCTTTGGGACTATTTTGCCTTACAACGTCCTGCATGTATCCCTTCGCCATTAATAGATTAAAATGGATTAATAAGATGTTTTAGGCCTAAACATGATCACAAAACTATTGTAAAACAATGTATCTGACAGGAGGCAGCATATTCATAACCATTGCCATTTAATAACTTTCTGTGAGGGAGCTTTTAGAGGTGGATGTGTGGTTCCTATCACCACCACTGTGAACAATTCTGAGTCAGTTTCATTTCTCTTGAACGAAGCATTTTGCATCAAAACACTCTGAATGACTTTGTTTACATCTGAACCATTTAATTATGTAGAAATTTAGAACAATTTGTTCTCCTTTAAGTGAACAATCTAAAATATCTATATATTAATGCATGTTTATGTTGTATGAATGATTGTTCCTAAAACATAAAGAAATATGTTTGTTAATTGCATGATTACTACAGTTTACAAGCTGCACTATAGTTCTTAAAGAAACGCACTATAAAAGTAAATACAATTTATTAACACAGTATAAAATGTAAAAATAGATTAAACATGTTCATATTTAATATATTATACAAAAAATCATTATTATTATTATTATTGTTATTATTATTATTAATAAGAATAAATAACTATTTTAAGTGCTGAAGTATTATGTAATATATACACATGAGAAAGTGTGGACTTGGTTTCTTCTCTGAGGATTTTCAGAACAAGAGCGCTTTCAGACTACTCCCCCTTTCTAAGAGAAATTAAGGTAACACATCATCTACAGGGAATAAACTTATTTTTTCCTGAACATTTTAGTGCACAGTTTCTATTTATTTGCTGAGTTTGACATATTGGACAAAATAAAACATAAAATGTACCATATCTTTTGCACAGGCCATTTACACATTTTTTCCCAATATTTTAGCAAATAAACAGTAATTGTGCATTAAAATGTGAAGTGTTCATTTATTTTCACTAAAAAAAATTAACACAACATGGAATTTGACCAGGGGTGCCCAAACCTTTGCTTATATACAAAAATATATATACTCACATCTCCGTTTTAGTCATTTTTTGTTACTTTTTTGCATAATTTGTAAACATCAGTGGCCCCTGGACATTGTGTTAAAATTTAATGAGCAACAAACCAACATAAACGGAAGCTGGAAAAATCTTGCTGCATTAACTTTCAATAAAAGCTAAGAACTTTTTTCTTCTCCTGTCAAAGTGACATTTTGGAGATGCAGCGTTTTGTTCCGACAGTGGCAACATACTACAAAATCACACAGTTACCACAGTATGCATAATATTTGTCTGGTTTATTCTCACAATATCATTTGGATCATTGTAACAGTCATGATTATTCTTTAAAATGACAACCTATAACCTTTTACAAAATATGGAGAAATGTAATGATACCACATTTTTACAAATTCATAGATTTAATTCACATCGTGAATTAAAGCTGGGAGACTGTAACATAAACTCATCGTGTAAAATTGTTAATATGTGAATGTGAATATATATGCCCTTGAAATGTGAGAGCCAGCCAGGGGAGGGAAGGGTGGCCTAAACCCAAACTCGAGTAAAAGTACTGTAACTTTGGTGAAATACAGTTAAAATGAAAGTAACTTTACAAAAACAACTTACAAAAACAACAAAAATATTAGGTCAAAAAACGACATAAGGAACCCGAGTAACTTACAGAACTACAACACATGAACTTAGCACAGCATAGAAAAATGAAGTTGGTAGTGCTATATTGTTCTCTTTTTAATGCACTTTTGGTCTAAAAAATAATCGTAAATCCCATAAGTCAGAGGTGTGGATAACCACAAAGCAGCACAGATGCTGTCACAAACAAAACATAATGAAATTCATTTTCCTCCCACATCCCTGTTAACGTTTTGGCTTTGAACTTGAAATGCCAAATGAAACAAAGTAAAAATGTATAAATCAAAACACATTTCAGTGTCTTATGTGTTTAACTACTAACACAATACAAAACAGCGATGAATAAGTGATGAATGATGCAGGCTGAACAGTGCTGTAATAAAAGTCTTAAGAAATGGTGCAGCAGAGACACTTGGCAGGGTAGTCCTTGGTGAAGACCTTGTGCTCAGCTCCATACACAAAGAAGATGTGCGTCTTCTCCTTCCAGGCGTAATGGACTCGAGTGACCGGGATCAGCTCGATGGTCTGCCTCTGAGGAACAAATGCACAAGCATTGTGGCTTTGACCTTTTTCACATCCTCCAATTCTCTCTTCAGTTAATCACAGCGGTACAGTTCACATTTATGAATCAAACACATTCACTTACTGTAATAATGCACTGACAAAAGTGAACAATGGAATTTAGATCAATACTTTGAGCTTCAGAATCTCTAAAAAGATGCAAGTCTTCCAAATTCAGCCCTCAAGGCCTACTAACAAGTCGACGAATTGTTGTTTTCCAGATGCTAATGTGCTTTAGCCAAATATTCAAAGACACGGCACGTGTAAAGAGTTTGCAACAGTTCATCCAGATTTGCAGTTTCCCTCTTTACCCCATATGTAGCTGATCAGCCAAGACATTAGTGTTTAGTGTCAAGTCTGCTTCTTTAGCTTTGCACTGGAGCTACAAGGCTAATGTAGCTAACAAGCACTGGAGGTTTCTGGCCACCATTTATGCCTAAATCATCACACACTTGTCTCAAACTGCACCTTTGAGTTGTTATGTAATCTCAAATGCACCTATTTATGTAATTTCTGACAAGGTATGACATACTGTAATCTAGAAAAACTGACAAATTGGAGTGTCTACTTGATTTATGCAGCAGCTTCACTCCAGAAAAGAGTAGAAAACGTCAAAGCATTTAATGCCAAGACAACCTTGCTGTCTTAAGTGAACGCAGTGCATCATTAGCATAGCCAGTAGTTTGCAGTTAACTTCATTGAATAAAATAAAAAAAAAATTCCCTGTAATTTTTACATTTTGAGTTGTTCACCTGAGATAGGGCAATAACATTACATATCGGCTCAATTTAATCCACACAGAATATAAATAAACACTTCTTTAAGTGCCTCCATACATAAGAAGCCTATTTTCCACAACATGTTGATTCACACTGGATTAATATAACCTGGGTTTTTTTCTAAGGAGGCGCCAGAATCTTCACTGTCATGTATAAAAGCTGCCAACACTGCATTGTGTAGCTAAAAACAGTAGTAGCCACCTTGGAGCCTGACTGTTTGTCTGTACCTCTGTCTTTTTGTCGACAACGCTAGAGTGACCAGATGTCCCTGTTTTCAGGGAAATGTCCTGAGAAACAGCTGCCAGAAAAGCAGATGGGTAGACGTCTTGTGTTGTGCTTGCTTTGGCCAACAGAGGGGGCTAGTTTCAGAAAATACTGCGGTGTAAAACTCAGCCAGAAACTAGCAAGAGACCATTGTCCACAACATCACCACAAACGTCTTTTCAAGACAAGAGGGGTTACAGGACTTGAATCGTACTACCAGGTATCTGATTTATACAGGTATACAGTCTACTTAAATGTAGGCTTTCATGTGATCTACAAGTAGCACATCATTTTTTAAAACCATGTCACTTTTTCAGTCATCCATATGTGACAAATGGCATAAGTTGATAGCAGCCATCTCTGACTCTACAGAACTGGAACTAGCCCAGAGGTTAGTTTAGGGTTTGGGTATTTGGCTACAGCCATGGGTCTCTTTTATGGCGAAAGTATTTAATATGAATACGAATTATGGGCTCTGAATCTTTTGTGGTAAACATATCCCTGCCTCATTCCTGCCTAAGCCACTAGATCTAGTGACTTTTAAGGCCCTTTTTACTTAGCAACTTTATTTCTAAAAAGCAGTGAATGACGAATCACACAAGGGGAAAGCAATACACATCAATCTCAGTCAGAAGTGTCTTTCTATCTCTCCTTGCACAGGAGTGAGTTACTGTGGTTATGGGGAAAAGCAGTAATGATGAACAAAAATTAATTTATAGTTAATTTATTAGTACCCAATTTTATCCGCTGCCCTTCACCACAGCTTATTACAGTACAACAGTTACACACTAAATAAATTAAACTGGAACTGCCCTTCCTTTTTATTTCATAGATAAAACACTGGATATTTTAATGATATACTGACTGCCGAACTGGAAATGTCCCTGGTTTTTATTTGAGAAATCTGGTCACCATAGACAGCAGTATTCAGTCAAGTGTCCTAACAAACCAGCAAGTCTGAGAGGCAGTTTGAGGAAAGTGTGTGATTACTATGCTAACTGCAGGCTATACACTTCCATTTCTTTTTAAATACATTGTAGCTCCAGTCCAAAACTAAAGAAGCAAGTTGGACATCAGAAATGTTTTGGCTGACTACATTTGGGGGGAAATTGTGCGCTTGTTGGCTGAATAATTGCTCTGAGTTGAACTGAAATTCAAGATGGATTTGCTGAGGGTCATCAAGGACTGAATGGTAAACTTTCAGTACAATGAAGGGACTGCTGCAGAATTGTATGCAACATATATGGAATATACATGGAAGAATTATCATGTATTTCTTTATATGACTGAACTCCAAGTAACATGAAGGTTCCTTTACTGTAGGAAAGACAAGAGGCCTATGAGTAGCAAAAATAAGACATTCATTTCCAGCACTTCAAAGCAAACAGTGGGTAGTCTGATATGTCTCCATTGGCTTTAACTAACACACGCCAGGCAGTCAGTCCTAAAAGCAGAATTGAATACTGCAGTTACGAAAGGCCATTATCTCTGCTGCTAAATCGATCTGCCAAGATAGAGCTAATGAGGGCAATGACCTGTAGACGATCTTCCCATTAATGTTAGATTGGTGCAATGAAGGAAAGTGAAGTGAGCCAAGAGAGGGGCTTACATAGACAAAAGTAATGAGGCTGGAGTGAAGCCACAGGAGGGGCCTGAACAGGGCAAAGATTTAATGTGGACAACACAAAAACTCCTTAGTCTGACAGAGCCGAGCACCACAGAAGAATACATTAATGACATAACGCAGATAAAGCCATAAGTATTCTAACACTACAATAGATGTTTACTGAAAAATAACAGGGGTCCTCCAAGCCCCTCGTCCAGTATATCACATGTCTTCTCAAAGACGTCACCCCTAGCAACCAAGGGGAGGTCCAGTATAGCAAATTACTAGCAGCTGTTCTTAAAGAGACAGGATTGTTTTTCTTCCTTAGGATTCTATTGTTCTGACACTGCAGTTCCGTAAAGATAGAACATCAACAGCACAGACTGTAGTTTAAATGACAGAAAACCTTCTGCTGTTTGTGACATATTGCGTTTGAGATGTGTGCCGAGGTGATTTAACTGGCACATTTATAGAAATGCTGAATGCACATTGTCCCTGTAAATCTAAACTGGTCAAGGTAAACTAAATATTGTTGATAACTTGGCCAAAGTTTCACAGGAGAGGGATAAAATGCTTACTTATAAGCAGACAACTTGTAAATAAGAATATATACAGTAATTAGCCTACATATATGTTAATTAACTATGGCTGCAGTCTGATAACTGCACTGTTAATATCAGTATAGGCAGATAATGTCTTTTTTAAAAATTAGCATGAGACAGTTATTTAGATTTGGCTGATTTTTCAAACCAATACTGGATGATATACACCATATTAGGGGTGCGGGAAAAAATCGATTCTTAGATGCATCGCGATGCAGACGTGAACGATTCACAAATGTCAAAAAATTGATTTTCTAAATATTTAATTTATAACGTAATGTTGACGGAACGCAAAGGGCGGAACTTGGAAGTGGGTAAGTGCAGCGCCCGGACAGTCTGTGGCGGCACATAACAAAAACACAGCTGGATGAGTGAGAAATCCGACTGGCTCCCTCTGCATTAAAGCCAGGTTAGATCAGGAGTCACAACACAAATGATAAGAAGAGCCATTTTGTCCTTTCAACAAAAATCAAACCAGCTTGGGAGCCACAACATTTAATGTCCAGCATGTCTCAGTATGTGATAATGTCCTAGTTTAGGCTAAAGAATATATAAACAAAAACGCGGACTTACTCTGTTCTGCTTTAAGCTTTATCTATAGCCGCTTTCCTCCCATCTCCGCCAGAAAACTTTCCTCAAAAGTTGAATAGTTTCTTGTAAAATGTGTTTCAGCTTTCGGTTGTTTTACGAGGCTGAAGTCGCTTCTCATTCTCCAGCTTCTTGCTGAACTTTCCGGTTCCACCTTAAATTCTGACTGCGACGCCGAATGTAATTGCGGCACCATTTAAGGTGGAACAGGAAAATGTTTGACAGTCTCTCGTTGCGCTGCTTATAAATGCGAATAAGTCCATTTGTCTCCAAATGCTCGTCTGTCTTTCTCTTTTCTTTTTCGTTCGCTACTAGCCAGGCGAAACCTCGTTGCTACGTGACCTGCAATCCTTCGCGCTCCACCCCCCAAATCATCCATTACCACTGGACCTTATTTCACCGTAACAGTGCATTTTATCGCAGATTTAGTGGCAGCAGCGTCTCATGTGCTCCAAACCAGAGCAGTAAATGAGAGCCTTCTAGTTTACTTGCCACATCACTTCCATTTGATTTATTAATAAAAGATATTGGACGTAAATGCACTATGGATCATTACAAATACTTCGTTTTAAAACTACCAAGTCCTCACACAGTAAGAAAATAGAAATCATGTGTAGAAAAAAAAGATGCATCAAGATGCATCGATAATCGTTTTATAATCGCATCGCAGCCCTCTGAATCGTAATCGAATCGAATCATGAGGTGCCTAAAGATTCCCACCCCTACACCATATGGACATTATGACACCCCACCTGAGTTCAGGTGTTTTAGCCACTCCTATTACTAACGGGTGGATAAAATTAAGCACATAGCCTTGCAGTCTCGATAGACAAGCAATGGCAGTGAAATAAGTTGTACTGAAGAGCTCAGGGACTTTAAACGTTCCACCTCTGCCACAAGTCAGTTTCTGAAATTTCTGTCCTGCTAGATCTGCCCCTGTCGACTGTAAGTGGTATTGTTGTTAAATGGAAGCACGTAGGAGCAACAACAGCTTAGCAATGGACCACACAAACTCACAGACTGGGGCCAATGAATGCTGAAGCGCACAGTGTCTATCCTCTGTTGAATCACTCACTAAGGAGTTCCAAATTGCCTCTGGCAGCAACATCAGCAAAAGAACTGCACGTTAGGAGCTTCACGAAATGGGTTTCCATTGCTGAGCAGCTGCACACAAGCCTAAGATCAAAATGCACAATGCCAAGCAGCGGGGGGAGTGGTGTAGAGCATGGCGCACCGGACTCTGGAGCAGTGGAAACACATTCTGTGGAATGGCAAATCACGCTTCTCTATCTGTCAGTCTGATGGACAAGTCTGGGTTTGGCGAATACCAGGAGAACGTTACCTGCCTGACTGCACTGTGCCAACTGTAAAGTTTGGTGGAGGAGGGATGATGTTATGGGGTTGTTTTTCAGGGGTTGGCCTAGACCCCTTAGTTCCAGTGAAGGAAAATATTAATGCTTCAACAGACCAAGACATTTTGGACAATTGTATGCTTCCAACTTTGTGGGAAAAGTTTGGGGAAAAACCTTTTGTGTTCCAGCATGACTGAGCCCCAGTGCAAAAAGCAAGGTCCATAAAGGCACGGCTGGGGGAGTCTGGTGTGGAGAAACCCTCACAGACCCCAACCCCATCTAACACCTTTGGGATAAACTAGAACGGAGATTGTGAGCCAGGCCCTCTTGTCCAACATCAGTGTTTGACCTCTTCTGGATGAATGGGACAAAATTCCCACAGACTCACTGCAAAATCTTGTAGAAAGCCTTCTTGTTAAAGCTGCAAAGGGGGAACCAACTCCATATTAATGCCTATAGATTCAGAATGGGAAAGCTCCTGTAGGTGTAATGTGTAGGTGTCCCAATACTTTTGTCCATATAGTGTACTTACGGTACTTCAGAAAAGCAGAACATTTAGTTGCCAGTTTTCTGAATTACTGCATTTGTAACTCTACAGAAACAAAAGTTATATTTCTCTGTAATGCTAAAACAGGTAGATGTAGTTCCAATTTCTACATTTTATAAGTGTTTGTGTATCGGCAGGTCCAGACATAAAAACAAGATCAGACATCAGCATCGGTGCATCCCTGTGTTTAGCACTATATGGCTTTGAGATATCAGAGAAATAACCTACATCAGTCACACATTTGTCTTCAAACAGCACAGTACTGTGCCATTATTTGGCCTCTACTGCACATCATTTGGACACTATAGATTGCAAAACATTGTGGGATCTGACTAGATGTACCTCTCAACATGAAAAACTGACCTGTGTCCCTGCAAAGACATTTTGTACCAAATTACCTTGCAAGATTGAACTCAAAAGAACAAAAGAATGCAGAATGTACCAATTAGAGTTTGAGTGTCTAACAGCTCCTTACCTGCTGTAGGATACGGCAGGAGGTGGAGAACTGAGCCTGATGTTCCTGCACAGCCTTCCTTGAAGCTGTGTTTACTGCCTCATCAGGGAAACTGCTGACTGGATAGACCTGCGACATTCAATGGGAATCATAATGCTCAGTTTAACATTCATACAGCAACTGAATATTCACTGGACACATGGGCTAATTTCATACATACATTAGGTAATATAAGGTTGATCCAAACTCTTTCTTTAAAACTATGTTTTCCAATTTTAAAGGATACATGAAAGCAGAGTATGTTAGCAGTGACTACAGACTGAACAATGCTTTTATACTGTCAGTTTTTGAGTTTCAACTCATTCCATTTACACAAAAAGTACTGTGCAAAAGTCCAGCCAAAGTAGCCGGTAAATACAAGTTATTAACTTTGTCAGCGTCTGGGAAAAAAACTGAAAACATATATTTAACAGACAATGACACAGAAGTCTCAATGACTATAAAATTATATATATATTTTATACAAATATATTTTTTATACAAAAATATTTATATTTTTGTCCACCCATTTTTGAAACCTGTCATTTTTATATCATTTCCTTGTTCTAAACACCCCCACCTCTTGTACGTCTTAGAAGTTGGTTGCATTTCTGCATCTAAACTAAAAAACCTTCTTTTTTCACTTGTTTCCTTTTGACTTTCTTCTACCTGCAAGTGGATTATTGTATATCTCCTTGGAAAAATCTGCTCAAAAAGAATATGTTGTGCTTCCCTTTGACTGGAAATTAAATAAATGAATGGTGATGTCTGACTTTCTGTACGGTACTGTATATATAGCCAATTTATTAGCTACTAGTCATGGGGAAGGATGTCTGTGCTGTGCATATTTAAACTAGCATAATTTTAACTTCAGTCATGCGCATGGAAAAGTTCCAGTGGGCTTCCCAGGTGATCCATGGAAGCATTCTTTGGTTTGCTCACCAGTGCATTCATGTCAGTAAGAAGCGTTTCTCCAGCAACAGAATCAAGAAGGTCAACAGAGAATCCTGAGCGCTTATCCATCACCTGCACATAAACGTTGTTTGTCCTGAAAGGATCACATACAAAGAGAAAAACCATTAGCATTAATCACAGACCCTGAAGTAATAACCCTCCACTGTGTCTCACTACTTGCAAACAATTACTGATGATTTATACCACTTAATCTTCAGCTTGACGTAGCAAAGGAGTTGTCCTCTTCCTTGACAGGTTGTGCAGGTGGTTGATCCGACTCCTGAGCAGTCTCTACATCTAGAATAACAAAATCATGTTATAGTAACAAGAAGCACTCTGAATTAAAGCCCTTACCCTAAATGTAGTCAGTTGGCCTGGTGTCTGAAGTCGGCTTCTTTAACTTTGCACTGCAGCTACGAGGCTAATGTACCTAACAAGTAATTGAAGCTTATACCCCACCAATTAGCATCTTGTAAATTGCATGCCAAAAATAAGCACATACTTGCTTCAAACTGGGTCAAGTTGTTACATAGTCTCAATCAGACTGGCTTACGTGGTTTCTACAACTGTATGGCATACAGTTATCTTTGGAAAAGGAAAGAAAGTATGTTTAATAAATGACTTGCAGAGCTACGATCCTATGGCTAACCTTATTCTAACGTATCTGGCTTCAATCCAAATGTAGTTGATCAGTCAAGACATGTTTAGTGTCTCAAGTTTGCTTCTTTAGTTCTTTATAAAAATGACCCAGATATTATACAAAATACAAACAAAAAGGCTTCAAAATGGCTTCTACTGTTTTATGCATGTAAATTTTGTACATTTTTATACATAACACTATGTGATCTTAGTGTATTAGTGATGTTAATTGGTGGTCATAAGCTTTCTTCATGTGTTAGTTATAGTACTGCACAAAAGTCAGTACTATAACTAACACATGAAGCTACAAGCTGTTAATTTCATAAGATATTTCTGAAAAGATTAGATATAAGATAATCCACATGCATAAAAAATGGGAAGTCAATAAAAATAAGTGAAAAAAACAGGAGTTTCCAAAACTACAGTTTAAAAAATGTTAAAAAGCTACAAAGAAAATGGGACTCCTAACAACCCTGGAAGAACTGGTAGACACTAAAACTGTCCTTATCAGATAAACGGCATGTAAAGCTTTCATCTTTGAGAGAGAGGAGAAAATCAAGCTGCTTCAGATCTGAAAGCATTCATAGGTGTTTCTGTCCATCCTTCCACTGTGAGATGACAACTCAGCGCTATGGGTCTGAAAGGATGTGTAGCTGTTAAGAAGCCTCACTGAGAAAAGGAGACAGACACATCAAACAAAGAAGCTGAACAATGGACTGACCACCCCAGAGTCCAGACCTCAACATCACTAAATGTGTGGATTACCTAAATCATAAAAAGCAGAAAATGCAACCAACTTCTAAGACTGAACTTTGAAGGTGTGGAAAAATGTTCCTAAAGATTTCTTTGAAGAACTGAAAGCGGGTCTCCCAGAAGGTGTAATAAAGGTAAAGGACGGACACATTAAATACTGGAAAAAACATATATTTAGTCATTGAGGCTTCTGTTTTACTTTATTAATGTGTTTCTGCTTTTTATCATTAAACTGAAAAATTAGTACCTTGTACTTAATGCCTGTTTTGACTGAAATTGAAATAAGTTTAGGGTGGTCTCTGACTTTTGCACAGTACTGTACATTAGCCTCTTAGCTTCAGATTTATGTCCACTCACCTTAATCCCCTAAACTCAAATTGCTCATTTGTATTTTATGATTATATAACTACCTAATAGTTTCATAGTAGTTCCTGACTAATAAGACTTAAGATTCATGAGTTAAAGCTATTCAGATGCACCTGAAGTCCCTGATTAGGTGACTTAGATTAGTAGGTGCAGAAAAATTGATCAATAAAGCAGGTGCTTACTTGACTCTACCCAGCCCATTACAGGAATAACACCGTTGATTAGACGTGTTCGTCCCTGAGCCACCGCACATTTCACACTGGATCTGCAAGCAGAAGAACAAGCCCATGACACAGATACATGATATTTTTTAATTGTTTCTTTTCTTATTTTTTTTAATTCAGAGGTCACGAAAGGTGAATAATCGCAGTTCTTAAAGGATTATTCCAGTATTTTTCCATCTGATCTCTATCTGTCACATATCGTTGATTACCACATTACTATTTTACAAACAAATACTTTTAACTGAAGAATTCATGAAAGTGTTTTACAAAATTATGTGTTTTGTATAAACACACACAAATTCAGCAACTGCCCACTGGCTTCTGTTGAAAGGGAGTTTCGCATAAACAAGTTTTTCCCGTTCTGCTGTATATGCACTATTCAGCAAAGAAAAAAACAGTCTCTGAGTATTTATGTGCAAAATGTCATCATCCGTCACTTTGATAAGCCAAAACATTATGACCACTCAGAGTTGAAATGAGAAACATTGATTATCTCGTAACAATGGTGCAAGTTGAGGTCCCGGGATATATTTGACGGAACAGTCTGTTCTCATAGTCGAAGTTTTGAATGTGGGAGAAATGGGCTGGTGTGGAGACCTGAGCGACCTTGACAGAGGCCAAAACATTATGGCCAGATGACTGGGTCAGAGCATCTCAGAACTGACAAGGCTTGTGGAGTGCTTCCTGTCAGCAGTGGTAACCACTGACAGTGGGCCAAGGAAGGACAAACCACAAACCGGTGACAGGGTGTTATCTTTCTGTGGTCCAACAGAAGGACTACTGTAGCACAAGTCACATTATAATAATAATTATATAACCATCTTAATGATGGTTATGGGAAAAATGTGTCACAACATGTGTCATAGTCGCAGACCGGTCAGAATGCCCATGCTGATCCCTGCCCAGCGTTAAAAGCACTTGGCATGAGCATGTGAGCATAGTAACTGGACCTGGGAGCAATGCAGGAAGCTCAGCTGGTCGGACGATTCTTGTTTTCTCTTACATCACACGAGCAGCCAGGTACTCGGGAGGCCAGGTACGTGTGCAGTGTTTACCTGAAGATGGCACTGTGGGAAGAAGATAAGGTGGTGGAGGGAGTGTGATGCTCTGGGAAGTGTTCTGCTGGGAAACACTGGGTCCAGGCAATCACATGGACATCAATTTGATACGTGCCACCTACTTCCCCCTTTTAAAATCCCAGGCTTATTATATACGAAGGCCTATTATTCAGGAACTACAGGGACTTCAGTGCAAACTGATGGAGCTATTCTTAGGTTATAGAAGTGTGTAATAAAGCTCTGGACCTACTGGCAGGCCCTGGCCTTTCAAGGGGTTAAACATCATTGCAGACCAGATACCTCCCTTCATGGCACTGGTATAACCCTCTTTCAGCAGGATAATGCACTCTTCCACCCTGCACAGACTGTTTATGAATGGTTTGAGGAGCAAGACAAAAAATTCAAGGTTTTGCCCTGGCCTCCCAGATCTCAATCCAATCCAGCATCTGTGGGATGTGCTAGAACAACAAGAACGAACCACAGCAGCTCCACCTTGCAACTCATAGGACTTAAAGGATCTGCTGCTAACGTCTTGGTCACAGGTACTACATAGCACCTTCAGAGGTCTTGTAAAGCCCATACCTTGGTGGGCCGGAGCTGTTTTGGCAACATGCAGAGGACCAACAGCATGTTAGGCAGGTGGTCATAATGTTTTGGCTTATCTGTATATATTCATTTTAAAGGAAAAGACTTGCTGGCTGAGCTGTAGATCAAAAATTGTTATTTTGAAATGGACTTACCCTGCCAGATGTTACACATCGATTACATGCAGATTTGCCAAGATTCAGGCAAGAGTGACAGCCCTAGAATATAAAAGAGAGAAATTATAAGCTCTTGACACTCCACGTTTTCAATATAGTGACTTTAATGCAGTTTTGACTGCTCTACCTTTATGGAGGCCGTATGCGGGATGCGAATATCCATTTCAGAATCCACAAACAGAGTAGGTACGGAGACAGCCACATCCCACGGGCCAGGAGCTACACCACTCATTCCATCCACTAACTGGCCTGTAACACAGAAAGATGCATGACACAGTGCAGTGCTACACCTTCAACAGGTCTGTGTTGATAAGGTGTGAAATGTGTAAGATAAGAAGGTGTATGTATCTCCTGGGGAGTTCAGGGGCTGAGGGTCATGGGAAGTTCACTTACCTTGTTCACTTCTGATACTTTTCCCTATTCATAATCCTTATAGGGCACCTGATTTCCTTTGCATGTAGTTTTTGTACAGTGTTATTGGTTACCATAGGAATATAATATTTTATTTAGTTTATAGGCCCAAATCATGGAAAAACTCTATTTTCTGCCCTTTTAAAAAAAAAGGAGTTTAATATAGTATATAAACACGGATAACATTTCAAAACGTACACTTAGCTCCCCAGTACGTATAATCCAGCTGCAAAAACCGCAATATGTAGTTTATGCCCATTAATGCTGCAGTTATAAAGAGTGTTCTGGCCTGTACTGCTTTTGATTGAGGCACAATACAGAGCAGCCAATCAGAACAGAGCTCATTTACATTTAGTAGTCGTAAAAACACAGTAACAGTAACAGCCTGTTTAATTTGAGGGATAAAGCGAGGTTGGGAAATGGTCATGTAAAAATGAATTATTTTATTTGGGTAGATAAACCTGCACAAATGTGCAAACGTGGCCTTTGTGGGAAAAAAATAATCAAACCCCAGAAAAATACAGAATATCTGCCCTTTAAAAGCATCTTTTCATGCACTTGCATATATGCACATTATTACTGGACAACTTTTCCAGGTTCGGCTCCTGCTACTTTGAGTGCCAAACCTTTTGAACAAGCAGAGTATTCTGAAAACATAACATTAAAACATTTTAAAACTCTTAACAGGAGAAAAAATAAGCCTTTTTTTTTTTTAAACTTTATATAAAACTTTTTTTTAAATGCAGCTCAAAAGTCAAAATAATTGAGTCATAATTGTTTACAGCAGTTGTGACTGCACTGGATGTCTGAAGAGATTAATGACTTCACTCCCTTACAGAAGCTATGACGTAAAGTGGTTTTAAATGAGCTGTCTCGTGCCTAGGACATCGTTTTATGGTCGTTTTTAGACAGGTTTAGGTCTAAATTGTGTTTTTGTTATCAATTCATGGTGGAGGGGTACATGCAAAGCATTGTTATATAAAACATTACCAAAAGAAAACATATTTTTTAAATTTACCACCATTTTATGATTATCAACATTACTTCTAAAAACTCTTAAGACCTGTGTAGGTGGTTTTGGATAGTAAATAAAATGCCCACATTTGCATTGCAAACATCATGACCCCTGTTTCCCATCACCACCACTGTTAAGAAATCTTAAGAGTCTGTAAGTTTCTCTACAATGAACTCTTTCACATCGAAGCACTCTGAGTGACTCTGTTTACATCTCAACTATTGAAACATTGATGCAATACCTCTATAATTCTTCACTTATGCTTTGTTATAAGTACATTAGTGTTTTGGTTCTAGCCTTATGAGAATACTTCACCAAAATTAGATGTTATGATACGTATATTAATAGTCACTATTCTCCATAAACAGACAATGTGTTGTGAGACAATACATGGAGTTCCACTTTATGCTGCAAAATCGAAATTCTGAAAAAAATCTATAAAAAACACTGCCCTATTGACTTTGTGTTGTGGAATCGTAGTCAGATACACATGTGGGGCAACATGCTCTTTACTTTCATTTGTTGCACTTTGCATGTATTTACATTCATTTGTCTTCTAAGAAAATTCCTTGTTTGTTCACCAGGAACTGCAGCCTTATTTTGGCATCAAAAGAACAAAAGAATACTGGCAATTCTTTTTTGCTGCTGTAAAAATATAACATATTATGGTGCTAAGAACACATATATAAGCGTATACATAACACAACACCAAATGTGTGCTGTTATTCCCCTCCCAAATATGTTAACATGACTCTAACATTGTATTTAGTAGGACTGAATTTTCTATTGTGGCCATTTTTTTAATGAAATTGTGAGGAAAACGTGCTTTTTTTACCATTATATGGTTCAGTGGCCCATTCAGTGGATCTTGACTCTGTAAACGTCTCCAGTCGATACTAAGAACGAAAAAAACAGCGATAATCAAAATTTCTGAATACATAGCATGTACATAGCATGCAGTATACTGTAAATAACATCACCATACTACAAAGTTAACCCACCCGATAGGTGTTAAGAGCTTGAAAGTCTGTTAAGACCATCTCTTTGGGTGGTTTCCTGCTGTAGCAACAACTGCTGTAGGCATACTCAGTGAAAGCCTCCCTGGCAAGCTCCTCAGAAATGGCAGGAATGCTGCAGAAATAAGACGAAAGATTGCCTTAATAAGAAGATTATTTATTCAGACTTCTTAGATCACAGAACAGTGAATATGTTTCTTAAAGCTGACATAACTATTTCACAGAATGAACTCAATACTCCAAAGCTCTTACTCCCAGCGTCTGGTAGGTGAGGTAGCCGGTGGCTGCGGATGCTGATATCCTCCTGGTGGGGGTGGAACATCTAGAATTAACATAGAGAGTGCAGGTTATCTTAGATGAGTGGTGGAAAATATGAAAAAATGTTATCAAAATTGTGATAAACTGCTTAACAATGCACCCTTCTGAGTATAATAAATGTAACTATATCAATTATAATTACTAAAAAAGACAGATTCACACCAATTACAAAGAGCAAGTAAACAACAACAACAACCAGTGATAAATGAGAGGCTGTCAGCTCATAATGTAATTTTTTCAGAATTTATTTTTCTCAATTCTTTGATTTTTTTGCTGTCTGTCTTAAAATAGTTTATCTTTGCAAATAACAAGCTTTTTAAAATGTGGCACTATTTTTTTGCATTATGTCTGATCCAACTTGTTTTTCTGAACACTCATTATTTAAAGTATTTCATGTTTATTAGATATTAAAGGGAAAGATACACAGACAATTTCAAGGCATAATCTAACACCATGTATCATTTATAGCCATAGGCTAATTTGCAGTGTTCCTGAATGGCCCTTTAATAAAACACCATTCCCTAAGTAGGAAAGGAGGGGTGAATGAAATGAATAAACAGTAAAAAAGAAATTTACACATGCTTGCAAAACTAGCTGCTTTCTATGTACCTTTTGTCTTGCCTTTGAAATGATCCTATTCATGGATAAGCTTTAGTTCATTAAGAAGTGGATTCATTGGGAATGCATACATTAACATTAACTACTACCTTGTACTGTAAAACTGTTTGACTGGTGGACATTTTGTGATAAAGCGCGCTGCAGCAGCAGCCTTGGAACAGAATCTTTAGCCTGTCGACGAACCACTTCAGGCCTTGTGTCTTGTTCCCTAAAGCTTTGCTCCCTTGTTATCCTGCTCACCTGTATCTTGTGTATAACCCTGTCAAGTAATTGTTTTTGTTTTTTTCAAGTATTTCTTGTTTGTGTTTCCCCAGTATATTCACTTTAATCTTATAGCCCATGATGCTTTGAGTGGCCTATGGACAGAACAGGGTTAGCTTAGCTGTTGGATTTTGATGTCAGCTCTAGTTTAATTAAAGACATTTTAAGCTCGTAACAGTCATGCACTGCATCTCACTGCACTGAAAAATCAACTATGCTCTCCATTATCTGCAAGTAAAAAAAGCTGTAACATGGAAGTGGCTGTTTCCTGAGCCCCCACAGTGGATGAGTAGATAAACCCGGTCAATGAAACATCTCTAAAGGAAAAAAAATACTTTTCCTATTGGACTAAAGATGGCAAAATTTGTAAGATTATGGTTAAAATGGGTCAACTATATGAAGTCTTAGGCCAGAGTTCAGTGACAACTTTTTTCCTTACATATTTTACTTTTCATTATTTATTTGGGTCATTCGACAAAAACGTCCACTTTTTATTTATCCATAGGAGTCACTGGTGTTACTGATCGTTATTGGTGTTACACATAAGAAAGGTAACACCAGTGACATTTTTAATGAAAAATGCATTATACAAAATGGCTGCTACAGAGCATCAAACCACATGTTGTCAATCATGGAATATCCACTAAAATATGTAATTTAATCCATTTGTATTGATTTTTTTCACAATTACCTGAGCATAAGGTAGGCCACACCAGTGACTTCAACTACAAGCTTCATATGAAATCATGAGCTAAATAAGAAAATTCCTGATAACTGAAAAGACACAGTGGACTCACCATGTCCTTTTTAGATCCTCAGAAAATAGGTAAAAGGAAGTCAAGCGATGTCAACAGTGTGATTTTTATTACAAAAAAAAAGATATTGTAACCCTAACATGTTTTTCAAGTGTAATATATCTGTAAACTCTAGGGACACAAAAATAGATGTTTCTGTAGAATTTCCCATTTATTTATTTTATTTTATTCATTTTTTTACTCCTAAGCATCTTCTTTAAATTTATATAGTTACGTTTTTTTTTAAGAATGTTAAAAATAAAAAATACAAAAATTAAAAAATTGACTATGCTCAGTTTAAGCAAAGGAAAAAAGCTCAATGTCAAGTGTAAATATGGTGCAATGTATTTTGTACCATTGTAACCAGGGCCTAAGTTTTCATAGCCGGGCACTGTGGGCATGTCTTCTATAGAAGGAGCTGTGGCCTCTGTCCACTGACCTGTGGATTAAACACCAGAAATGGATGTCTTACTTTTAACAGACAGAAAAATGGCTTTATGAACATCTGTTCTACCTACCATCTACTTACTGAACTCTGATTTACTACACAGGATGATACAAAGCTAAAAGGATAATGCATTACCTGCAGTAGGGACAGACGGGTGGTGACAGGCTGGCCCTGCTGTGGGCTCATCCTGATCGCTGAACAGGATACAAGAGGTTTAAAACAGTCATGCATATGTGTAACACAGTAAATGTTATCCGTGTAAGTCAACCAAGACTACTGCAAAACTCATTCAGATCACATATTTACCTAAACAGAAGAAAATACATCACTGGACATTAATAAATGGTTGAAAGGTAACGATAAGTGTCTTGTTTACTAGTCATTCCTATAGGATTACCTTCAACTTTAAACTGGACACGGAAATATTTTATCTTCCCAGACTTTAACATCGTCCGTTTTTATTTGTAAGGCAGCATCTTTTCAGCAGCACTGTTAAGATGTACAAATAACTTTAACCCACCTCAGCAGATGCCTTCTGTCCATCCTGGGCAGTGTTTCCCTTTCGATTAAAGTTTCACTTCTGCGGAAACGACTTTCTTTCTCCACCCGTATTAGGACAAACCCCGCCCCCCTCCTGCCGTTTGTCTTCGTCCCGAAAACGGGTGGAAAACAAACTGTAACACGCTCATGTTGGTTCGCAGTAGCTTAGCAAAGCGTGCTGAGGTGGACCAAAATACTGCATACTTCGAAATACTCGACATTATATAGGTGGAAATATGTCTAAGAACACTCTAGAACACATTAGATGGTGTTATTGTTCTTCTATTTCATTTATACTTCATTTATTTTAAACTATACTTCAGCCCACAGGACGAGATAGCAAACTTCTGCTTAGGTGTTGTGTAATAAGACTTAGCCATTAGCACAGGAAGCAGATGTGTAAGCAAATGAGGGGAAATGTGTCAGCTCTGTCTACACCTATTGTTATTTTTGACAGCAATGTTAATAATTTAAAAAAATAGCTTTTTGTTATCTTCAAGAGAAACCCACATGGAAAACAAAATATGGACACACATTTTATATATTCGAAATACCTTTCAAATACATTGCAATCCATACCAAAATACACACACTAAAATGTATTTCAGAATATATTTCTATATTAACCAAATATATTTTCAAATACAGGCACAGCTTGAAAAGTCCGTATGTACATTTACACAGTTGACATAAGATGATTTCTCTGATTTTTCTTTTTTTAAATCATGTTTCATAGTTATTGTACATCTGTAAAACAGCTCATCACATAACCAGTTTATAAAACACGAGAAGCTATTTTTTAATATAGAACAATATTTTAAAGGTTTTATCTTAAAATATTATTGTATAAAACAGATTCATGTTTACAACATTAACATTATACTACATAAAAAATATATGTATTGTATTTAAAATACATTCGTCACAGAGATTTTGGTCACTGGAGTTATCAGGACTCTTCTATTACATTTTAACATAGTATTTTGAGCTCTATTAAATTGATTCTTTGGATCAATGGTCATCAGTGAGCAAGCATCTCCAGGCATGATAAGTCCAGACTTGCTCACTATATTTCATTAATTTATGAATAATTTTGTTTATCAGGCAGCACATAACTTCTATGTGTCACCTGTGTTATGTGCTTTAATGGATGGGTAATTGAAATTTTGTCAAAGTAATGCCAGAAATGATTTATTATAATTTATTACTGATTTTAAATAGCTGCACAAGGTCACTTGGACACCAGTGGGTCCGCAAATTAACAAAATCCTCAGTTTTAACCACTAGTGACTGTGACACCACATTCAGATAACACCAGTGACATGTAGTGACACCAGTGACTAATGATAATGTCATTAATGATAAAAACACTTGAAAACTAGTAAATATGGACATTTGATCTTTATCAACATTGAAGACTTCCAGTGCTTATTTTGTCATTTTGCTACCCTGGCTAAGTGTGGCTAAGGCCAGACAGTGCAGGAGAGAGGCTGAGGCTGTACAGGCAGCATACTGGTTCAGGTAAAGCTGGTTATTTGGCAAAAAAACAACAGACATACCCTCCTCAGTCATCTATGTTTATTTAAAAACAAATACCGTTTTGTTGTGAAACATGTTCTCTGCTGCCTATTAAGTAACATAGTAGGTGAATTCATCTTTTTGCTCACAGGAAAACATATAATATTCGACGTCCAGCATACTGGACATGTGGACTTATGCGCATGAAATGTAAGAGATTTTGAAACATTAACTTGTTTATAATCATCAACATAACAAGACAAAAAGCAAGCACTGCACTTTTTCCATTTACTGTGTGTACAATTACATGAAAAACTTTCTGAATTCTTGGAACCACCTGGACTTCTGCATTAAAAGCTCCTAAAATGTTAAATATTCATCACTGGTGTTATGGACTTGTTACAATAAGGTGTTCTTTTTTGATGAAATGTTGTCTGTATTAAGAGTATCTTACATGAAATGTTAGAATAATCCATTTTTGCCCTGATTTTTATCTCAGTAGTTCCATGCTCATTCTACAACATCTTAATCACTTTTTTAAAATAGTATATGGAGGTACATTAAAGTATATAAAAGCATCTGTATTTTGTGGTTTTTGATTTAATTTTTGATTATTCACATCCAAGAGCTAAGGAAGACTGAGAAAAGGTGGAGGAAATCCCAGCTTGACTTAGATCTTCACTCCTACTAATCTCTCCTTTCCAAGTTCTCACTCGAAGTTACTGCTGCAAAGCCATCTGAGAAGCCTCAGTCAGCAAGATCAGCCAAACTGTCATCTGTCCTGATTCTTCTTGACCTCTCAGCAGCTTTTGACACAGTCAACCACACAGTCCTTCTGGATGTCCTCACCGACCTTGGAATCACTGGCTCTGCGTGGAAGTGGTTCGAGTCCTATCTGGACGGTCACTCTTATCAGGTAACATGGGGTCCACATCCTCTCCATGCAGGCTGTCCACTGGTGTCCCACAAGGCTTAGTGCTGGGTCCTTTTCTCTTATCTTGGTGATGTAATATCCTCTCATGGCTTCTCTTGTTACTGTTATGCTGATGACACTCAACTAATGCTTTCTTTCTCACCCTCTGACACACAGGTTTCAAGTTGCACCTCGGCATGTCTGACTGACATCTCTACATGGATGGCAGCTCACCACCTGAAGCTCAATCCTAGCAAGACTGAGCTGCCATTTATCCCTGCAACTTCAGGTCCTCATCATGCTCTTGCCATCTCATTCGAGAACTCTCTGATTGTTCCGTCTGTAGAGGCAAGAAGTCTTGGTGTGATTCTGGATGGCCAGTTATCGTTCTCTGACTCACATCGCGAACCTAACTCAGTCATGCAGATTTCTCCTGTACAACATCTGGAGGATCCGACCCTTTCTCACTCGAGAGGCCACCCAGTTGCTAGTTCAGCCTCTTGTCATCTCAAGGCTTGACTACTGCAACTCGCTCTTGGCTGGTTTTCCTATGCAGGCCATCAAGCCTCTGCAACTCATCCAGAATGCAGCAGCACGGCTCGTCTTCAATCTCCCTAAGTTCAGCCACGTCACCCCACTGCTGCGCTCCCTTCACTGGCTTCCTGTAGCTGCACGCATCAGATTTAAAACCCTGATGCTTGCCTACAAAGCCAAAAACAGACTAGCCCCTACCTACTTGATGGCAATGGTCAAAACTCGAACTGTATCTCGAGCCCTTCAGCTTCGAGTACAGCTCAGCTTGAGCTGCCATCCTTCAAGGCGCATGGAAGACAAGCATCAAGGCTTTTCTCCGTACTGGCGCCCAGGTGGTGGAACAAACTCCCACTGGCTGTCTGAACAGCAGAGTCTCTCGCTGCCTTCAAACACAGACTGAAGACACATCTCTTTATACAGCACTTAAATGAGCACTGAGTTAAGTATTAATTGTAATGTATTGTACTGCACTTATTAAAATGTATTGTATTGTATTGCACTGGGCTGTGTTTAACTCTGTTCCTTTTTCTCTGGGTATCAATAGGGACTTTGTTTCTAGCAGTATCTGAGCTCAGGACCAGCTTTCTCTCTAACCTATTGGTAACTAGCAAAGATACTTTCTCTAGATTAACAAAGCACTTTTTGTAAGTCGCTCTGGATAAGAGCGTCTGCTAAATGCTGTTGTAAATGCAAATGAATTTCTTCAATAAACACAGTCATGCTAAATTTAAATGTAAAATAAATACATGTATGACAAAAAGAATGCCCCATTAAGGGGTAACACCAGTGATAAATTGACAAACATTTTGCATTGTACATTAAAATATTTTAACACATGGTTGGAATTAAGCTCTCCATTTTGCACATATGATAATAGGAGGTATGGATATTAGGTGGATATATATTAAGGTTGTTTGGTTTTGGTATTAAAGACATTTTTGAGAATATACTTACCTGGATTCCCAGTTCAAATGGAGAATGACCCAAATAGATTTATCAAATACAGCCAAAAATACTGTCTAATACTGTTTGGATACCTTTTGAAATGAATTTGTTACAGTATCTTAATTTTAAGCATTAGCAAATGAACCTTTAACATGACAATAGCAAGTGTTGTGGGTATTGATGAACTGTGAAAATGCGGTTATGATTTGATTTCTTTTTTATTTGAAATGCATTTTGTGTCTTACTGCATATGTACATGGTTAATGCAAAGTCAGTACCATTCATACAGTTCTTGTGTGCTTAGATATACACGTAACCGTGGTTAAAGCTACATACAATTGAAAAAAAAAATTCATATATATGACAAATGATCAATATATATCTTAATACATTGCAAAAATATATCTAATAAACACTTTTGGATTATATTTATTCCTGTATGGGAACACAGCTTTTAATTCAAAAATGCATATGGACACCAAGAGTGGCAGAAAACAAGATCGTTTATTTAAAGATAACATGTTAATCCTGAGTTGTCCTCGTGAGCAACAGCTGACAAAACAGAGAAATCAGACCTTTCTTTTTAACTGCTCTGGGGTGAGGACACCTCCCCAACTACCTCACCTATCCTCACATGCAATTTCTGACTTCACTGAGTTCTAGCATAGTTGTAACACTTCTTTCTTTTTCAATCACCTTCTTTCTTTCAGCTCTAGGCCTTCTGCGACACCTCATTTGTCTTCTAAAAACGCGATGTCACCCTACAACAGCTATTCCAGTTTTATTCGTCCATTTACAGCTACATTAAAAAAACATAATCACGTACTTGTTTGAAGATGAGGCTATGCGCCTGATTACACCAGTTCACATATTTCACATTTCCATTTTTTATTGGTCAAAAGATTACAAAAGAGGTCAGAATATACTGATCGTACCTAATTGCGGCTGAATAAGAGTGTAAACATATATGCATAATAAATCAGAAGGACGCAAATTAAAATATGATCAAACTAAGCCTCTCACATCTGATATCTTAACTGTGTATGCTAGTCTGCAGCACTAAGGACATAAACAATGCCCAAGTGTCTCTTGTTGAAGCATCATAGATACATTTTTATGTTCAAATGGGACTGAACAGTGTTTCTCAGCCCTGGTTGTAAGACAGCGATACAACTTGTAGCACTCCAGCATATTCCAAAGCTCCAACCTACCCTTCAGGGTGACACAGAGAGGACTTGCACATACACAGAGATAGGGCAAAAGAACTTTCACCTTAGATTATAGTGCGATTAACTACAAAATCCAGCATTAATATGTTAAATTACCATTTTTCAACCATGTTCATAAGTCCTAAAGAAAACCTTCCATAAGAGGGTCTGCTTTGCACTCTTTAGAAAGCTAGTCCATGTTCTTTAGTGGTGGTTAACCACAAAAAACAGCTTAGACCAGCAGGGCTGTCACATCTAAGCTGGTTTATGTTGGTTTACCCTGCTAGAAAAAAACAGCACATGATGTATTTTGGAAGCTGTTCTGCTTATCACCACCAAAACCAGCATGTTTTGGATTCTGGTACACTTGCCTAAGGTGTGTTTTTCAATAGGGTATGCTGGACTAGAGGTAGTCTGGTGCTGGTCATCCAGCATGGTAGTGCTAGCTCACCAGCACACCAGCATCTAAAACACAACACATGCTGGTCTATGTTTCTTTTGCTAGCACAGAAGGCCATAAGCTACCGGGTTAGCATGGTGGTTTATGTAAAATCCCTAATAGTGTACTCTATTATAACCCTTCCCACAAGATATATACCCCGGTAAGGGTATTAATAGAGAGCAAGTACCTCCTTTGCTGCAGTAACAGCCTCTACTCTTCTGGGAAGGCTTTAGAAGGAAAGAAGAAGGAAAATACTTCAATGTAAGTTTAACTTCAATGTTATTTTGAACCACTGGTATATTCATCGTTCAATGTTCATATTGTTTTTAAAATGATTTCTAAAAAAGTTAAAAAATAAAAAAATAAAAATGATAATTTGATAATACAACGCTGACCTCTCTATGTCTCCACAGGTTTATATATAAAGTATACTGAGACAGTGGTTTAGTACAAGCAAAGAGAGCCCTCATATCTTTTAGTTATGACAAGAATATATAATACAGGTCGCTGTTAGTAGCTACGCCATGCAATGTAATATATACTTGTGTTACATTATATTGTTTAGAGAGCAAGTACCTCCTTTGCTGCAGTAACAGCCTCTACTCTTCTGGGAAGGCTTTACACTATGTGTTGGAACATTTGCTGTGAGGATTTGATTGCATTCAGCCACAACAGCATTAGTGAGACCAAATACTGATTCAGTTCTGGACACTCCAGCTCATCGCATAGTTACTGGATGGAGCTCCATCACTCCAGGGAACACAGCTCCACTGCTCCAGAGCCCAGTACTGGGGGGCTTTATACCGCTCAAGCCCATGCTTGGCATTGGGCATTTAATCTTAATCTCACATGGAGCTGCTCCCGAGCTTCACATTCTTCATCAGTGCTTTTCTATGAGGACTGTACAAGCAGTGTGCCAGCAACGGGTGCACCCTAGACTAGCTGAATTAACTAAGAAGGGCTGTCTGGATACTTTTGGGCAGCATAATCAACTGTAACATGCTGGCAATCGATCTTGACCAGCACAAGCCAGCACTAACAACATTTAAAATTTCCTTGTTTAGATTCACACATTAGGCCTACATATTCTTCAGGGGACCTACCACACCCCACTCAGGCATTCGACTGGCCTACACGACCAACATGAAATATGATAGTCCTTCTGTGTTTTCAAGTATCTACAAAAGCAGGCCACTGCTGTTCCGCTGTACAGAATTTTTCATTTCCTCTGTGGAAACGAGGGCTTAGGCCTACTGCTACAGAAGGGTAGACAATCTGCAAAGGGTTACACTATGCTGCTCAGACATAGCCAACTACGTTTGAGATAGATTAACTTTATTACTATAACGTTTGTTATGTTTGGATGGAACTATATTGATTATCAACGCTGCAGTGCTTTGAAAGGAAGAGACCACTGAAAAGGAAACGAACGTGCTGCTAATTTCATTCGTGGATTTGTTTGCTAGTTATTAATCCCTCATGCTGGCTCTTTTGAATGCTTTAAAATGAAAGGCAGAAAGAACATATCTGAGAGATCTGAACATATCTGATAGGTCATATCCCATAGACTTCTTAGTGGTTTTAAAAAGTTCTACATGCCACCGCTGTCATTAAGTTTTGCATCTCCTAGTTGGTAACACTGAAGAAGAAGGAAAATACTTCAATGTAAGTTTAACTTCAATGTTATTTTGAACCACTGGTATATTCATCGTTCAATGTTCATATTGTTTTTAAAATGATTTCTAAAAAAGTTAAAAAATAAAAAAATAAAAATGATAATTTGATAATACAACGCTGACCTCTCTATGTCTCCACAGGTTTATATATAAAGTATACTGAGACAGTGGTTTAGTACAAGCAAAGAGAGCCCTCATATCTTTTAGTTATGACAAGAATATATAATACAGGTCGCTGTTAGTAGCTACGCCATGCAATGTAATATATACTTGTGTTACATTATATTGTTTAGTAGATTAACTTTCTAAGCTGAGTTAGTACCTTAATAATGCATAGCACAATCACAATTATGGAACACAATAATTACATTACATATCATGCACAGAATTCTTGTTTATACAGTGAAAAATGTAACCTGTTTTTATAATTACATGATTCAAAAGTGTACTTCAGTTCCACATGAATAACATATATGATATCAGCACAGTTATTATCAAAAGTAAGTAAAGTAAAAGAGAAACCTGGTGCTGATGTAATATATTTCCTCTATGTAGAAATTACACATTTGAGTCAAGTACATTTAATACAGTGGAAGTAAATTTGTTTTTTTTAACATGAACGGTCGATTTAAGAGTTTACCTGTTGTAATTATGTCATGAAGATACTACTAATATAGGCTTATGCATGAAGTTAATTGTCCTAACCAGGGCATATGGCTTCACATTTTAGAGTATAGTGCAGCAACATGTAGCTGGATAGTCGTCTGCTTTAACTTTTGACTCATTACCGAAAACATAGTAAACATAGGATTTTCCCTGCCACTCGTAGGTCACCTTGGTGATGGGAATCAGTTCCACACATTGTTGCTGGAACACAGAGAGATTCTGAATTAGTTCTCATTTTGAAAATCAAGGAATCTTATATTATATCTATATCTATATGTCTATCTATTTATCTATCTATCTATCTATATATATACATATATATATGTGTGTGTGTGTGTGCATATATATACGAATAAAGCCTCGTACCAACAAAATGAGAACTTCACAGGAGAAGAAAAAAACTCAATGGAAAAAAGTCAATGGAACCAGATATTTTTCCAAGTCATTTTAGATCATTTCTTTTAATCAATTCATCATAATAATTCATCCTAATTAAATTTACACACAGTGTAAAGGGCAACAGGTATTTTCAAATTATGTCAGAAACTAAAAAACGACAAAAATGGAGATATGAGGCTTTGTTCTGACAGCAGTAATATAAAATGTATGTTATACCAACTTTATACAGTGCTGTGCAAAAACCAGAATCTACACTTTCCACTCTCCACTTTAAATTTCCAGTCAAAAGAGCCATCGACTACAAGATATTCATTTTCATATTTCTGAGGAGATTCTATATAAAATAAAAGATATCCACTTGCGTAAGGAAGGCCAAAAGGTAAAGAAACACAAAGCCCTGTTTTAATTCTTTTTTTAACTTACTCTTGCCCACTTTGACTCACCACGCTGATGTATGTCACTCCTACGTTACAGAAGCGTCCACACACAGCCAAAGTGGACGCGACAGTGTCTGTGTTTACTTGCAAAGATTTTTGCCAATCCAATGTACTGAATTCATTCTGATTATAGATTAAGACTGAGGTGTTTCTATGCTCATTCTACTCAACAATCTGAGGGAAAATCTCTGGTTTCATGCGCACTACAAGTAATCACGCTCATGCATAGAGTACCGCTTAGTGTAGATGCTACCATGACTACCATCGCGTGAGTCCAGTCAGAGTGAGACGAGCAGCAGTGAGCAGCACTTGTGTTTTTAATTGCTCATTTAACAGACTCAGGAAAACGTACTTCACATGTCCTTATTAAAGAAGGCTGAGAGGAAGACGTTGTGTTCTGAGACACATAAGCTGGACGTCCGTCCCACCGCCGCCTTTTACAGATCAGAACATAAACTTCCGTCTCCTCTGCAGACCAGTTTCTGCTCTGCCATGCTGAACGTTACAAACTTTCACTATGACGTGACGCATAGAAGGTACTTAAACTTTTCAATTGGGAATGTAATCAGATACAGGCGTTTACTACTCTATTCCGACTGAGGTGTATACATAGATGTATTCTTTTCCCATTGAGCTATTATTCAGATTATTAACGGATTATCAGGCTGGATGTAAACATGGTTAGTGAGGAGCAGATTATTCAAACGAAATACACTCACTATCTGGGTAAGTGTGGCTGCTGAGGTTGACACTGGTGTTTACTCGATCCTTCACCCCTCTGGGGGTTTAACTAACACCTTTCACTTCAGCTAATAAAGTAGTGGAACAAGTGGACAAGGGCTTGTGAGATCCGGTGTTGAAATGGGGGGGGTGAAAGGATGAAAGGTCAGGAATTTCTGAAACTGGAGTTTAAAAAAGTCATTAAAAAATCCAGAAAAAATGGGACTGTGCAGGACCTGGTAGACACCAAAATTCTCCCCATCAGATAAACAGCACTTAAAGCTTTCATCTTTTAGAAATGGAAGAAAAACAAAAAAAAAAGCTGACAACTGACAAAAATGAAGAAAGTTGGCAAATCAGACAAAAGGAGCTGCTGGTGTTCTGAACAATGGACTGACCACCCCAGAGTCCAGACCTCAACATCACTAAATGTGTGTGAGATTATTTGGATCGTGAGAAGCAGAAAATGAAGCCAATTTGTGAACTTTAAAGGTTTGGAAATATATCCCTGCAGATTTTTTTTCGAACACTGAAAGCAAGTCTGGAGAGATGTACTAAGAATAGAAGCTATAATGATAGGGAAGAGTAGACATGCTAAGTACTGGAAAAAAATATATTATTTTTTGTTGTAGAGGTTTCTGTGTCATCTCCTGTGTCATTTTTGGTTAAATTTACGTTTTCTCCCTTTTTCCTGACACTAAAAAAATGACTTTACATTTTGACTGGAAAAAATATAAATGAAGGGTGGTCTCTGACTTTTGCACAGTACTGTCACAGGGCACAAATGAAACATCATAAACATGGCACATTCTATGGGGAACCTACCTGTTGTAGGATGCGAGCAGACTGAGAATATTTGCTCTGATGCTCCCTAATCATTCTTTCAGATGCCTGCACCACGTTTTGGTCTGGGAATCCAAGCAGTGGATATACCTTAAGCAATAACAATAATAATAATCAGAAGAATAATAATACTGTAATAATGGTGATGATAGCAGTCCACACAGAGGATAATAAAATGTGAGGGACACATTAATATTTACACAAATACAATCAACATGGAACATCAGTAGTAATTTGCATTCTCTTACCATGTACTTTGTATCTTTAAAGAGTTGCTTCCCACTGACATCATTCAGCTTCTCCGCCTTCAAACCACTCGCCTGCTCTGCCATAAAATCCTCAACATTGTTTTTCCTGGTATGAAAAGCATGTGCATCACAAACCTTTTCCTTCAGTGAACAAGGATGCATAGTGGCATTGATGTGAAGCACATTTTTATTAAGCACCAAAAGCTAATGGAGAGCTAATAGCGCCCCCTTGTGGAGGATCTTCAGTCTGCTGAGCATGTGTGAGTGAGTAAGTGAGTTGCAAGCCCAGTCCATAAGGTGCTTGACATCTAAAAATACAGGGGGTGAACAAAATAATGGAAACACAATATGAAGTACTCATACACACTGATGACTTCATTAAGCATGTCTATTATATAGGCACAGCTTTGAAAGGTTTACAGTGTCATCATCTATAGAAAGGGACCACCATAGTTCCCCCGCTGACCAGATATTATTTAGCTGGCGGACCATTCTCAACACAGCAGTGCCACTGACATGGTAGTGACATGTTAGTTTGTGTTATGTTGGTACAAGTGTATCAGGCACAGCAGCGTTGCTGGGGTAACTGATAAACTGGCCAATGAGAATCAACATTTCATGCGTTTTTATTTTGTTTTTTGTACACCTTTTGTACTCTACATTGCTTCTTTGATGCCAACAGTTCGTTTTAAAGTACTTTTAAAGTGTAAGTGAATTACCATTCCACAGTAAGTTTGATGTAGGATAGCAGCTGCCGCTTCCCTTTGCAGGTTGCACACTGTACCGTTCCTTGACCTGAACAATCATTACATCTGTATAGAGCAAAGAAAACAGTAAAGTATGACAAAGTATCACAGTAGATGACTTTCTGGTAGTGCATACAGATTCAGTGGAAAGATAAAGACTGATTTTTTCTAAATCAAAGTTTTATTAAATGCATTTTTCTAAAAACGAACACTTTTTACTGTTTTATTACCAATTAAAGATTGACCACACTCTTAAAATTAAAGGTGCTAAAGAGGGTTATCGTAGCATGAACTGATGATAGTGTTACATAAGTGCTGCATGCCACTACACTGCACAACACATGGGAGAACCTTTAATTGGCGCTGTAACTTTTTCCGTATTACATAAAACAGTTAATGCTGTATGCTGTAAAACACAAAGATTATGTCTGAAAACACCTGTCAAATACTTATGACAGATCTCTACAAACATTCAAAATATGATGTTACATAAAATTAATGGATTATAAACTAAGCTTGGGGGATGGGGACAAGGTTGTTCTCATTGTAAAATTACGTGGACCACTGTTTTATGATCTTGCAACATCGAAAATCAGTTATCTGTCTCTATATTCAGCTGTTAGGCACCCATGTGTGTAAACGTACTTTTTTTTTCCTGTCCCGTTGCACTCATTGCAGCTTTCCTCTCCAGACACTTTCCCAGAGCCACTGCATGTCTGGCACACTTTCTGCATTGACAAATTGAAAGCACTGCTTTCAAATAAAGCACTTTCAGAAGCAATTAGGAAGGCATTCAAGAGTCATCTCTCATTCATAGAGATGAAAACAATGCACTAAAAATGACTCTTCATAACATGGCACTCCATCTCTCTATACAAACTATACACGTTCTGAAAAGCAAGAAGTTTAAATTACTTACATTCCCTGAGCCAGTACATGCAGCGCAGGCACATTTCCCAGTGGCCGAGCACTTCTCACATGGCTAAAAAGAAAATTCACAGAATAAGTAGGGCTTAAGTATCGTTGATCTGCTTTTGCAGTGGTGTTTGGTTTGGATGCTGAAAAAACAGAATTTACTTCTTTCAAATGTGTACATCATCAATTACTATCAAAAGTTAGTAAACTGAAAAACAAAACTGTTGATGTTATGTGTTTTATTTGTGTGGAAATTATTTTAATTTAGCATTCAACACATTTCACTGCATTTACTGCACTACAAACTTGTACTACATATCGCTTATTTTGAAAGTTTGATTAGCTTGTCTTTAAATGTAAGGTCTTTGGGATCATAATGGGCATCTCGTTCACATTCTCCTTTTTTTGGATCTACACTTTGAATCTGATCTTCCTAAATTACCAGGGAACTTTATGCAATTCCATTGTAATTCTCAAAATAATGTATACATGCCTAAACCAACTAAAGTTTCTGAAGTTTGCTATGAGCTCAAAATATAATCTTAATGAAAAATGTATGCCATAAATGCGATGCAAGCAAAATGAATAATATTCCTCCTGTTGACTGTTAAACCGATGTATACCTTGACCGATGAGGTGTAGGGAACTTCAACTTCCTGAACAGAATCTTTAAACATTTCAGGGGTGTTAACAGGGATTTGCCACGGACCAGGAGGAGGCTGTGTGAAAGCATTCACTGGCTGACCTGTTGCCAAACACATTCACAGCATTGAGGGAAACCATGAAACCATGTAAGTGGTTGTAAAGAAACTTGCTGATAGCTGTGAAATTGTCATTACCATCATAAGGCTTAGTGGCCCATTCCGTTTTTCTGGACTCACTGTAGGTCTCCAGTCGATACTTCAGAGGAAAGAAATTTGTTAGTTGTTAGTTTCTTTTATGAAAAGAAGCTTTATGGAATTAATGTGGAAAGAAGCGTCTTCTATCATTACATGGCAAGAAAAAAGTACTTGTTGTACAGTCTACTTATTACTGTCAGACTATAAAAACTACACACGTTGCAGATTCATACTGGATTGAAATAACTCCACAATTATTACTGTCAGACTGTAAAAACTACACACACTGCAGATTCATACTGGATTAAAATCATTCCATAACTATTACTGTCAGACTGTAAAAACTACACATAAAGCAGATTCATACTGAATTAAAATCACTCCACAGTTATTATTGTCAGACTATAAAGCCCACATACACTACAGATCCATACTGGATTAAAATCACTCCACAATTATTACTAACTATAGTCTAACTATAAAAAGTCCATATTCATTCTGGATTAAAATTACAGATCCTGTTGCTGATCTCTTAAATTACAGCTCCTCCCCAGGTAAAACTAATCCAGCTCTAAAAGGGCCTTAGAGTTTTGTGTAGACAGTCGAGAGATCGTGTGGTGAATTACACGGTAGGTGTTGAACTGCTCCATGTTGGTAATCGTGCCATCTGTCGCTGGGCCAGATGACCAGCAACAGTTGCTGTCTACATGCTTGCGGAATGCCTCTTTGGCGGCTTCCTTAGTGAGAGCAGGAATACTGAAAAAACAAAACACAATGAGCTAAATTTCCTCATTTCTTCAAAGTGTCCATACCAGATCAGACTATTAATATCAACAAATAGAGATTCACAGCATCTTTCCCTGGAAGAAACATACACTGTTGTATCTTCCAATACTGCTTTCTTCATTTATTTATCCAAACATAAATAATAGACACATTACAGACACTACTGCATAACTATTTAAAGTAAATGAGGAGTACCCTTTTGTTATAGCACATACTTTGGATACAAAGTGTTTGTATACACATCCTTTACAGAGAAAACACTTCTGCACAACTCAAATAACTCAAATAAATACTTATTTTGCCCTGTAGAGGATGTGTTAACTTAGTTTCATTTAGAAAATCAACAAAACATGTAATTTGACAGGGAGGGTAAACTTTTTGCATACAACTGTAAACTAAAGTTAGACTTGCATTCAGTAGTTTCATTTACTGCATCACTACAATAACCACACTGACTTGAGCAGCTTTAAACTTCCACTTTTATTTAATGAAATCAGCAGCCTATACTCAGCTCAAATTCAGTGTTGAAACCAACTCTGAAATTCTTTCAGGAGCTATCAAACCCACACAATGGTTGTCTTGAAACCCAATACAGTGACACGCTGACATGAAAGCATTCCGATTAGATAACAATTCATAGATTCGGCCTTTGAATGGATTTACTGAAATCCTTTCACTGATAATCAGGCGTTTAAAGTTAAGGTCCTTCTTTAATCATTCACATTCACAGTTACTAGTTCCTGTTTTGGTGTTTCATTTTATTTCTTGGTTCAGCTCCTTTTATTTTAGCCCAAAAGGATTGAAACAGAGCAAAGAAGGGACCCAACATTCTTCCGTTCCTATGCTGCAGTTCATAAACAGGCTGCCTACATTTTAAAATTGCTTAATAGAAATAATTATTTTCTTATTTTAACCATGCACTTTATTTTAATTGAATGGAATTGCTTTAACATATACTATGATTGATAAATTACCTCGCAATGGTCCTCATTCACCAATATCTTCCTAAGTGTTTTCTTAAATTTGTTCTTGAGAAAGGTTCTAAGAGAAAGTCTACGTCAGATTCATGATGTGTTCATAAACCACAGAACTGTTCACATCTTTGTGCTCTTGAGTGTGTGTGGATTCTGTTCTTACCTAACAACAAATCTCAAATAAGAAAACACTGGTGAATGACACAACCTTTGTCAAAACTGAGTAAATGGGTTTTAAGAAGAAACTCCTTTTTAAGAACTGTTGATGAATGAGGCCCAATGTTTTTAAGTACTTCTATGAGTTTCTAGTTGAATATCTCAGTGATGTTGTTAGTTTATGGTTTGAATTCTGTCTCTTTATATTGTTTTCAAGCAGAATCTGCACTTCTGAAGCAAACCTTGTGGGTTTGATTATTTAGACTATCATTTTGAAACAGACATTAGGCTTTTTTTTACAATTAAAATGTATATTTATATTTACATTCATACATTCAATTTGTAATAACACTGACTTTAGCTTTTAATGCACTTTATCTATGTCGGTAGCATAAAATGACCTTACATGCTGTCATGGAAAAGCTTTTTTGATCATGAATAAAGAAAAAAAATAGATTCAAAAAGAACCAAGGATGTTTTTAAAACTGTTGTATAGTTAAAATCAGAATATTCTATGAAATCGTTCAAAATTAATATGAATTTTACATTACAGTCTATTGAATACTACTTGACACTTTTCCCATCATGTTGGTAGGCTTTTATTATCAGCTTGTTTGTTTGTAAAACTGAAATTGTTCTCGCTCTTTTCGTTCCATCAGTCAAGTTTTCTGCTGTCAGTAATAAATATGATGTAGTTATTTTGTGCAAAAGATGTGAAGTTTGGTTTGCATCAATATGCATGCTTACCTAATAAAGAGGACTGAAAACAAAAGTGTTAAAAGTGTACCTGTACAGTGCACTTTTTCTGGGTAACATTCAGAAATTCTTAATATTTGATTCATCTTCGCACTCTTCAGTATTTTATCGAAACTGCTTGAGCATATGCAGATTTTGACCTCATGGCCTTCACCGTTCACACAGTTTTGGAGGGGCTTGTACGTGTCTCTACAAGCCCATGTTTTCAGGAACACTGATTTACAAAACAGGTTGTTAAACAGAGATATGAAACTTAGGAATGAATGAAGAAAACTTACCTCCAATCTTGCGCAGGCTGTGAGTCAGGAGTTGGCATGGGCTGAACAGGTGGAGGAGGGATAAAGCCACCTAATTAAAATATGACAGCACTGTAAGAGAGCCTGATTTACAATAAACACCACCGAACAGTTTTGAATATGCATTTGTCTTAACTATAACTTAACTGTCTTAACTATAGTTTGCAATTTTACAGTCCATTGACTTAACAGCTCTTGTTTAAAGCAACAGAACATAAGAAATAATGTGACATAGAAGTAAAATCTATTTAATATATTATATTTAACATCATTGTATTATGTGTCAATATTATAAGTTCATATTTTTTTAAATAAATTATATTTAGTTTGCATTTACCCTTTTTTCTAAGCTATAAGCCCTTAGGCTGTACTTGAATGGTAATAGGTGGGTCACTAGAGCTGGTACTAATTACTGATGAATTTCAATATTAGGGTAGTTTCCAAATATATCACAATATCACAGTGTCAGATGACACTTCAAGTTGACTGAAAAACAGGTTGTTTTTCAGTGTTTGACATAATTTGAAGGTACCTGTTGCCCTTTACACTGTGTGTAAATTTCATGAAGAACAGACCAAAAGAAATGACCCAAAATGAATTGGAGAAAAAGATCTGGTTCCATTGAGTTGCATTGAAAATAAAGTATGTTTTTTCCTTCTCTTGTAAAGTTATCATTTCGGACATATGAGGTTTTGTTCCGACAGCAGCGTTATGTTTCTTGAGCGCTGCTACTTTATGCTTACTAACTAAACTTCCTATTTATTTAATTTTTAATGGATTTTAAACTGTTCCTAAGCACACGTTATACAATATACATTCCTGTTAACTGTCAGGCCCTGAAAAGAGTTGTAGGCAAATGTTTGGGTACCCCTGCTCAAATGACCTCTTTTATTGATTGATTTAGTGAAAACAAGTTAACTCTACAGTGAACACACTTCTGCACATTTTAACCCCCAGTTACTGTGCACATTTTAACCCCCAGTTACTGTTCATTTGCTGATTTTACCATATTGGGCGGAATACATAAAATGTGGCTTGTGCAAAAAATATGGCACATTTTATAATTTGTTTTTTTCCTAAAATATTTTAAACTCAGAATGTAAATTGATGAATAACTCTTGCTAAAACTGAAAACTAATATCACAAATAAACTGGTGTGGACTGTGTATCGCTCAGCCCTATTGATAATACAGCATTAATCTGTGCATAAAGAAAACAAAAGTGGATTCATAAGTCTGTTGCTGTGGCTTTAAATCTACATGCATGCAAAGATCATTTCACAATAGCGAATGCTTTTCCCTACCGCTCGCCCCTGGGGCAAGCCCCTCATATCCAGGAACAGGATTGTACATAACTGGGGCCTGCATGCCCATCACTGCAGGATACATAGCTGGGAGGCAAACACAGAAACATTCCAATCAGTTAAACAAGCATGAGCTTAACATGAGGCTATATATTACATTATACAAAAACAAACACTCTGAAATGAGAAGCAGACCTGTTTTTTTTTTCACTTTTTGTTGGTTTTTGTTTTTTTTAAAAAGAAAGGAAAAAAAAGAAACAGGCCAACATGCTTTAGGCTCCATGTGTACAGAAAACACACATAAGCCACTTTAAACCAGCACAATCCTGTAGTCTTTCTATTCCTCAATTTGTGAAGTATCTATAGTAAATGGCAGTTTCACTGCTTCAGCTGGTTCTCACAATCCTCTAGTCTTTCTATTCCTCTATTTGTGAAGTATCTATAGTAAATGGCAGTTTCACTGCTTCAGCTGGTCCTCACACAAACACCTCCGCTGAAATCGACACAATTAACTTAACGGAGGTTCTTGAAACGACAAAAGCTAAACGGAGTGAATCAGAAACGAAAGGAATGTAATGAAACCTACCGGGACCCGCTGGATAAGCCATTATAGGTGAAGAACGGGAGACTCTGGCTCGGTTTGACGGTCTGTTTGGGAGGAATGTGCCCCAAAGGCACTTGCAGAGAGAGCGGAGATTAGATTACTGAGGAGGGCTCCTCCCCGTCCACCGCCCCCTTCAGCTAACTGCTCACAGCCCTCAGACTCAACTAGAGACCGAGTTGTGTTTCAAATGGCGATTTTCTCCCAAACTCACGGTTTATCAAGCACATTTAAAACATATTTACCTCGCATTCAGACTAACAATACCTCATACTTTGATACGAGGAGAAAGTTCAGATGAAGGCGGTGTGGCTGTGTACGTTAAGCCATACCGTCCTTTTCTGGAATGTTCTTTGGTCCACACTGCTTAAAATGGCCTCTCGTCAAGAAAAAGAATCACTATAATGTCTGTCTGTCTCTCCATCCATCCATTCTGCTGAAAAGGGACCATTGGAACCATATTGAAAATTCATGCTTTTGCATTACAATGGGATTTGGTTTCATCTATCGATCTGTCTGTCTGTTTATCCATCCATCCAACTATCTATCCATCCTGCTGAAAAAAGACCATTGAAACCGTATTGAAACTTGATGCCTTTGCATTCCAAAGGGACTTTGCTTCATCTATCTGTCTGTCCGTCCGTCCATCCAACACAGCTTATTTTTAACAAAACAGTAGAATTTAAAATTCTGTAACATGTTATCATCGTGTCTGATTTAACACCCCCCACCCCAAACCCATTAAAAAAAAATAAATAAAAAAAAATAAAAAAACTGCTTTGTTCTTTCCAGTCGTGGATGGGATGTTCTTGCGGGAAAGTCTCAGCAGATGATTTCTGTGGAAAATGCTCTGAAAGCGGTAACGATTCATTTTTCTCTGAAGTGCCTTGCCACAGAGCCATCATGGGAAATGGATGCATTCTCATCAGAACTTAACTGAATGAGTCGAAAAAGAACTTTTAGGCAAATAACATTTAGACACAGCTGATTGGAGGTGACCTCAGGAAGCTGAACAGGCAGAAATAGGTTCACCATTGCTTAAATAATAACATCTAAGAGAAGCAACCTGTCAGAAGTTGGAGCTCATCAGTCTGAGCTTTTTTTGTGATTTGTAGAAACCTCATGTTTTTAGCAGCACCAGAAACGTTTTGACATTTCTAGCTCATTCTGTCTTTGTCTGCCATCTTCATGGATGTTCCTTCCTAAAGTCTGTTGACCAAAAAAGTTGTGTTGTTATCATGTCGTGACAACGTTTTGTCTCAGGGTTGAATAATGGCTGTCATTGTGTTGACTTTTAAAGATGAAACTACGTAACTTTTCCAGATTGCCATATTAAATGTAAATGCTGCCTCAACATTGAAAGCAAACATTGTCTCAACATTACTTTTCAACTCTGCTCTGACATCATATGCCAACATTGCCATAATGTTGTGAAAACGTTTTGTCTCGATGTTGATTGTCAGTTATAAGTATGTTGAATTTGAAAGATGAAACTATGTAACATTTCAACATTGTCACAAAATCAAATGTATACAGAAATCCAGAGAGGCTATGAGGCAGTTATAGTTTTCTGGATTGTTATCTTGAGATAACAAGATAATTAACTCATAATAACAAGTTAGCTATCTTGTTACCTCGAGATAATAAAAGTTGTTAGTGGAAAAAGTTTCCTGTGGTCTCACGAATCAACATTTGAAATTCTTTTTGCTTGTTATCAGTGCACAGTTCAAAAGCCAGTATTCATGATGGTATAGGGGTGCATTAGTGCACATTACATGGGTGACATCTGTGAAAGCACCATTAATGCTGAATGATATATACATGTTTTGGCAACATATGCTGCCATCCAGACAACGTCTTTTTCAAGGAAAGCACAAACCACATTCTGCTTGTATTACAACAGCGTGGGTCCATAGTAAAAGAGTCTGGGTGCTAAACTGGCCTGCCTGCAGTCCAGACCTGTCACCACTGAAAACATTTCGCGCATTATGAAATGAAAAATATAACAACGGAAACCCCAAACTGTTGAGCAGCTGAAATCCTGTATCAAGCAAGAATGAGGAAACATTTCACTTTCAGAACTGCAGCAGTGTCTCCTCAGTTCCCAAACGCTTACAGAGTGTTGTTAAAAGAAGAGGTCATGAAACACAGTGGTAGACACGCCTCCGTCCCAACTTTTTTAGAACGTGTTGTTGGCATCAAATTCAAAATATATATAGTATCATTTCTCAGTTTCAACATTTGATATGTTGTCTTTGTACTATTTTCAATGAAACACAGGGTTTAAATGATTTGCACATCATTGCATTTTGTTTTTATTTACATTCTGCTCAGCCACACTAACGTGTATAAAACTCCAGCAACATCTGATACATCCACACAACAAACACTGCACTGAAAGAAAAAAATAGTGTAACACATGATGTGTAGCACATGATGTCATTTGTGATAATACTTATCCTTGAGTGTTCTGTTATTTTTTAAACAATAGTTTTGCAAAAAGAAGAAAAGAATTAAGCAAAGATGCCCAAAACATATTAAATGTCCTTTTGTATAGGCAAATCCTTCCACCAAAAAGTAGTACCCTTTTGCATGACAAATAGAGCCATAAATCTGTCACAATATCAGGTTCAGCTCAGCTTTTTCAGTATTTACCAGAATAACCTGAATGCGGTTTTGTTCCAGGCATTTCACAGCCCATTTTATTTGATGAATACTATTTGGTTCATTTCTGACTAATTCCGTTTTGTATAATTGTGTAGGAGCAACAGCAGGTTTGGAATTTGAGGCCTGCTTTCACATTCTTCTCCAGAATTAGACCAAACAAGCTGCAGGTGAAATACTAACATGACCATTTTATGTTTTTGTTGGTGCTGTAGGAGAAATGTAGTGCAGTGGTGTAGCTCTGCATACTAAAGCTGTAATAAGGTGTGTTTCAGCCCGGACTGCTTTCTGAACAAGGCACAATTTAGGGCAGTCAATCAGAACAGAGCTTATTTACATATGTCAGTCTGAAAGGCACAGTAAAGAAAAAATGGCTCTTCTATCGCAAGAGATAAAAAGGTTGGAAAATTGGTCATGTAAAAATGAATTATGACTGCTTTTCAGATGTAAAAGCTTCCACAAATGGAAAAACAACATACAACAAAAATGTAGGATGTGGGCCTTTTAAACAAGAGAAAAAAGAAAAAAATTGTAGATGACAAAATCACAACTATGTTTACTATTTTATGATATTATGCTTGACCTGCTGACATCTGTAGAATTTGTGTCAGTTTTGGCAGGATGTGGAGTAAATTGTGCCACATAGTGTGATCTGATAACATTTATACACTGCATTTTCCAACAGTGTGCCCAAAACATAGTGTGAAAAGACATTTATTTACATTTTACCTTCATCTTAAACATGCTTAATATCAGTGTAATGTTGATGGCCTTTTAAGGAACCTCAGTGATTCTTGGTTTGGATATACCTTTAATTAGAAACAAAGCTTTAAATTCTGTAGAGGTTTTTTACATCTCTTAAATTCCCAGGCTTAATATATTTTAAAACATATTACATGGAAAACAATGCAACAGAAAATGCAAGCGGAAAAAAACAAACTGTTACACAGTCCCACACAAAGGTTTGGGCACCCCTGGTGAAATTAAATGCTTTATTGAGGTTCTAAATGAAAATAAATTATTAAATCCTCTGCAAGGAATAAACATCTGCATATTTCAATGTCTGGTTCTTTGCTATTCCACATGTTGGGGAAATAAATTACAAAAAATGTGGCCTTTTGGAATATCTTATGTTCTACAAGCCTGTTTCCAAAAAAAGTTGACACGCTGTGCAAAATGTAAATTAAAAACAGAATGCAATGATGTGCAAATCCCAAAACTCTACATTTAACTGAAAGTAGTACAAAGACAACATATCACATGTTAAAACTGAGAAATGTTATTGTTTTTTGAAAATAAATGCCCATTTTAAATTTGATGCCAGCAACATGTTTCAAAAAAGTTGGGATGGGGGCAATTAAAGACTGGTAAAGTTGTTTTACAATGAATTACGTTAATTGGTAACAGGTCAGTAACATGACTGGGTATAAAAGAGTCTTTCAGAAGTAAAAATGGGGAGGAGCTCACCACTCTGTGAAAGACTGCACAAGCAAATAATGTTTCTTAACCAAAAATAGCAAAGAACCTGGGTTTTCATCTATGGTACATAATATCATTAAAAGATTCAGAGAATCTGGAGAAATCTCTGTATGTAAGGGATAAGACCAAAAACCAATACTGGCTGGCCATGATCTTCGGGGCCTCAAACTGCACTGCAATAAAAACAGACATGATTCTGTGGTGGAACTCACTGCAGAAACACTTCAGAAAACCACTGTCTATGCAAAAAGTTTGTCGCTGTCTGTGAACACAGTTCATCACTGCTTTCATAAGCACAAGTTAAAATTGAAACATGCAAAGAAGCAACCATATACAAACAAGATCCAGAAACACCGCTGCCTTCTCTGGGCCTGAGCTCACTTAAGATGGACTGAGGCGAAGTGGAATAGTGTCTTGTGGTCTGACGAATCAAAATTTGATTGGGCTAAAGAAGAGACCCCGAACTATTGAGCAGTTGAACATATCAAGCAAGAATGGGAAACGTCTCACTTTCAAAATGAAAGCAATCTGTCTTCTCAGTTCCCAAACACTTACAGAGTGTTGTTAAAAGAAGAGGTGATGCAACACAGTGGTAAACATGCTCCCGTCCCTGTTGGGAACATTCCAAATGTCACATTTGTCATCACTGGAGGGTGTTGTTTTATTGTATGCACGTAATGTCAGGCAGGTTGAGACATGACAGAAGGAAGTAGCTTCTTTAAAGGTGCAATGTTACGGGAAACAAAGGGTTATAGACCGATCAGGAACCAAATGATGAAATAATAAATGAACAGCGCTGTCGCCTCACAGAAAGAAGAACCTGGGTTTGATTCCCTGCCTGGGCGACCAGGGTCCTTTCTGTGTGGAGTTTGCATGTTCTCCCTGTGTCTGCGTGGGTTTGCTCCCACCGACATGAAGTAAATTGAACTGGAGATATTAAACTGGCTGTAAGTGTGCGTGTGTATGCACTGTGATGGACTGGCAACCTGTCCCAGGGTGTTTCCTGCCTTCTGCTCAATGACCGCTATGATAGGCTCCAGCATCCCCCATGACTCAGGAGGATAAGCGGGTTAGAAGATGTTTGAACAATTAATTAATTTAATTTAAGTTTAATTAATTGATGAACTTTTGTTTAAGCCTCCTTTTTTCTTGCCATTAGTTGTAGATTTGACTGCACATTTTCAAACAGTTGAAATGTATTAATAAACTAAAAATTTAATTGAACAGACAGAAAAAGTATTTTTTTCAAAATTTCTGCATAATTAAATCATTGAGATGTAAATCCAGTCATTCCAGGTGGTCTGATCTAAAAATGCACCATGTAGAAAAACCGACTCATTATTCACAGTGGTGGTGATAGGAAGCAGATGTCTGAAGATTTTAATGCTTTCCAAATCTCCTCAAAATTGTAAATATGTTGCCAGAGGCCTGAAACATCGTTTTACAAAAGGTTTAAGAAGGTCTTGGTCTTAAATGTATTTTTAAAATAAACTGGCAGAGAGGTATCATTCATTATAAAGCAAAATAGCCCCCAAAGAAAACTTTTCAGGCTTACTATATTATCACTAAATTATCATCAACATGTCAAGTTTTACTGGTGGTTTTGGAAAGTAAATAAAATGGTTAGACATGTGACTCCCTGGTTCCTATCACATCCACTGTAAAGAAACAAGAAATTAAAGTTTCTCTGCAACGGACTATTTCACATCAAACCACGCTGAAAGACTTTGTTTACGCCTCAGCAAATTAATTATGGACAAATTTTGAAAAATCAATGGAATCCCTCTTTAAGCAGGTCACACACACGCCTTAGCGCAACCTTCAGCAGATTAAAACATTGCAGATTTTCCTCCTGCCTGTAGGCTGCTGGATATTGCTGAGTAAGACGTTGTTGGTAAGTTAGAAAACAATCAGTGGTTTGAAACAGTTCTTCACAGACTTTACTTAAAACTGTGCCCTCACTGCTGAAGTAACTGAGTGTATGTGACAAGCAACACCTGTAACCAGACTAGAGCCCGTCTGGGGAGGCCTGTCTACTGGACTACAAGGGGCCAGAGAGAGAGTCCTCAATGAATGGGAGTTGAATGGAAACTAGCTAAATAGCTGAAATGATTCGTCGTAGAGCTCCATAGCTGTGTCATTCTGTAGGCGGTGTTATAACTATATTTTTTGTCTTTGATTATATTTAGTGTAGTTTGCCTCTGTTGCACGCTATGATATAAAAAGTGTTGCAAACCATGCAAACTGTAACACGACAAAACACGCAGACGCTCGCAGGTAAAAAGTGCATTAGAGGCTTTAGTGTTGAAATCGCAATCCACCATCGAAGTCAGAAAACAAGCACTAGTCAAATCCAAAAAGGACCAGAGATACAAAAACCCAAACATAACCAGGCAAACAGTCCAAAAAGGGGTCAAGCAAAAGGTAATCCGAAAAACAGTCAGAACCAGGCATACACGCCATGAAATGAACCGCCCAGCAGCGCTCGTGAAAAGAATCAGCATCGCGCAAAGACACGAGTCTAAAGGTCCGGGCTTTATACTACGAGACAGGAGTCACGTGATCCCCAGGGGGTTCTGGGAGATGGAGTCCAAGGAGGCTTCAGAGCCAAAGGGAGTCGTGATACAAACCCTTTTGAATGTGCAGTTTTGGTCTGTGGTATATTGAACCTTTGACCTTAGTGTCAGCGTCTAGAGAGTGGCTTAGAGTTAGATGCAAATCTGATTAGCTGTAAAGCTGCAAAAAACCAAATGACTGTATAAATGACTTAAAAAAAACAACAACTTTATTATTTAAAATAAAATCAGATTTTAAATCATCTTTTTTATTGATTATTTTATTTTATTATTTTATTTTATATATCATCAGGGATGATATATATTATTTATAAAGACTTTATATTAATAAGTATTTGTCTAACTCGATATCAAGGACTGATGGCCTAATGAGCTATAGTAATGCTAATGCTACAGGAATTTCTATAGGATTTGGACAGTTGCTAGCAGAAGACTATGCAGCATTAAGACTTAGATTACTACACTCTAAAAATAATGTGTTAAATAGCAACACACTAACTTGTGTTATCCATTTTATCCACTTTTTGTGTCCTATTGTCTTCTGATTTAACACATTCTGTGCTAAAAGTAACCCAAAATGTCTCGTCTCCAACTGAACACACTGATTTGTTTATTTAGATACGGAATGTGTGTGTGTGTGTTTTTTTTAACACATCTGTTTTAAAAGTGTATAAGACACTACTATAGGAATATTACACCTAGGTGAGCATAGTATAGATAATATTTTAACCCAATCAGTGTTTTGGATAAATAAATAATTTATTCATAATTTAGGAATAAATGCATAAATACAGCCTGACATACATTAATGGAAGCTCATTTCCACCATTGAAAATAAAAAATAGAACAGCACTTAATTATTATCTCATTATTATAATTCATTATTAAGGTACGCCACTATTTTGCTATATGTCATTATTTTGCGATACTAAGTAATTATTTTGAGAAACATTTTCATTCGTTTGTGGTTCTTTATGGCTATATTTTTGTATAAAAAATATGAATATATATTTACATATAAATAAAGAAAAAGATTTTCAATATAACGAGAAATTGTCTGAAAAATATGAGGAAGCATCTAAAAATAACAAAAATGTTTCTCAAAATAACGAGATATTATCTCAAAATAATGACGTGGTATCGCAAAATAATGGCAGAGTGTTTCGCTTAAGAATGAAAAAATAATATATATTTTTTTTTTTTTTAATTTTAGGTGGCGAGAATGAGCTTCGTAAACATATCGCCCAGATTTATTTCGAAGGCTTTTATTAATAAAACACGGTGAAAGAGAACTTCCTGTGTGAGGTGGTGGATTTCCCAGCGTCCCTCGCGCTCTTCCCCCTCTTCTCTAGCGCTGCGTCTCTGTGTGCAGACAGACCGAGCGGTGAGTCCCGATAAATCTAATGTCATCCATTCGGCCAAACCTCGTTACATCGCCATCCACGCATATTTATACTCATAAACATTTGACGGTTTGAAGCGCTGTGATATTGTGAGCTAAACGCTTCCAATATTGCCAATTTTGACCAAAAATAGCACTGACTAACTGACACGGCTACCGGTGTGGAGTAACGCTGTGGTCGGTTCGCCCTGCTGTGTATAAGAGACTTCGCTGGTCTGAGTACAGCTTAAATACTGATTAGTTAACGTGTTGGTAGAAGTTTAATTTCGTGCTCATTGTATTTTAAAAGTATAGTCCATCAAAAACTTTACGACGATAGCTTAGCAGCGTTAGCCTGCTAGCTAACAGCTACATAGCTTCACATCTGCCTTGGTGTAACGTTAACGGATAAACATGTTCATACAAAGGCTTATATATATATATATATATATATATATATTATGTGTGTGTGTATATATATATATATATATATGTATATATATATATATATATATATAAAATTCATGTAGGTTCTTTCCAGCATTGTGTGTACAGCGTGTGTGTTTTCTGTGGCTAGTCTGCGTTGTCCTGTAGAATTGCTGCAAGTACTGCCAACTGGCTGAGAAGGCCTTGTAATGTGAATTGCATGTGTTTATAAATCATTTGTGTCTTCATAATGGTAGATCAAGGCGTACCATGCATCCTGATTTGTCTATTTGAGCATGGATAAATGCTTTATTTTTAACTGAGTGCATGTGTTTTTTTTTACTTTCAGCCACCATGGCTATCCTTAGACCCCTCACCAAGCCCAACATTGTAAAGAAAAGGACCAAGAAGTTCATCAGACATCAATCTGACCGTTATGTTAAGATCAGGGTAAGTTTGCTTGTTGTCTCTTGTGCTTGAAAGATGTTTGGTCACCCGAGGATTATATTTACAGCTACTACTGTAGACAGATTTGCAAAAGAGTATTGCATGGTGCTGTTTTTTGTTTTTCATAGAGATGTTGCAAAAATTTGCATCTGCTAGATGTTTTGTGGTTGTGAGCACTCCTGATGTGAACTAACATTTATTTTTGCAGAAAAACTGGAGAAAGCCCAGAGGTATTGACAATAGGGTCCGTAGGCGCTTTAAGGGGCAGATGCTGATGCCAAACATTGGTTACGGTAGTAACAAGAAGACCAAGCACATGCTGCCCACTGGATTCAGGAAGTTCCTGGTCCACAACGTCAAGGAGCTTGAAGTCCTTATGATGAGCAACAAGTAAGAATTTTTAACATTGCAGTTCCTTTTGAAAACTGAGAACCTAATGATATCCGTAGCTGTATTGCCAACGTGTGCACTGTCTGTGTTCAACATGTAGATGGTCACGTTATGTGTTTTATCACTGAGTGAGGGGAACATGTTTATATTGGCTCTAACTGTTGGTGTTAACTTTTTAACATTGGCAAGTACATTTGAAGTGTCAGTGTTTCACTTGCAGATCACATTTTAGTAGAGCTCTTAGATCCTTGTTTACAGCTTGCACAACATGTTTTTGGTGATCATGTACCGTGTTCAGATTTCGCTTTGCGGCATGAAAAGCCAGGTGTAAACCTCTCCAGTGCGCATTGTGATCAGATTGTGATTAGGTCACTCAAACCACATTCGCAGGTGGTCAGAGATGGATCTTACCCCATTTAACAACAATGTCAATAGCATGTTTTTGATGTCTGTATACACTTTCAGGAGGAGAATTGTCTGAGTTGACCAGCAGGTGAGCAAATAAACAAGGAAGTAAAAGCTGGAAGATCCTCTCAGGGTGCAGTTCCCCATACCAAGAGCCTTTTTGCACTTTGGGTCGATGAAAGTGTCCAAGCCAAGCTTGTCAATCCACGTCGTAACAGAGAAAAAGTAAATAACAGTAAAATTGAAAGAATTAGGCCTGTGGTGTTGTGTTTTCCCCATGCAGAGAAAGTAAAATTGGATCTAATCTGGTCATAATGGAGACACATTTGCATCAAAATGTTTTGTCATGATGGCACCTGAATACATTTTGTCTGGGTTCCATTTACATCTTTCACTAAAATATGTCCCAAGTAACTAAATGAGATCTGATTTTACCATTTTAAAAAGCATGTTAGTATGTTTCTGTTTTACTTTTGTCTGTTACGAGTCGACCTGCTTAACTTGGACACTTTAATTAGCCCAGAATGCGAGAAGGCTCTTAGTTTGGGGCTAATTCAGCCTCATGTATCCTCCATTTTCCATTTCCGTTTATCTTCTCACCTGCTAGTCAGAACTCGGCATGCATTTCTGCTCATGTAACCATATATGGATCTCGAATGTGTTCCTTTTACACTTGTGTTAAGAACCGTCTCTGACCACCACCAAAGTGGTTTGAGTGATCTGATCTTTTTCTCCTCACGGTGAGTTCTGGGGATGTTTTTACATTTGGCTTTTTATGCAGTCAAGTAAAATCTGTATGTGACTGGACCATCGAAAACGCATGTTGAAGCAAGGTGTAAACAGGCCCTAAAGTGTAAATGGTGTCTGGCCAAAGTATTTGCAGTCGTGAAACATGATAATGCAAGGTGTAAACAGGTTTTAGTGAAATGGGTTCAGTTTCATTGGGATGCTGGTGGATTCCATGAAAATCCTAAAGTTCTGAACATGCGTAGTAGCCTGTTATCAATTTTAGTGAACAATGTTTAAATACGTTCTGCACTGAACAGCTTATTTATCGAGTGTGCAGAAAGTGTGAATTGTCCATATTTGTGTATTGTTGGTGGGTTAGTTTAATTGCTTTGCTATGTAAAAAAAGGATTCACAGCTGATAAGTACTTTTTCTCCTGAAGTCCAACAAAACAGTAGTGCCACATTTAGGATGAATCAAATGAGTACAGTCAGTGTACTGTGCACTACATTGTTAGACAGGGCTCACTTTTCTTACTTTAATGGAACATGAGTTGGTCAGTATAAGTACTGGCTATCTACAATATGCTTAAAGTGTATTGATATTGCTGTAACAATGACATGGTCATATTGTGCACCACCGAAAATGGTGCAAATACATGTTGCCATTTCTATTCATTGGGATGCAGAAAATGTCTTGTATGCTGTAGGATTATTTAAGGAAAACAGTTATTTTGCCTGGCATTATGTATTAGCTTATTCACATCTCGAACTGCACCAGGACCTCAACCTGGAGTTGCTCATCTCCAGCATTGTACCTGCCAGATTCGTGATTCTTGTCAGGTATTAAGGGGTGGAGAGAGAGTGCAGCAGAGGAGATACCCATTCCACCTCTAGCTTTTCCCGTAGCCAGCAGGTGGAAGTTAATCTGCCACAGGTAATTAGACGATTAATGTTTAGCTCGACAGTAGAATATTTAAATTTACGTAGGGCGAAACTGTACTGCAGTTTGCATTTCTCTTCTAGAGTCCAAACACTTGCCATTCAGACACTTGTCTTTGAAAGAAAGAAGGTAGTTTCTTTATTGCAAAGGGTCAGTTCTACATTTTCTAGGCTAGTTATGAAAGTCAGGGATTCTTCAGTTCTTCAGAACACTTTGCAGTTCAAGTGGAAAAACATCATTTCCCTGACCATGCAAAAGTGTCATGCTTTAAATTCTTGAATTGTGTTAAACCATAACTTGTTTTTCTCACTTCACAGGAGCTACTGTGCAGAAATTGCCCACAATGTGTCCTCAAAGAACAGGAAGCTGATTGTGGAGCGGGCAGCTCAGTTGGCCATTAAGGTCACAAATCCCAACGCAAGACTCCGCAGTGAGGAGAACGAATAATCTGGCCAGCTCTGTCTTTTCAATAAAGTTAATGTTAAATCACCCTTTGTCTGTTGGTGTTTTTTGTATAGCCTTTCTGTTTATGTGGCTGAGATTACATACAAGACTGTTTTTCAGAATATTTATTGGTCAGTGCTTCATTGACTACGCTTTAAAAATTCAGACGTTTAAAACCTACTAATTCCGGCTTGCGGCAGTCTAAAACTGGCTTATCATAACTTATCCAATGAATAATGTTGATAAAAATAATGCATTAAGCTTAAACTATTAATCATCCATGCCCCAGTAAATCTACATTTAATGATTTACAGAAGTCCAACAGTTACCACACAGTAAGCAGATCCGAACTGCGAGTCCTAGCTGGTGTCCATTGACTCCACAGCCCCTGATATGGGGTCTCCCTGAACACTTTCGAAGATGGTAGCCATCTCTGCGTTCGTTCTGATCTGGTTGACGAAATCTGCCATGACCGGACTCTTCTCTACTTCACTGATGGACAGAAGCGCAGCCACTGCACGCATAGCTGAGCGCCTCAGCTCCTCTTGCTTCTCGAACTCCTGCTTCACTGAGCCGGCCTTTACCTGAACATTCAGAGAAGGACAGTCGGTGCAGCAAACTCACGTTTGTGGTGAACTAAGGTTATGAAGCAGTTTGACCTCAAGCGTAGCTAAAGTAAAACATCTGGCCAGCTTCCAACAGAAGCCTTACCTTTGTAGTGCATGTGGCTCTAAGAGGCTCCACTAGCCTCTCCAGTCTCTGTACCACAGCAGCTGGAGACAAAGAGGCAAGCCTGGCCAGCATTATGAAGGTTAACATCTGAAAGACAGGACGGGTCAGTCATAAAACACTGAAAAATATCTGCTTATTTTAAGTTTAGTGAACAAAATTAAATAGTGGAAATATAATTTTAGATAAAATGTTTTTCCCCTGTTGCTTAAAAATGACCCCAGAATCAGAACCTTTCATTTCAAAGTATCAGATTTACAAGGAGTTTATTTTTGTATAAGTGTCAACATAAAATTAAATCCAATAAAATAAATATGAAGGAAACTGTATAAACATAACAGACAATACAAAAACAATCTGCAAGCAGTATAAAGGATGTGCAATGGGAGATAAGTACAGATATAATCAAGTACTGAAGTACATCTATTCAATATGTATAGCTGAAAGAACTGAACAGCAAATATAATTGTAAATGTAAGCACATTTATAAAATATGAATATTGCAACACGTTACAGTTGTACCAGTCACATATCCCACACCAAAAACTGTTGAGAGCTTAACTATAGTTCATCACAGAATGGCTGCTGAATTTTAAGAGTACTACACCTTTACATGACTGCAAATTCAGCTTAACAGAACCGAATGTTCTTTGCAGCATTGCCAAAAAAGTTTCTGATAACACTGGTAGGGTTCTCTGTACTATGTCATGATAGTTTGCAGTCATTTTATAAGGGTTACTAACCAACAACTAACATCACTCCTTTGTTTTCTAAAGTCTTCATGCCTTTTTGAACATCATTAATATAAATGAACTGGTAAACTATTCAAAGACATGAATGGCGAGATCATAATTACAGTAACGCCTTTAACAGTCTGTATTTCAAAGCTGACGGGGAAGTGAATCACAGCATAAACAGATTTTTAAGACCTTTTTTTGTTTCCTAAATGGTTTGATCAAATGAATCACATTCACAAGTGGTCAGTCTGCACACTTACTCTAATGTCATAGTGATCTTTTAGACCTTCCTCCACATGGTTGAGGAATTCAAAAATGTCCAGGCAATCCAGACAGCTGTCCAGCAGAGTGTACATGCACTCAAAGGCAGCTTTACGCACATCTAACCCATCATCCACTGTGTGCTTAAAGGGACCCATCTCTACCTGAAACGTCAAACAGTATCATAATACATCAGCTCTGGAAAACACTGCATTCAATTCATTAGACTGAGATTTGGAAATAAGCAGACCAGCTTCTACAGTCGTCTCCATGCTTCTATAAGTGATGTTTACCCAGATCTAGATCCACTTGGCCACAAACCATATCTAAATGACCAAATTGGTCATGTTACCATTTTCATTAGTAAATGGGTTATCAGGAAACAGCATGCAGTGTAGGCTACCTCGCGGATGAGGTCTTTTCTGATCTGGGTTTCACTGTAGAGCTTGGGCAGAACTGCAGTCAGGAGACCACGAATCAGACCAGGTTTATTGTGAGCGGCTGAGTTGAACATCACCAGGGCAACACGTCGCACATTGAGGTCAGGATCTTGGATGGTTTTCAGGAAGTCACCTTTTAGAGCAGATATGGCAAATTCGGTCACATGCAGCTACGGTTATGACATAGAAATGAAATCAATTCCTGTAAATGAACTTGATTCTTTATAATAATTTGAGGCTGACTTATGTTTAGAGTTTTAAAGTTTGGAATCACTTGCCATATTTATAATTTCTGTTACTTTGTACACAATAACTTATAAAATGTGGATTTGAATATCACAAACTATTCATCAAAAAGTTTTTGTTTTATTGAATAATTATGTCAAGAAGTGGATACAATGCTAAATGAACTACTATTTGCTTTTTTTTGCATTTTATCTGTCTTGAGTTTTGATCTCCACTTTATAAATAATTTTGTATGTTAACTTTATTCTAACTTAATTGTAGATGTTACACACCTTTCTCAGTCAATTTAGAATGACTTCATCAATTCTACACCTACTTTTTATTTATAGCTATCTAGTGTCCTACTATTTATATTTACTAGTTCAACAAGACTAGCATATTAGGATCATTTAATACATTTGTCTGCAACCAAATTAGTTTTATATTATTAAAGTCATCTAAACTTTTGAATGCTAGGTTACATAATACAGATAAACAATAATTCTTAAAATGTTACTGATTTTAAAACAATTACCACAAATGTAACTTAAAACTGAAAGGTTTTACCTATGCATTCCTTAAGAAGTGAGTCTATGGGCACAGGATGGTCTACGATGGTGAATTTCACAGCTGTCACAACAGTACTGCGGGCAAGAGAGGAACCTAAAACAACAGATTTACAAAACACTGAATGTTCTTCAGTTTTTGCACTTGAATGCATTGATCTCAATCGCTACCAACTCTGTCAACACCCCCTTGGGACCTGCTGACAGAGTTTCTCAACCCAGTCCATGGGGCCCACCACAGCTGAACCAGTTCATTAAGAACACTGCATACCTAGTAAGAGGTGAGTGCAAAACGACTTAAGCACTGCCACCATTTGCACATGAGGGCCACAAGGCCATAATGTTCCCGATCTCAGTCATCACACCTGATTGAACATGAGCATGAGGTCATCGGGACTGGGATTGGAAACCCCTGCCACAGGATGTCCCTTTTCTCATCTCTTACCCAAAATTACTTGAAATACAAGTGGGGATCAATCAGAGGTGGTTTTATTTACAGCTGTCTGATCAATATGGTGGAGATGATATATAGATGTGACTTAAAATTCCTTTGTTTATTAATTTTGTAAGCTATTGACCTGTTTGAAAAAATAGGTTCCACCAATGACATTATCTCTCACAGGCAGAGCCGAATAGCTTGCATGACTCTGTCCCAAATGCACACTTTTAAAGCTAGAACAAGTCGATGATGTCACCTATGTGTGGCTTTGGAGGAGGACTGGAAGGCTTGGGGTGCTATTTGGGACAGGACTTTAGAGGTTGACCATCGGATTGCCCCCCCAAGGACCAGAGGAACACTAGCCCAGGACAAAAATGAAAATATGATTGAGATATGGTTTGGTTGCAGCTCCTTACCTGAAGATAACTGCTTCTTTAGCCTAGGTAGAAGCTGAGATGGGTTTACCAACGTGAGTTTGCCGAGACATTCTGCCACAACATTACGAGTGCCTTCTTCAGCGCACTCACAGTTCTTGAAAAGCAGTGTCCAGATGTTCTCCACATGAGGCTTGAGACTCTCAGCTGACAAAGCACTAATCACTTCCTTGAGGGAATGGAGAAGCAGGTATTGTCTCTTAGGTTGACCACCGATCTCCTTCAGTAGGAATGGCAGGTACTCTTCTAGATTTCCCACACAGATGTTGCCAAGGGCGCACGATGCTGCAGACTTCACTTCTTCATTAGGGGAGCTAAAGGCCTCCATGATGACCGTCTTCAGCTCCTTGTGCCCTCCCAGATTTGTAGTACGCCCCACTTCTCCAAGGCAAAGGAAGGACAGGATTCTCACCGATTCTGACGTCCTCTGGTTCTTCACCTCTTGGATGAGGTTGGTGACTGTTCCAGAAGCTTCCTTGGGACATGCAGAGGACAACGCTGCCACACACTTTGCCACTGAGTAGTAGGACTGCCTATGCACCGACATGGAGTCAGACGATTTAGCCTTATAGAAAGGACCGGTCAAAGCTTTCATGAGATCACTGTAGCCTGTATTGCTGGCCTTGGTCAACACGAGGGCCTGGAAGAACTCCACTATGGAACAAAGAGCACCTCCTTGCAGTAATGGAGAATGCACCAGGTGGAGCACTTCAGGCAAGATAGTTCCTCCTATCTTGGCTAAAGAAGATGGGCAAACTTTGGCCATGCAGGTCAGAAGCATGATAGCCACTTGGGATATGTGCATATCACTCTCCTGAATCAAAGCAGGTAACTCATTCAACACAGACTCGAGCATAGCAGGCTTGAAACAGTCGCTGTAGTTCGTAACAATGATGTTTAGGGCCGTCAGTGTGTTCAGCTTAAGGGCACGCTGGTTCTTTCGTAAGAAAGATCCTAGAATTGGGATCCCTTCTGTCAAGATAGGCCTTAGGTCAATCTTAAGTGGAGATGCGGCAACAAGGCACAAGGTCTTCACAGCAGTGAGCCTGGTGATTTCGTTCTTTAGTCTTTCCAAAAAGATCTGCAGGGTGGGCTGCAGGTCTCCACCCAGCTGGTCACCTAAGTGACCAACAATGTGGCCCATACAGGAGATGGCCCTCTCCTTCACTTCCTGGTCAATATCTGCTGCTTTTAACCGCTTCAAGGTGCTACTGAACACATCTTTCACATAGGGCTTTACATCAAAAGAGGACTGTTTCTCCAGGGGTCGCATCAACTTCACCATCTGCTGGGTCACTTGGAGGGCTTCCGATGTGATTTTATAGAAAGGGTCTTCGACACAGTGAATTACAGGGGGTAGAATGACTTTGATGTGTGGGTGAAAGACCTCTGGGGTGTGGCTAGACAGGAGGACGTGAAGGAAGGCAAGAGCGTCGATCTTCATGTTTGAGGAGGTGGACTTGTCAGTGAGGGAGTACACAATGCCTATAGAAAGAATGTGTCTTTATGAGGGATGCAAGAATTATTATATTTACCATTAAATTAGGGATGCACTGATATGGATTGTAGGCAGATGCTGATATTTTTCATGTATGTATCTGCCGATATTGATACAGAAATATTTATAAAGTGTATAACATTGGACTAAATGCATCTGGATTAGCATTAAAAACAAGTGTAATATTTATTAGTAGAGGGATATGAATGCAAAAATTGCATAAATTCAATGTAATTGAATAAAATGCAGACATTTTAGCACAGTAGCTCAACTGCTCTTTCAGTTTACAATAAATGCTTCGATTGCCGAGCACTGTGGATTGTCTATACCCGTTGTTGGCTTACTCCTTTTGCCTTTTTCCTTTTCTTTTTAGTTTTCTTCCCTGTCGTGTTTTTATTTCTCTATGTTTAATTCTGTTTTATGGATAATGATGTGTGTGATTCCACAATTTGTTTTGCATTTTTCAACACTGAATCTGAGAAAGATGCACTTATGCATCTAAAATGTGTTTACAAATCTCTGACAGATGCTGACAATGGCTTTTTAGCTCAGAATTAGCAAATATAGTAAACGTGGTTTACTAGCATCCACGCTAATGGTAGACCACATCAAGGAGAGTCCAATGCAATGCAAAAAATGATCTGATCTTTAAAATGTACTTGAAGAAAGTGTCATTATTATGAGTTAGAACACACAAGTGCTGTAGATGTAGGTCTTTATTAACCCCTCTATTGCACAATGTTGCCTCAGGGCAACAAACTAATTTTCCTCACTTTACAATAACGTTATACTTATTCAAAGACAATGATAGCCTTAACAGTAAAGGGAAGAGATGAGTACGTCAATACAGGGCATATGCTTGGTCATAATATCTCTTATTGTGCACATTTTAACCTCTTTTTTAACATTCAGTATCAATTCTTTTTGCTATGAGAATTTGCAGAAATATGTTTGTTGCCTAGAAGCAAAACTGCATGACAGTGGAATGGATTAGCCAGTCACAAGCCAGTCAACCGCTTGCACATACCCTAAAGCTTTATATCTAAACCAAACTGATTTGCACTTTGTGTAAGTGAAACTGCAGTACCATAATACAATTATTTTGTCCAGGTTTTTTCAAGTTAACATACATTACATGCCACCTAATGCATGTAATAAGGCTGCAAATATTATTTGTAGATATAAATATACATTTGTTTGTATATACATGTATTCTGAGAAGAATACCAAGTATTGGTTCACACCCGTACATGAACTGTGATCATTTATAATGAACAGGATTCTTACCTGGAATGAGGTTAGGAATGTGTTCCCCTAGTGCTCCAGGAAGCACATTGGCCATCTCTGTTAGTATATTGAAACAGCCCTGCCTGGACTTCATGCTTTTCTCCTTCAGTTGTTTGTGTAGGGCCTTTATCACTGTGGGAACCTAGAAATGCAAGAAACATCTGATTTTAGAAATGTAATCTACATCTCAACATATACAGGAAGTTGCTGTGATCCACTTCATTATAAAGATTAACCGAAAGCCCTTATTATCCACACAGGACAGCCCATAAGTAATTGGACAGTGACACAATGTAAGTGAATTTGGCTCTACAGAAGCACATTAGTTACGAAACTAATTAACGAATTAGTGACAGAATGTCAGCATCAGTTCTAGAGTATTTACATCTACATTAGGCAAAAGGTTTTATTTTTACTTAACATTTTGCCATGACCCCAACTGGACACTGTTTATTCAAAATGTCACAAAATTACAGCAAAAACAGGCACTGAATACTGATTTATTCAGGTTTTTTTAATTGATGAGTTATTTATTATTAGTTATTATTTATTAATCATATATATATATATATATATATATATATATATATATATATTCATAAAACTGTTAAACCTCTTAATATGTTCCCAGTGGACAGTACATTTTTTAAAACTGCCCATTCGTTTGAACTAGACACCTGGCATCATTTTGTGGTGCTGTCCCATAGATCATTGTTGGGGAGGGGGTGGGAGCATACGTCACGTTGCAGTGCATGCCGGGAACTCTAGTGCAGCTCATGGTAAAATGAGCCAATATTAATAGAAAATGAAAATACTTTTGCAGGCCGAATAGGATTGCGCCACGGGTCTGAGTTGGCCTGCAGGCCTTGTGTTTGACACATGGGCTGTAGAGGGTGTGTTAACTTTTTTTACTTAAAAAAATCAACAAAACAGATCATTTGACTAGGGGTGCCAAAACTTTTGCATGCAACTATACAACAAAGACACATTCTAAGTGACTAAGACACAAACAAAGGAACATCTGCTAACATTATCAGTGGCTGTTGAGCCTGACTTGGCAAGTTTCTCTAAAATGAAGCACTTCACATCAAACCACTCTGAATGACTTTGCTTACAATTTATTAGTCAGAAATTATTCAGAAATCAGAGGAATTCCCACTTTCACGGATCATTTAGTGACTGAAATGGCCTTAATTACAGTGTGATGATTTATGTCTGACTGTGCCTATACCTGTTTCTTCAGGAGGGTGACTGCTGGGTCCTCTTTAGCTCCAGGATCCAAGGCGGAGCCATGGGGGGGTTTAGTCTGCCTCACTAAAGCCACAAAGGCCAGAAAAATGTCTGACTTTACATTCTCCTCTCGTTCCTTGAAGCGTGACACCAGGGTTGGGCACACAGAGCCATAAAGCTCCACCAGTAGGTCCCTCCGGCTACTGATCACCGCTTCCAGACACTTCACAGACGAGCGCCTCACCTTCCAGCTCATGTCGTCATCGTCACTGTATTCGTCATCAGATTCTGCAGAATAAAAGAAGTTCGGCAGGGAGATTACGATCCATTGGAATAATCTCACATCCCTTTCACTGGAATCCTGCACACATGCAAAAAAAAAATGATGTGAAAACGCTATGATGACATGAAATCATCACAAAGGTGATATTTAAATGCACAATTGTTTGTTTATCTGAAACATATTGTGGGAATAATGTAAAATAAATAAAATGATGGTTAATAAATGAATAAAAATGATGGTACTTCAAGGGTTCTTTAGTAAAGAAAATGTTCCTGTATAGAATCACGAACATTCAAAGGACCCTTTCCATGATTAAAGGGTTCTCTGCATGGTGACAGTGTTCTTCAGATTGATGGAGAACGTGCTGTAGATGGTTCTATACAGAACTTTTTTGAACAGCACCAAAAAGGGTTCTTCTACTGTTACGATGTCAGGCTTGTGACAATGAAAGAACCTATTGGACTGCTATATAAAACCTTTTCAAAAAGGTTCTATATAGAACCATCTGCAGCACATTCTCCATCAGACTGAAGAATCATTCCTTGTTGCAAAGAACACTTTAATCATGCAGGGTTCTTTGAGTGTTCACGGTTCTATACAGAACCATTTTCTTTACTAAAGAACCCTTGAAGAACCATAATGAGTCTAAATTTGTAATTAAAATTACTTGTGAAAAGTCAAAAATTCAACCAACTTCTGAGACTGAACTTTGGAGGTGTGGAAAAATATCCCTGTAGATTTCCTTGAAAAAGAAAGTCTCCTGAAAAGAATGGAGGCTGCAACGAAGGCAAAGTGTGGACACATAAAATACTGAAACATATTATATTTAGTTGTTGCGGCTTCTGTAGAATTTTCCATGAAATATATGTTTTCAGCTTTTTTCCTGAGTCTCAAAAAGGAATAACTTGAAGTACCCGATGTCCATTTTGACAGGAAATTAATAAATGAACAGTGCTCTCTGACTTGATTCACTTTGTAGGTGTACCAAGGTCCACACCTACAAGCTCATGCACGCCATGCATACTTTGTCTTGGTCATCCTTTTGGCCAGTGGACCACTCTCAACCTAGCAGTGACACTGACATTTGTAGAGGCAAAAAATGTAGTGGTCCCTTTCCATTGATGTATGTGGCAGAGGGAGGCTGACACAGTCTGCAGCCTGTAATTACAGTCTATAATTGTAAATCTACAAAGTGCACCTACATGGTAGGTGTTTCTGATAGAAGGGAATTTATTACAAGGTAATTACAAGATAATTACAAAACAGGTATGACAAATAAACTGGCAATTCAGTCTATATGAGCCTTGATTCTTGATGAGCAGTCTCCTAATGTGAAAAAGTATGTGATCAAGGTCTTGATTCGAGGGGGTGCCGAAAAGGATGTTAAAGTAAAACGACAAAAATGAACCCCTTCGCAAAACTGCTACCCCGCTAACACCACTCCGTCCCCTTTGGATTGAATCCATTACATTAGTTACACTTAGAATTAAGGGTATTGTCTATTACTTATATTTTAATTCTATCCATATTTGAGATTTACACACCAAGGTGCCTAAGATGTATTTGGAGTGCCCCCCACTTCCACCCCCCAGTTATCGGAACCCACCCTTCAACTTGACATTCGACCAGTGATTATCACAGTACTTATAATCACAGTGTTTTGCCATAGAAGTGATTAGGATACACTTAGAATGAGTTAAAAGTGGTACCCTGGTCCTCATCCTCTCCATTCTCAAGGTCCATGGAGTCCTCCTGGTCTTCTTCAGCATCATAGTTGTAGTTGGGGTCATGGGTTACATACTTCAGGCACAGCTTAATTACCGTGGGGATGTGAGGAGACATTTCCTTCGGGCATCTTCCAAAAAAACGACACAAATTTTTCGTTTTTATGGTGCAATATAAACTATATGTAAATATAATTCAGAAGAAATGTCTTCACGTGGGCTTAGATCAAAAGATTTACCTGCGAACGAAGGCTTCAAAGGCCTGAAAGCAGTTCTCCCTCAATTCATCATCCTCCACATTACAGAACTTCACCATCATCGGGATAATCCTCTCCAGGTGCTCACCTAAGATATGCATACATGTTGATTTGATAATAAAATGATCAAGAATGCCTGGTGATCAAATCTTAGGCACATACATTTCAATAATTTGACAATTATAGTGTATTAATAATTGTTTTCCCTCTTAAGATCTGCAGAACTGCCATCACTTCCAGGCTTACATTTCTCACTCCTGTAACTAAAGAATATTACAATGTTTTCCATGCAATTAGTCAATAATAAGCTTGAGGATGTAATAAAAGTCTTAGCATTTAAGAGGCTAACCAGTCTTGTGGCTCTGAAAAAAATGTAAATGTTGTATAAAGCCTCTAAAACACTCTTTAGTGTCTGGTCTACAATGTTGTGCATGTTATTGGTATTAATTAAGTAAAAGTTCTTCTGAATAAAATAAAATTATTTATTATTACAATTGATTCCAAAACTTAAAAAGTAGTTGACAAGACTTCATGCAAAAACCACCAATGATTTTTTTTTTATTTAACAAAAAGGCTGTGATTACCTTCTGCACTATTCAAAAGTTTGGGCGCCCTAGTCAAATTACATGATGTTTTTTAACTGAGAACAAGTTAATATCCTCTACAGAGAACTCGCTTCTGCACATTTTAATGCACAGTTGCAGTTTATTTGAATATGACATATTGGAAAAAAAATGTAAAATGTGGCCTGTGCAAATGTTATGGCACATTTTATATTTTATGTTAAACTCCAGTTTGTTAAATTCAGCAAATAAATCTAAAGTGTGCACTAAAATTTGTGTGTTCTCTGTATAGGATGTATTTTTAAATAACTCAACCCATTCTTCACACTCTGGTTATCACAGTCCTTATTTTTATATTGCTGCCATCTTCTGGCCACCTTGTTTAAAACTGCCTGTTAAATTCTGAGAGATAAAGGGAACTTGAAAAATGGACACATAAAAATGTTGTATGTGGGCTCAGCGGGGAAAATAAAATACCAGAAACTATACTGACTATAAAAACTATATCGACCTATAGGTTATCAAAATGTTTAGCCCTTTTAAAACTGATATAGGTGACAAAATTTTATACGGACTTGTACATACGACAGAAAACGAAGCTCAGCCTCACCAACTCTGTGCCCTCCTTGGCGGGTGATGGTGGTCAGGCACTGGATGTAGGTGCGTGTATTAGCCCCAGGTGCCCCCCGGGACAGTTCCTTCATGAGGTGTTCAGCAAGCTGGGTGAAGAGTGCAGGGCTGCAGCTGGGCACCAGATGACCCAGCGCCATGATGGCACGTTTCCTGACTGCCATGCGTGGGCTGGTCAGCTGGGGGAGCAGACTGGTCAGGATGGACTGGTGAAAGCTGACCAGTGTACTGCTGAGCCTACAAGGGTGAAATGTTACTGTAATGAAAAATCCCATTTACAGTTTTCTTCTCAACCCAAATCTAGCTGAGCTAATGTACCAAGCTAAAGTAGCTATATGGAAGATAGCCCACCAAGTAGCACTGTGCAAACTACAAGCCTAAATCATCACACACTTAACTATGTCCCAGAAGTATGTTGCATGGCAAAAAAACAATAGTAGTAGCTATTCCGAAGACTTGGACCTACTAAGCTAATGTAGCTAACGAGTAACGGAAACTATAGACATACCTAGATGCCACGTTGGGTCCAGCCAGGCATGTCAACGATCAACGTCGCTGCTGGACTGCATTCAGGACCATTACAGAGCGGCGGTTTAAGAAAGGTACTGTCCATAATTATACTATTTCAAGAATATTGCACTGAGAAAGTGGAAAAGGATCATATAACGGAGGGAACACAGCAATCCACACTCATGTCTGTGTGATGTTTATGTGTAGAAATGGTCGTGTGGTTGGTGATGCACAGAAAACCTGTTGATGTGATTGTTTTCCCTCTGGTTTTATATTAAGCTTATTTCATTTAATAGTCTATGTTATTTATTTACAATGATGGTTAATGCTTTATAGCTAGGTAAGTTATAGTATTTTCAATCCGTGTAGATATTCATAATAGATTAATGTTAGCACTTTCTTACATAAATCTGAAGTCAGCTTCTTATTTGCCAGGATCTTCTCGAATTTACCCTCTCCACCTTAAATGGTACATCAGCCAACATCTTGTTAGAATTTGCCCGTTCCACCTTAAATGGTGCAGCTTCAAGCACCAGAAAGTGAAAACTCGAACAAGAAGCTGGCAAATAGGAAGCTAACTTTAGCTTCATCCTTCTTACTGTGTTTTGGGGGGTTAATTTAATTTTTATGTATATTAAGATTAAAAGTGATTCACATTTTGATGGATTTGCTGATTGTGTTTCTACCAGAGCTTGTGCTAAACTCGGTGTTTAATGTCAGCTTCAGACTGAACACTTTCCTGCTGGTACAGACGGCTAATTAGCACGATCAATTATTAAAGAAATAAAAGCTACCGAGAGCAGTCCGTACAGCCTTGATTAATCTGTGTCTGAGGATTATAACAAAACAAATTTGGTGAAAATTGGTTGAGTAATAAGGAAGTTGTGGCTGATTTAATCCTGAGACTCATCGCCACTCAATACAAGTGAATTTGTTCACAAGCGGATCTTGACCGCTCCAACACGGCGCACAATCTCACACACTTCTAATCTTAATACACATAAAAACGAAATACCCCCCAACAAAACACAGTAAGAACGACGAAGCTAAAGTTGGCTTCCTATTCGCCAGCTTCTTGTTCGAGTTTTCCCGTTCCACCTTAAATGGTGCAGCAGTCACTTTCTGGTGCCTAAAGCTGCACCATTTCAGGTGGAATGGGAAAATTTGAAGAAGAAGCTGGTGAATAAGAAGCTAATCTCAGGTTCGTGTAAGAAGGTGCTAACGTTAATCTATTATGAATATCTACACAGATTAAGGAATGATATAACTTACCCAGCTACAGAGCTTTAACCATGATTGTAAATTAATAACTACTACATCATGATCCCCTAAATAGACTATTAAATGAAATAAGCTTAATATAAAACCAGAGGAAAAACCATCATATCAACAGGTTTTTGTGCCTCACCAACCACACGGCCATATCTACACGTAAACATCACACAAACAATACGCATCACACAAACATGAGCGTGGATCGCTGCATTCCCTCCGTTATATGATCATATCCCATTTTCTGAATGCAGTATTCTTGAAATAGTATAATTGCGGACAGTATCTCTCTTAAACTGCCGCTCTGTAATGGTACTGAATGCAGTCCAGCAGTGATTTTGACCGCCCCAAACTGGCGGCACCATTGACGTGCCTGGCTGGACCCAACGTGGCATCTAGATATATATATATCTATGACTGCAGCCCCCAACTCATCTGAACAATGTAAATAGGAGCTGCTGATGGTCACTATACCTGAGTCAGGTGCCTTATGAGCCCGAATACGGCACAAACGTGAACCGGCTCTGAGACTGAGATGAAAATGCTTTAATGAATATAAGACACACACCTTCCCAGCATATCAGAGAGAATGTCCAGGGCTTCCAGTTGCACAGACACATCGTCCTGCTTCCCCATGGCACCGATCAACTGGGACGTGATCTTTTTACAAACGTTAGCCGTCAGACACAAACCTTAAAAACAGAGGTCAGTAAAAATGCTATAACAGAACATATACAGTCTGTTGGAAATCTGTTTAGTCAAATGATCTTTAAATTAAACTGTAAACGTATCATAGAACATATGATAAAATACTGCTACATTTTACTATCACACCTGCTGACATTTTACCTGCGGATGCTGGGGGCAGCTCTGCGATAACTGTCTTCAGGCCCATGCTGGAAATGTCTCGGAGCTGCTCTTTGTCGGACACCATGTTGGAGCACAGAGTGTCCACCATGGTCTCCACCTGATATTCCTTCACTTTGCTCACAAGAGGACCTAGACTGCACAGGTCATGAATAAGTCACAGTTTTTATCTGTGGAATCAATTGTAATTTATTTTGCATCCAAACACGCTATACAGTTGTGTGCAAAAATTTAGGCACCCCTGGTCAAATGGCCTGTTGTTTTGTATGTTTTTAGTTTTTTTTGGGTCACATTTCCTCTATAGAGAACACAATTCTGCACATTTTAATGCATAACTACTGTTTATTTGCTGAATTTTACATATTTGAAGAATAAAACAAAATGTGGCCTATGCAAAAATTATTACGGCACTTTTTATATTTCACGGTTTTTTCTTTTACAATATTTTAAATTCATCAAACGCACAGAAACTGCACTAAAATAATGCAGAAAATGCCATATTTGAGTTCCCTGTAGGGGATGTGTTAACTTATTTTGACATAAACGAAAACAAAACATGTAACTTGGCTGCGGTGTTCAAACCTTTACATGAAGTGTATTAATAGAGAGTTTATCCTCCTTTGCTGCAGTAACAGCCTCTACTCTTCTGGGAAGGCTTTACACTAGATGCTGGAACATTGGTCTGAGGGTTTGAGTGCATTCAGCCGCAAGAATGTAGTCAGGTTCTGATGATGGATGATTAGCTCTGGATCATAAGCCACTCAGCTTATCCCAAAGGTATTGGACAGAGCTCCATCACTCCATGATGGGGGTTTAAAACATGCCTAGATAATGTTTGGCACTGGGTATGGTGACCTTATACGCATGTTGGCATGGTGTAGTGCAAACTGCCACTGAGAAAACCACATTAAAAATCTCAGCAAATCTGTGGGCCAGTAAACACTATGTTTTTATTTCATTTTTAATTAACATTTTACTATAACCCAAACTGGACATTTTTTATTCAAAATATGCCGCTATTTCAACAGCAAAATACAGGCACTTGTAACAGACCTTGACAACATTTAAATGCTTCCAGGAGCTCAGCCTTTTAAACATACCTGTTTGCTTGAACTACACACCTGGCATCTTTTCTATACTGCAGGTTCATTAGTTCTTGGGCTCAGTTTCTGAGCTGCTGAGCTGATGTTAAGCGCTTAAATTGGTTGAACTGCAGCTGAAATGCAGCGAGTGTGTTTGGTGATTTAACTGGTGTGGAATTTTGTAGAACTGAGGCATAACCACTGTCCCATAGACTGTTGTTGGGTTAGGAGAGTCAGAGCACATATTACGTTGCAGGGCATGCTGGGGACTGTAGTGCACGTTGTGAAAATTAAAATACTTTTGCGAGCCGGAGAAGATTGTGTTGTGGGCCTGATCTGGCTTTGTGTCTGGATGCTTTTGGAAATATAATGCATGATGCACTTGAATATGTACAACTTCTGAATTATACCATTGTTATTAAGCCTAATTTGGCAAAGTCGACTAAGAACTTGCCTACCATTTGACCGCAAGGTTCTGAACTTCGCCGTTTTTGTCCTCCAGAAGTTTCAGCAGCATGGTCACCACCTTCCTCTCACTGTCCTCATCAAGCTTTATGGAATCTTTCTGCAGCTCCATCATCAGATCATTGGTGGCCATAAACCTAATGAGAGTGAAACAGGTCTAGCAACAGTCTGCAATGAGTTAACCAGGTATAAAGACTAATCTAGTTACTAAATTATAGCTGTTCTGGGCAAAATTACTTTATTATGTAGTTATAGGCATATTATAATCATACTCGTGCCATACAGGTAGAACAGACTATCAGACAATCACAACATGGGACGGTCAAAGATGGTGCCCCATTAATGGACAATACACATGCTTCAAATATCCACACAATAGCCACCTCCATAGTGCAAATTTCACCATTTCACCAAGTTTGTAGACACCTGCTCACCCAGCATGTCTTCTGAAATGAAAGGTATTAATAGTGAGTTTGTTCCTTGCTGCAGTAACAGCCTCTACTCTTCTGGGAAGGCTTTACACCAGAAGTCGGAACATTGCTGTGAGGTTTTGATTGCACTCAGCCCCAAGAGCATTAGTGCGGTCAGGGTGATGGTGACCAATTATTCCTTTTTCTCCTCTTCTTTGGTCACTAAAATTAGAATTTTTCTTAACAAAATGATTTTTTGTAGTTATAGAACTACATAGTAAGTATGTAGTTATATATCGGTCATGCCTGTGGAACAGGCTATCAGACCATAAACAAATGCATAATAATTTACAATAGAGATAAAATCACAACATGGGACAGTAAAGGACGGCGCCCCCTCAACTGAAAGGACATATGTGTTTAGAGTATCCACAGAATAGCCATATCCATAATCCAGATTTCACCATTTCACCTGTTGGGACACTGAGTGGCTTTTTCCACAGACAATGACGAAGCAACAACAGTAAACTTGGAGGCCTGTAACACAGTAAACTAGGCTGCTTTTCAGAGAAAATCAGCACTAACAGTGAAAAAAGTACATAAGTTGTTAAAAAACAGTCGTGTGACTTTCCATTAACGTCCTATTTTTACAAATATTAGTCATGAGTCCAGCATGCAGGCTGTCTTACCGAAAATCTTTGTCAGTGGATGTCATTTTTTCCAACAGGTTGGAAATGTGATAGGTGACATTCGACATTTTCACTTTTTTCCCACACACTAACAACGAGAAACAAAGCTGTTCTTCGGACTTCGATAAAAAGAGAAGGAAAACTTTACTGCACTGACATAACGGGCGCTGACAGGGACGCTCAGCGGCGTAGAGCAAGCTGGGAAACTCGACACCTCCAGGCAGATATAAATAGAGTGATACCAGGCAGTGCGGTCCAAACGGGCTAACTGCAGCCTACTTAGGGCACTAGAGGGGCAGAAGGCTCACAGCTGCTGCTTTGTTGTGTTCCAATCCGCTGTGGGCTGCGCTCCAATCTGCGTAGCTGTAGCCCAGATGGAATGTGGACGTGTTCTGGCAGCTTCTGCTTATGTGCTCCAGTACAATTAGATTTTTGTAAGAGAACAAAATTTGTGTTTTACAACTTGTTTATATTAGCACGCTATACGAGTTAGCCTTCCAGTGAGCTGACCGGTGCAAAAGTAGGCTGTACATTAAAGAAGTAGGCCAATTGGAGCACAGCCATTTCCTCAAAGCGCCCTTCTCTAGAAAGAACCAACTAATAAACGCTTAGTTTCCAGACTATTTCACAGCGGTGTTAATAAAACCAGCAGCAGCGAACATAGCTTCATAGAAGTATGAGGTAATATTAGCTAGCAGTTTTAACTCTCACTGTTTTTTAACTTCATAATAAAGTGACATTTTACAACTTGATGTCTGATGCTGCATATCATACATTTGTACATTACTTACTAAATTATAAAGCTAAAATTAATTTTTGCAATACTTCAAGACATTTTTACAATAAATGATATATTTATTTTTTTCAGATATTTGATCAGTTGAAACTGAGAAAAAGGAATGAGTAGTGCTACATTTAAAAATACTATAAAAAACTCTAAATTCAATGTTTTTATTCAATATGTGGTACATGTGTTGCACTAATTTCAGTTAAACAGTTAAACAGCTAATTTTGCTCTCTTTATAATGAAACAGGCAGTCGGTCAGTTTCTACAAGTACTTGCAGTATAAACAATTTGTTCAAAAAGGCATTTTGTATTGTGACATAATTTATCACGGTAACGATATATATTGTCATATTGGCCAGCTCTAGCTCAGCCTTAGGAAGAGCAGCAGTCTGTTTCTGAATCACTTTCGACCCCTATATGTTTTTTTTCGTCAGTCCCTTCATAGGGAGTAGGGGAAAGGCAGGATCGCATCTGAATGGAACGGACCGCATGTCGCGAGTTTGGCTGCCATCGTGTGGCGCCGGCGCGAATTGCAGGCTGTGTCCCAGAACATACGGGCCTACTGAACTGTGGAGTTTGTCGGGGCGAAAGGGAGAAAGAATCCTTACCGAGGACAAAAATCAAGGCAAAAAGCCACCAAATTAAGCAGGGACTGAAAACAACTGAATCACAGGCCTTAGGCCTGCCCTGACAGACATCAGCAGGGAAAAATATAGATATTTGTTTTTAATTGATGTAATAGTTCACAACAATTATAATATACATGAGTACAACACACATCACTACCACACTAAATGGGGTAAAATAAAAAAAAAAAGAGGACTCCGATGATTTTGTAAAGAAAAAAGACAGTTTTGTTTTAAAGATTGTGTTCATTAACTAATGTCTCCTGAAAAGGGGAATGGGCTAAGTATAAAGACGTACTAAGCGGACTATAATACCCTCAGTTTTTAATATATACGTATTTGTCCAACCTTAACCGAATATATGACAAACATGACACATATTTTGAAAGCCATAATGAAACATATTTCCTTCGTGAGAGGGATTAACACTGCTTCCACATTAACGCCACCTTTATTAGAGAAATAAAAGCGTTTTCCTTTCCACGTCAGTCCCTGTGTTGGACGCCACGGCGCGCGGAACTATTTTTCGTGTCCTCTTCACCACCCGGAACCTTCCGCTCGGCGGTCGGGTTGCCACGTAGAAAACGCAGCCTGCAGTTTCTCTGATCTCCCGCGTTTAAAGTGTTTCTGTGCTGTATTTGGTGGAGCGAACTTAATATTCAGATATGGTGAGTATCACATTACTGCCCACCGAACACCTAATGAGCTGTGTTTGACACTTGTCTGTATTTAAGCAAGAAGTAGCTGCTTTCAGATGACTGACTGACAGTTAGCCAGCTAGCGTAGCTACGCATCCCGGCTTCTGTACGCTTTGGGCTGATTTAGCGATATTTAGTTCGCATTTAGTTATGAGCTTATAAATCTCTCTTTAGAGAAAATTAACGTTGTACCTTCACTTAGACAACTGAGTGTTTCTGCAGATTCAGACTAAAAGTAGCTGGAGGAGGAATTACTTCGAAAATGCTAACGTGGCTAACAGCGAAGGAAGCCACGGAAGCCAACAGCCGCGATTTTGGCACAGAAGTGGGTTATCTAGATTAAATAGTTTAGTTGTGGTTTACTATGTTAAACACATTTATACTTAATACTTAATGTGGTCCACAGCAAGATTATACCTGTCTATGTTTAGTTTTAGTCAGCCAGTTAGTTCGCTAGCCAGCCTGCTGGTGTTTCTTAGTTTTGAACTAAGATGTTTTGAAAGAAGAACCAGCTATTGAACCTAACCTACCTGAGTAAGTTAGTTTTGAGATCAACTAAAGTTAGTGCTGAGCGGTATTGATCAAATTAAATATCGCGATATTTTCCAAATATATCGTGGTATGATACGATATTTAAAGTTTGCCTTATTAAAGGGAACGAAATACCTTTTCTTTCTCAGTGGTGGTACTCATCGTTAAAAGAGTCCTACAAACCTGGCCTGGGGACCTTTACACAATACACAGCATTAAACTGTATGATAAATATTATTAATGGTAATCAGACAAAAATTTATTTTTAACTCCTTTCAGAGCAGTCCACTGAAACACCTAGGTTGGCAAATGGTATATATTACAGTTATTTGCCAGGTCCTGTGTACCATGAGGAAAGTGCGTAAAATACAATGTAAAAAAATAAAACCGATCAACAACAAGGACACCACTGTTTTATGGAATAAAATGTTTCCATAAAAGTCTTTTTTATGTCAGTGCTACTGAGATTGATAATCAGAATCACAGGATACAGGTATAGTTGTTAAATCACTCAGCACTGGTTCCAGATTTATTTTAAGCTGGTCTGTTATTTCCTATATAACTGACTGAAAGTGTAGTTGTGATCTTTTTAGTGTGTTCTGATTTAACTAATCTTGGTAACAAGTTGCTAACTCTCACTCCCTTGTTCATTTCCTAACGCTGTTCTTATATTTCAGGTGTCCGTCATTAACACAGTGGATACCTCACATGAGGATATGATTGTAAGTATGTTACAGTGGAAACAGTTGTAGCTAAACCCAGAGGTTTTATTTATTTATTTGTTAAACAGCTCTAACTACAAATTCTTTATCTCTCTCGTTTTAAGCATGATGCCCAGATGGACTACTATGGCACAAGACTGGCAACCTGCTCCTCTGACCGCTCCGTGAAGATCTTTGATGTAAAGAATGGTGGACAGATTCTTGTGGCTGACTTGAGGGGGTAGGCAGTCTTATTTTAGACTCTGTACTGTTGCGCAATAAATCTGGAGATGATAAAATGCATTGGAAGCTGTGATGTGCATCTGTTTTATAAATAAGCTAGTTAAATGAAAGATAGTTAATAGTATTATCTGATTGACTGAAATGTTCTTGCTTGCTCTACATGTTGTAAAGCATTTGCAGAATCCCTGTTCTTGTCATTCTGTCATTTAACTCATGCAATATAGCAGGAATCGTAAGGGTATGTGTGTGTCAGTCTTTTATTGATGCGCTGTTTTCGTTCTTCGCAGGCACGAAGGTCCAGTGTGGCAGGTGGCCTGGGCACATCCCACATATGGCAACATTCTGGCTTCATGTTCCTATGACAGAAAAGTCATCATCTGGAAAGAAGAGAATGGGACATGGGATAAAATGTACAAGTACACAGGTCACAACTCCTCAGGTATCTTTTGTTTTAGTTATGTTCCCTGTGACTACGTTTTGCATACTTTATTTTTGACAATCACTATCTTAAGGGATTGTTGACCTTAATCGTGCATTTCTGGTTTCCCATAGTGAACTCTATTTGCTGGGGACCCTACGAATTCGGCTTAATCCTGGCCTGTGGAAGCTCTGATGGGGCTATTTCCATTCTGACCTACACTGGTGATGGGCAGTGGGATATCAAGAAGATTAACAATGCACACACTGTGAGTACTCATTGTAAAAGTAAATAGGAGGCCGCAGCTGATCTAAGACCTGTTTATCTAATAGTTCTTTCCTACCATACAGTGCGGTGCAGCACAGTCTGGTTACCAATCTGTTATCACATGTCATCATTCCATTGCCAAGTGACTCGAACTGTGCCTGAGTAACTGCACAGCAATTACTTAGCCTTTTCGCTGGGAAACCAAGTGTAATGAAGTGTGGAGTATGGGTGGAGTTAGAAGTAGCTCAGAGCATTGGTTGGTGATACACAGTCGCACAAATGCCACTGATGTGTTGTCACTAGAGTCAGACAGAAGGCATTAAAAAAAACAATAGCTAGTCAGACGTCATTGTCTGTGACTCTTCACATAAACTGCAGAGTAAAAAATAAATCAAATTGTTAAACTTCTCGATTGTTGCTGCTTTATTTGTGTTTGCGATTAAAATGGCTTTGTGTGGTAAATCGTGTCACAACCACACAAACTTCAGAGAACCCCGCCTACTTTCACATTCACAGTTTATGTGAAATGTGTGTAATGTGTAATGTTTCTAATAATAAAATATTAATATTTTAATTTTTTGAATTAAGTTACACATTTTTATAGCTGTTTTTCATTACATGAGTAATCCCTTTCTCTCTCTTTTCTGCCAGATTGGCTGTAATGCAGTGAGTTGGGCACCAGCTGTTGTTCCAGGCAGCCTTATAGACCAGCCAACAGGACAGAAACCAAACTACGTCAAGAGATTTGTGTCCGGAGGCTGTGACAACTTGGTCAAGTTGTGGAAGTAAGTTCTGGTCTCTTCTTGCATTTTGTGTGTAGTAGCAAATTATGATGAGTGGAATGAAATCAAAACGATACTTAGTCAAATCATTTTAATGCCTATACATATGATTGTTAAGTAAACAGAGTATACCAAAGTATACATTCAAAAACTTGAACATTTATCTTGGTCAACTGACTCTGAATTAAACGGTCCGTATCCTATTACTTTCTTTGTATTTTATATCTCCACATGTTTACATACTTTGCCAAACTTTTCTACCCAATAAAAAATAAGAAGAACATTTAAAACTCTGGTTAAGTACATTTTCAGTTTTGTGACCCATTTTAAAATCATGACAAAAGTTCAGTGGCATTAACTACAGCCGATTTACAAAGAATGCCACTGGAACACTGCCTTCACCACATGCACATTCTGAATTGCTAATATTGGTACATTGATGTTTTCTTCACAGAGAAGAGGATGGCCAATGGAAGGAGGACCAAAAACTTGAAGCTCACAGTGATTGGGTGAGAGACGTAGGCTGGGCTCCATCCATCGGGCTGCCCACCAGCACAATCGCCAGCTGCTCTCAGGTAATCCCACCAGTTCCTCTCAGTATGAAATCTAAAGAATAATTGTGTTGTTCTGTGGAAGACGGCTCATTGCAACTGTTACTCCAAAATTGTAACTAAAGGTTCGGATGAGGAGCAGGTGTCTCATCAAGACACTCCCATTAAAAAGTTTGGAATCACTTGTCATATTAACACGTATACATTTATTGTCATTCTAGAAACAATCAAACTTTCTGAATCTGTAAATAAATTGATGTTATATTATTGAGAACATATTTCATAGTTTTTGTTTTATTTAAATGAGCAACATGTGTTGTCTGGAAAATAAGCAAAAAACATTAGAAATCTTTTGAGAAAACACTGAGAGACATTGGTGGAGCAGAAAAGGACATATTGCAATTAATAACATATTTTGGACTTGTTTTACTCGCCTTTGTGAGCTTTCTTTGTACAATATTTGAGGATGTGATGGGTTTGTTTCTTTATTGATTACTGACCTCTAAATATATCTCTCTGCAGGATGGCAGAGTGTTCATCTGGACGTGTGATGATCCCTCTGGAAACACCTGGACTGCTAAACTTCTGCACAAATTCAATGATGTGGTCTGGCATGTGAGCTGGTCCATCACAGGCAACATCTTGGCAGTCTCAGGAGGAGACAACAAGGTAAGTGTCTATATTTATTGAGACTTTAATGTCTGAAGATCAGAGAAGATTCAGATAATACAATATTCACCTTGTGATTGTTTATGATGAAAATAAGTAGTAAGCCAGTGCTGTGATCAGAGTAATAGTGGTATGCGCTCAGTACCGCATTGAATGAAGGTGATTCATTTGATGTTTTATTTTGTTCATGTACAAGGCTTAACCTAAAAATGAATTATGAATTACTAATGATGGGATTGGATTTTGAATGAATTATTTATATGGCTGATTCATCATGCTGCACAACTAGCTGTTTAGGATATACCAAATGCAGATTTTATGTTGGAGAAGAAAACATTGCAGTTAACATGCCTAACAAAAATGCTTGTTTACTAAAATCAAGAGAATATGGTGTATATCTTTTAAACCCACTTATAAACGTGAAATGTAAAATATACTAAGAATGCCAAAGGCTCACTGCCTTTACTACACATGTATTGAGGTTTCAGCTGAATTGCTATTGGAATTGCAATGATGTTTTCTTCACAGATGTCTTTTATGGACGTCTTTTATGTCGAACAATTTCCATGTGGCACACAGCAATTCACTATACTGTAATTTGAAACAGTTTCGCGACACTTTGAAATAATGTCACTGTGTTTTAGCCAAATGAGCTGGAGTTTCTCCACATCATGGGAAAAAGGGAAAAACGCACAGTCTCACAAATGCATGTATGTTTGCAGTCACACTTGTATGCATAAATTAAAAGGCATGAAAGTATACCGATTCTTAATTGGAGCGCTGGTTTAGTTTAATAAGCAGCTCGACAGACTACTAATGGGCTGACAGGCTAGTCCAGCATTATTTAAAGTTTTTAAGAAACTGAACTGAAACATAAAAGAGGGAAAAAAAGTATTAAGAACTACCAGTACAATACTAACAATACTCACACAGACCATTCATAACCTTTTTTAAAAACTTTCAACAACACAAATTCATTACATTTAAATGAGTGGCAGCAGAAACAGTGCAGTGAAATAGAGAAAAGTTTAGTTGAAGTAACTGCAAAAGGGAATATATATATATATATAACTGTTGTTGGAAGAAAACGTTGTACCTCCATTTTTGTCATTATTCAGTTTTGGATATAATTTGAAGATGCCTCTTGCCCTTTACATTGTGTGTAAATTTCATGAAGAACAGACCAAAAGAAACAGCCAAAACTTTGAAAAAATTCTGGTTCCATTGACTTGCATTAAAAGTAAAGTAGGTTTTTTCCATCTCCTGTAAAATTATTATTTTGGAGATACAAGGTTTTCTTCCAGCAACAGCGATATATTGTGTGTGTGTGTGTTATTCAGGGAGGTTTTCTTTCCTAAACATTGCTTTGTCTGTTTGGCCCTCGGCCCATCACAAACATTACACTTTCTTCTTTGCCAAAGTTAAAATTTTATTGGTCGCAGCACTGAGTTACTCAGCTTTAATTAAACAAGGTATTATTGAACTAAGTGCTAAAAGTGCAAAATGCACATAAATATTGAACACATTATTTGTTAACTGAGGCCATAAAAACTAAGATGGGTGTAACGTTATTAATGTACTGAAGAGCGAGGCAAAAGCACTGCATGGCTGTGATTACTTAAAGCCAGCAGCTCTTTAGAAAAAACCCACACTGGCACTTTAAGGTTCAGGGGTTAATGACTGCATTTATTTCACCTGGGGTTTAGCTGGGCCAAGGGAGGCATCAGGACGAGCTCTCCTCGGGCTGATGAAGCCTCGCAAACAGATCTTTGCACTTCCAGTGAGAGGTCCTCTCACACAATTATTTAAAATTCCAGGCACTTTGTCGAGCTCCTTATTCAGAGACAAATGCACCATTAGCGAGTACATTTGTAAATGGAAACATGTTCCAGCTGCTTTATAATCTGCAAAGGTTGCATGAAATTGATTGCCAGTGAAATAAATCAAAACATTCCTAATGCACTTTTAAAGGAATAGTTTGACTAGAAAAGTATGTGATTTCATTTATTTTATTTAGTGCAGTGTTTCCCCTGGGCCTTTCTCACAGAAGGTGCTGCATTTTAAATTCCCAAGCGCCGTGCATAGAATAAAAAAGACCCCTTTTCCATTTTATAACAAACAGCCAGAACACCTTTCCCCAAACAGAGGAAACTGTTATTTAGTTTATAATAACTTGTTTTGTGGTTCAGGGGCTAATGTCGCTAAGGTCAGTGTTACTAATCTTGAATGCTGTTAGATGCTAATTAGCAGGATTAACATCTAGATGCAAGTAAAGAAGATTTAATGTGGTATGCTTAAGGGGCATTCTGACCTAAAACTGGCATTTAATATGTTACTTGTTAAGCGTGTTTGATATGTTAATTCTGTAGCACACCATTGTATCAGCTTTTATCAGTTTATTATTCTCAGTGTTGTATCCTATTTGTGTTTTCATTCATCATTCATGTTCTCTCACTACAATGCCTAGCATGCTTTACACATGTGCTATACAAATATTAAGAATCAGTTCCAAGGCAGTAAAGAATTCCTGATTAGCGTAGCCACTGATGTACAGGCTTATAGATGTGATATTCAGCTTCCTAGCAGTAACATAAGCAACCTGGCTTCTTTCTTCATTGACTAGCTAGCCAGAAAAAAAGAAACGGCCTGCCCAAACAGTTCAAGTATCTGCCCCTTGTAGGTTTTCAAAAGTTCCTCCCATCTTTAAGAAACATTATCAGAAGGGTTTTTTTTCCTAGAAACTACTATGGAAGTACAGTAGGAGGCAACCAGCTATATTTACAACAGATGTACTAATGGTTGGCTCTTTAATTTTAAATCAGCAGGCTTAAAAGTGCTCAACCTGAGCATAAAAGTTCAGAGGCATATTCTGAATTCAGCGTAAGAGTCTAAAATGTTTGAAAATGGCAAGTAGGCTTTAGCAGCTGGGGAGGTTGCTGTAGTTGGGCTGTAGAGATGACCTTTAGCCTGATGCTTTTCACTGACTTCCGTTCCCAGGTGACCCTCTGGAAGGAGTCCGTGGACGGACAGTGGGCTTGCATCAGCGACGTCAACAAAGGCCAAGGGGCCGTGTCCTCCATCACAGACGGCCAGCAGAACGAGCAGTGAGACGGGCTAACGGAGATCGTCTCCTGGAGATCAGTGCCTCCAGAGACTACTAAAGCCTCAGAGACTTTCCTAGAACATTGTCCTGTCAGTCCTTCAATCTTTCAGTTGATTCAGGAGGCAAGACCAGTCCAACCTACTTCTTATTTTTCAATGAATTCTTTTTAAAGTTTCCTTCCAAAAGGGTAACTTTCAATAAAAGTATTAATAAGTTAACTGTGATGGATTGATTGTGGTTGTGCTTAATGAGCAGGATCTGGTAAGAAAGCCCTGAAAACATGTAAAAGAAGATTGAACCAGAATGTCTGTTGTGGATATTGATGAACTACAGGTTCTAAACCCTGGTCTTATCTTAAGAGGAGTGGCTGATTACACTTTATTCTGAATCTGTTTGTGTACACTGCCACTGAAATAAACTTTTCTAAATAACTGAACATCATTATTTATAATATTGCAATTGTTTTTCAGGGCAATATTACAGTTACAGACAGTTTCAGCTGCAACATCTAAAGGAGTTTATTTAAAAACAAATTTATTATCTTTATTCAGGGGTCATCCTTATGTTCCCAGGGCCTTATGTTTCTAGGGTTCTTTGTTCTCCAGGTCATTGAAAAGTCTAGAAAACAGCTGTACGTTCCCCCAGCCTGGTGTTCCTGCTTTTGATTTAGTAAACAGCCCTATATTCCCAAGACTTTATATTCCCTCATTTTCTTTCATGGGAAATAGCTGTATGTTCTCATGTTGCCTTAATTTTATCTCTTCAACATGAACATAAGAGTAAGATCCAAACTTATGCTTACAAAAACATAAATATTATGATGTTCATTGAATAAAACCTGAAATTGTGTTAATGTATGTGCTGCCTCTAAAAAGATTCCCTTAATAAAACACTATGATTGACCATTTCTGTGAACGAGAATGAGAATCTATTCAGTGATGGGCAGCATTTAAATGTTTTATATTTATGTTTACTGTAATCGTGTTTAAACTTCTCAATATTACCAGTATTGCAAAACATCACCCAAGTATTGTGCGAGCAATGGAATTTTGGAGCTAAGACGGCATGAAAAAATCATATTTTTATTGTTATCACGGTATGATTTTCTGAGATAAACACATTGTTAACGGCCGAAATGACTGAAAGGATTAAATAATGTCACACAGCACCAGAGTGAAGTAATCAGTTTAGCATTAGAAGCCCAACAAATGTTTTAGCTTAAAAACACCTGAACTACAAGCCTGTAAAAATGCTGAAAACATCATTCTTACTCTTAGTGTGTAAAATACATCTAACTACAGCAAAAAAAGTGGGCAGGGCACCACTTTTAAACCAGATAAAGCAATTATTTACAACGTTTATGTATTCTGCTCTCTGACTACTGACAAAAAAGTTTCAGTTACAAACTTTGCTGGCTTACAGAGCTGGGCTAGCTGAGGCAAAGTGTGTTATTGAAAAAAAAATCTGCCCTTTGTTCTCTGTGTGATCTTTGATGACCCCATGGCATTAACCATGACCTCAGGAACCCTTACATATGTGCCTTTAACATATCATATTGAGGTATGACATATATAAGGAGATGAACACAAGGCCCTGGAAACAGCTATGCTCCCCTTTATTCCCTAATTTTAGCTTTACTTGCTCTAATGAAGTTGTATTTTTTGGCTTGGTCAAATGTAATTTTATGCTGGTCACAGACTTGCCGAAGTGAATCGCTTCTTAGTTCAAAGCTTTAAGCGCTATTATGCGGAACATGCCAATATTCCCTTGAGCAACAGTCATGTGCTATGAACATGATGTGAAAGCAGCATATGCATGCCAGTCTTTGCCCGGCCTTGCTGTGATGAGTGCCACTCAGTGTGTCCACTAATGGACTTCGGAGGAATGTGTGTTCTTTACAACACATGTCAATGTCATCAGTTGCTGCTGGGCGCTTTCAAAGTCTGCTCCTTTGCAATGGTTCATTTTGAACTTTAAGTGACCCTGTGACAACTAAAGATAAGTATGAGTGTAAGAGCGTTTGATGCCTGTCCTCTGATGTAGCTTGTTATTGCTAATGCCCCTCGGTTCCTCTTGAGTCACTCCATAATGAATACAGTACAAACCGCAGAACGTTTTAATGTTAATTCATGTCCTTTGGCATCAACTGACCAAACCAGAACAAAACAGAGTAAAGAAATAGTAAATGTCATACATTCTGAGGTAACTGTTTCTCTGTAGAAAAGATGTTAGCGCAGCTACTAGCAAAGTTGTGAGGTGTGTACAAAATCTACCACAGGTGTCCGTGTGCCCGGGCGTTTTGTTCGGTTGTATAATTGGTGTATTTTATGTTTGTTCTGAGTGAAAATGGCACAAAAGACATGACTTTCTCACAGTGTTTCAGTGGGAGATAACTGGGCTTATTTTTGTGGATGTAAAAGTCAGCATTAACATTAGCAAATGCTAACGTTGACTCTCATTGAAATACAGAATGCTGCAGTTAGAACCACAGTCGACTGATCTGTAGCACTGACATCTTTTCAGCTTTTCTCTTCCTTTCCATTCTGAAATTCAATTGTTAAGATGTAAACAGTCACTCGGTGTGGTTTTTATGTAAAATGGCTCATTAGCAAAACGTAATTCATTACAGTGGTGGAAAAGGAGCTCACAAATATAGTAAATACCTTTTATTTGCTATCCAAAATGACCAGCAAACCTGTGTTCTGATGTTTTAAATTAATGTCGATAATGTTAAAATAGTGGTGAATCTCAAAAAAGGTACTATTTTTGCCTTATAACTCCCTGCATGTATCCCTCCTCCATAGAGCTTAAAATGCTAAAACCCAACAGCAACACTATGTTAAACCACATTCAGAGAGCCCCTAAGGTGAAGGGTGATTATTTTTTAAAATTAATATATTGAGGCCACAAATTAATAGCCTCATTATGCTAATTTGTGACCACGAGAAACTCATGACCTCGATATATAAACTGGGGGCCTGGATAGGCTATATATTTTATAGTCAATCACCTTGTCACACTCAACCGTTTCTACGGAGCCCCTAAGGGGCCGTGGTTAAAAAATTGTTAATGCTAATTAAAGAAAAAGTTAATGACAATGCGTTCCCTCGCAAATGTTTTGCGTTCCCTTGGAAATAAAATGCGTTCCCTCGCAAAATATATGCTCAGGCAGCAAGCAAACGTAGGACCAGAGGTGCCCAACGACGTTGCCTACATTAGAGCTTTGTTTTTAGCATATTTAACGTTAAAAGCTGTTTTCCCAGTTTCGCCAGTCTGTGCTGAGTTTATTCAGCAATTGTTCTCTACAGTCTCTGTAAATGTAGCTTTTACTGTACGAGGACACTCGACTTCAGTTTCAGTTTGAGTCACTAACAGCAGAATCATGTTTGATATTGAGAAGAGACACTATGTCTTTATATTTCAATCCCAGATCAACATAAAATTCAGTGAGCTGCTCCGTGTCTGAGCTTAAGCAAAGCACAGCTTTTGCAAGTGAATGCAAACCATTGCATCGTAATGCAAAACATTTGCGAGGGAACGCATTTTATTTGCGAGGGAATGCAATGTCATTAACTTTTTTTTTTAACCACGGCCCCTTAGGGGCTCCGTACGTTTCATGTAATAACTTTCTGTGAGACTCTTCAGACGTCTGGTTCCTATCACCGCCACTGTAAAGAACTCTGAGACGGCGAGTTTCTCTACAGCGGAGCATTTCACACCAAACCTCTCTGAACGACTGTTTGCATCTTAATGATTGAATTATGCAGACATTTTGGAAAATCGGTGGAGTTCCCCTTTAACTGTGGACTACGGGCGACTCCACGAGGTGCAGTTAAACACACTTTGGCGAGCACAGTGACATTAACGAGTGAGTCACTGGGTCTCCATCGCCGTTTGGAAACGGGTTAGCGGCAGCATCTCTCTCTCTTTCTCTCTCTCTCTCTCTCTGTCTCTCTCTCTGTCTCTCTCTCTCTCTCTCTCTCTCTCTCTCTCTGTCTCTCTCTCTCTCTCTCTCTCTCTCTCTCTGCTTTTCTCCCTCTCCTGCTAATGGACCTCTGCTCGGACACCGAGGCGCGCTTTTCCCCTTTAAACCCACTCACATTTCTCCAGCGCTCCCCTCCACATTACGGAGTCAACACCGAGAGGAGCGACTTTCCCCTCAGAGCTGAAATCTGCGCTGCTGAGCTCTGAGCTCTGAGCTCATCGTCCATCGTTTCTGAAATCCGAGTTGACCGTATTTTGCCTCCAAAGTCCGAGCTTGTCATGCCGAGCTGGAGGAGAAACCTCACTTTCTGTCTGCAGAGAATGCATGATGAAGGTAGGAGAAGCGTTTGGGGGGTCTGCTCTGCTCCTGCCTGCTCTGGGGGGCAAATGTTAAAATGTTCTCGGCTACTTTTCACTTCACTGGCGCTGGATTGTGTTTTTAATTTGTCTGAGCTACGTGAAAACTCCAAAAGCTGGACTTTGTCACTGTATTTTGCTCAGAAATTGCTGCTGAGTTTACTTTGTGTTGTGTGCAGATACAGTGATGTGCTTCACTGTGATGTTCCATTCATTTCTCTGTAGTTTCCTATTTATCAGACTTCACCTGCCTTGCTTCTGTCTGATCTCACCCCTCCTCTGCTCGCTGTCGCGCTGTGGAGAGATGTAGCTGGTGTTGAGGAGGAGCAGAATGTGTGAAACTTCAACTTAGCAAGCGGTTTTTGTCTTGAATGTCGTTGTTTTCAGTGTAAGCAGTCTGTCTGCCGTTGCTGCTGAGTGATATAACCTATGTTCTCTTAAAGGTCCTGCATTTCACTCCATTGCTCTGGACTTCACATCAGTGTTTGGCACATTGCTAATGTTTCTAAGGCCTAATGTTAAATCATGGAGGCTGGTTTCCCAGACCTAGATTAATTCTAGGACCAGACTAAAACAGTAATAATATAGAATCATCATTTGCACCACTATACTCTTAAAAATGATAGTTCTCCAGGGGTTCTTTAGTAAAAAAAAAGGTTTTATATAGAACCATGAACACTCTAAGATCCCTTGCATGATTGAATGGTTCTTCGCATGGTGAAATAGTTCTTCAGATTGACGGAGAGGGGTTCTATATAGCACCAAAAAAGGGTTCTTCTTTTGTTACGATGTCAAGCCTGCAATAATAGAAGAACCATTTCTCAAAAAGATGCTGTATAGAACCATATAAAACACTCTCCATCGATCTGAAGAACCATTTCACCACACAAAGAATTATTAATCATGCAAAGGGTTCTTGAGTGTTCGTAGTTGTTTATAGAACCATTTTCTTCACTAAAGAACTGCTAAAGAACCATCTTTTTTAAGTGCGTAGGGCTGTAACAGTGTATATATATTACCAAAAAGGGTTCCTCTTTTGTAACGATGTCAAGCCTGTAACAATAGAAGAACCCTTTTTAGTTCTGTATAGAACCTTTTTG